GAGACCTCGTCATAGGACCTCCAATATTTGCTAATGGATCTTGAATCACTCTTTAATCTTGAACTTGATTACTTGGTTGAACAACGACTTGTCCTTGAGCTTGGTCACCTAGGATGTCCAAATCATTCCCCCTTCCTCAGAATGATTCGTCCTCGAATCCGACGCTTCTACTTCGTCAGCATCTGAAAAATTCAAAAGGAGATAAATCAGAAACATTGAAAGTTGCACTCACATTGTACTCACCAGAAAGGTCAAGTTGATAATCAAGCGCTTGACAACTTGAAAAGAACCAACGTCACGAGGATCTAGATTCGATTTAACTTTAGTTGGAAATCAAATCTTTCTAAAATGGACTCAAACCCAATCTCCAGGTTCGAAGATCACTTCCTTGCGCCCTTTATTGACATTCTGCGCAATACTCTCATTTTTCTTTAAGATATTCATGTGCACTTTTTTATGAAGAGATTTCACAAAATCAGCTTTCTTGGCTCTATCTGCATCAAGATGCTTAGAAACAGGCAATGGAGACAAGTCCAAAGGGATTAAGGGGTTAAAACCATAAACAAGCTCAAATGGTGACATTTGAGTAGTTGAATGCACTATACGATTATATGCGAATTCAACAATAGGTAAACATGCTTCCCAATTCTTACGATTCTTTTGTATCAAAACACGAAACAAAGATCCTAATGTCCGATTAACCACCTCTGTTTGGCCATCTGTTTAAGGATAAGCAGTTATTGAGAACAACAACTTTGTACCTAATTTCCCTCACAAGGTTTTCCAAAAATAACTCAATAATTTAATATCTCTGTTAGACACAATAGTTTTTTTTACTGATAATGCGAATGAAAGAAGCCGTTAAATTAAAACAACATAGTAAGGTGGATTACTTTAGATTGTTATTTAATGGTATAATGAATCAAAAAATTACCATACTCTGCAGAAGCATTAAATTTTGTGAAGACGAGTTTACCAAGAGCATGTGAAATAAAGAGTATATCTTCCGCCAAAATGCTTGAATAGAAGGAAGAAAATGGATGGCCAATTCGTCCAATAACAACCAATTCCGACAGCAACGAATGGGAAAACAATGGAATCCGCGGCTACAACTGCAAAACAACGTCGTCATCACCCACCCACTGTAAAACCCAATTAAAACCCATTCGAACACTCAAAACTCCACCCGAAAAATCCAAATCTTTCCCACCTCGGAAATTACAAAAACTGTCCACATTCATCAATCCCAACGACCAATTCCTATAATCCTCAGCCATTATCGAATGACGTGACATTGTTAATCTTATCGTATCACATCGTCCCAGCACTTGACATAAAAGAAATCAACCAATCCCATTTGGGCTTGATTCGGCAATTATTGGTTTTATTATTAATATAATTACCGATTTATTGCTATCCCACAGACAAGAATGGTTCCGTGTCGATTCTTGCGTTTCTCTGCAATTCCAAAGTTTCCATCCTCCTCCATTTTTCCGACCCACTGTACTTTTAAATCATCATTCTTCGCCAAAAGGGTGAGTTGTTCGCAGATGGGTTCCTATTCGACGGCTTCAGACTCTCAATTGCCCGGCTCCAAGCTTCTTTTTAGACAGCTTTTCGAGAAGGAATCTTCTACTTATACTTATCTTCTTGCTGATGCTGCTCACCCTGAAAGACCTGCCCTGGTACTGCAAATGCTTCTTTGGAATTCAAGATTAAATTTTTAGGGCATTTTGATCAGTTTCATGTGTATGTTTGATTGGAAAAAATGATGATGATATTTTTTTTTTTTTTTTGGTGAACTTCATTCTCTCCATTGGCAATTCGTGATGTCTATGATTTTCTGCCCTTTTGTATTCTCTTAGTGGTTGTGGGTGTGATCCAAAAAGTTATGGCTTTTTGCTCAAATTAGTTTCAAATTCAATTGTTAGTGTATTTATTTTTTTAATATACATAAAACAATGGAGCTGTGATTTCTTTATAGGAACTTATAGCATGTCTATTCAGCTGGACCACTAAGTAAGTAAGGGAACAAATAGTTGTTACAAGATTATAGATATTTAAGGGAAAGGCAGGTAGTCATGGTGATAAGGGGAAATAAACTGTACTGAATGGATTCTAATCAGGATGGCCAATGTGAGAAGTTTTGAATTCTCCTTGAGACTTTATTGGTAATCCGGCTTCACGAAAGTGGGACAAACTAGCTGTTAGGCCTGAAATCTCTTTATGAATTATACTTCTCTGTAAGATATGACCTCTTCTCTCATGAGTGGTCTGCTTGTATGTATGTGTGGATTTTGAATTTTATTCCCTGTTCTTCATTGGACATTGTTCTCTACTGTTTTTATGTGCTGGAATTTGATACAGCAAAGAGATATTACTTCTATAGATGCTCGGGGGTTAAGAGTTTCCTGATTTGAGTACTTTAATGTGCAGTTGATTGACCCTGTAGATAAAACAGCAGAAAGGGATCTATCGCTTATTAAAGAACTCGGGTTGAAGCTTATTTATGCTATTAACACTCATGTACACGCGGATCATGTTACTGGATCTGGGTTAATCAAGGTAGTTGATTGTTATTGTTATTGTATCATCCATTGATACTGTTCCAAGCAATGTATCATTCTTTCTTAAAATTAATGTCGCAAGGATCAGATTTTTGAGGTGTGGCTTTTTGGTTGTCTGCGATGACATTGCCTGAAGCTTTTATGGTTACCTGGATTTGCAGAATAAGGTTCCAGGGGTGAAATCAATCATCGCAAAAGCAAGTAACGCACAAGCAGATCTTCATATTGAACACGGGGACAAAATTCAGTTTGGTGATCTTTATCTTGAGGTATATCAAATGCATAAACTATTATTATGTTTCCATATTTAACTGTTAAGCATTCCGCTGGTGCTGCAGGATAGTTTCTTTCTGTTGAATTTGTGGTCATGGTATATTAAAATGATCACTATACAATCTGTGAAGCATTTTTGCTGCAGTGAGTTTGATTAATGTTTCAATGACCTAATTGGATCAACTAGAACTTCAGCGAAAATTGTTATAGGCAATCTGAGATGTGTGGCTTGAAGATGTAATTATGTATATTTGTATCTCACCCGAAGCAAATGATTTGCAGGTTCGTGCAACACCTGGACATACTCTGGGGTGTGTTACCTACGTTACTGGAGATGGACCTAACCAGCCTCAACCGAGAATGGCTTTCACTGGCGATGCACTATTGATTCGTGGATGTGGTAGGACTGATTTTCAGGTAAAGATGTTTTGAGAAAGGGCATCTCAAAACGAATAAAGAAGCATTGAAGTTCTTGCTTTAAAGTACTACTACTAGATTCAATTCTGATATACTTCACCTATCTCATAACAGGGTGGAAGCTCAGAGCAGCTATACAAGTCGGTACATTCCCAGGTAAGCTGTTTTCTGATTTGTGTCTCCATTATGGAACTGCTGGATAAGTGTTGTTAACATTGGAAAGTGTATTTATTAAGTCCATGTTGGCTTTCTTGCTACTAACTCTGCTCCCTTAATTCTGTCTTATAAATGCACAGATTTTCACATTACCCAAAGACACCTTATTGTATCCAGCCCACGACTACAAGGGATTTACGGTAAGGAAACAAGAACTGCCTTTTCTTCTCCTGATAAACCAGATGTAGCAGTTACTGAATTATGCACAACCATCTTTTCTGATTCCAGGTCAGTACTGTGGGAGAAGAGATGATGTATAACCCTCGCTTGACGAAGGATGAGGTTAGTTCCTAGTTTTCTGCATTCCGCCTTTCAGTTGTTACATATGAGAAACTTTCCCAATGCTAACGTGAAATACGAAACTCCAGCAACGTAAGATCTTCCCTTTTGGAAATCATTTTCATTGTCTTTCACCAAGACTCTAATGTGGCAGTAACTTTTTTCGCAGGCTGGATTCGAAACTATCATGGAAAGTAAGTACAATTCCCCGCGTTGCTATGTCTTGAATCGTGGATGCCATTGGATTCCTTAAAACTTTATCAGAATTGTCGAGGTAACATATTTTTCTCCTCATGACAGATCTGAAATTGCCGTACCCAAAAATGATTGATGTTGCTGTCCCTGCAAATATGGTGTGTGGATTGCAAGATGTGGAATCCAAAACCAACTGAGGGTTGCTTTCTTGATGCAAACCAAAATCAGGAACATTTACTTTGTGGAAGGGTGAGATTAGAGCTCTATACCCATACCACACTAGAGCACGCTAGAGTGGCAACTACAAAATAAATAATATACTTGGAAGATAAATACTAGTATTATTGAAGGAGGTGTAATTATAGGGTGTCATACTGCACATCCAACAATATTGCAATTGAAAAATGAAGTATTACTTGAAGGAAAAGTTGAAAATCACCCTTGCTTCTTCCACTTCGAATCTTTCTTCCGTTTAATGCTATGGAGGAATATATGAACCTCACAAGCTCAAGTACAGTACAAGTTTATAATCTCCATCCCATTCTAAACATTCAGCTCAATTCCACTCCTAGATGATTGATGGAAAAGCATATTAACAGAATGAGAATCATAAATGGTAAGAGTAATGATACAAATAATAAATACTGAATGATTTCACTAAATATTTTCAACATTATTATCATTTTTAGAAATTCTGTTTCTGAAAAAGAATGTAACACGAAATAAAGAACACAAACATGGAAAAAAATCACACTAAATATTTTCAACATAATTATCATTTTTAGAAAACTATTATGCTTTCTCTTCCTGAAAAAGAATGTTACACGAAATAAAGAACACAAACAGGGAAAAAAAAGATCATGTCATCCATATTATAAAAATGCTGAATGCTTTACTTGCACATTTGCATTTTCCTTGTGACAACACCACAACATATGCAATGTCACGAGGAAAGGCAAACTAATTGGGTGACGTGGGCCGGAATCTCAAGTCAGTCCGGATTAAAAGATAATATCAAGTCAAATTAACGGAGAAAATAAAAATTTCCTGCATTTCAAAAAAAAGAAAAGAGACAAAAACTGAACATAGTATTCGTGTAGTTTTCGTTCATTACTTCATTTTGCTGATGAAACCGACCCATCGTTTTCTTTGTTTACTGTGTTTAGTTTTAAGCACAGACAGAACTAATCCAGCTAAGCTAACAAGTTACAAAATCAAATTCAATAATAATAAATTAAATCTAATTTCTAGTTATCCATCTGAAATCAATCTTCTCTCTCCAGTGAGTAGTACTGACCCAGTCGGTCAGTCTTCACAATTTCACTGTCATTCCAAAGGAAAAAAAAGAAAAAAAATCTGTCTGGAGAAAAACAATGAGTGAAGAAGGGAAAGACAGCCACCACCACCTTCTCCACCACCACCACCACCACCACCACCACGGAGGAGATGAAGAGCAGGGTTCTCCTCCACCTCAGCCACCGCCCCAGTATGGAACCTTCCAAGGAGTGCCCAGCTACCCACCTCAGCCGGTGATCGGCTTCCCCCAGCCGGTTCCTCCTCCCGGCGCTCACGGCTATCAAGCTACAGGTAATCCCTGATCCTCAAACCACCTATCCCTTTTTGGGTTTTGTTTAGTTTGTCATTTTTTTCTGGATGAATTCGCTTTGATCAAGTCATGGTCGGTCAAACATGGATAAAGATTCGATTTTTATTAGCTTTCATTGGGGATCAATTGAATTCATGTTCCACTTTGTTGTAAGTTAGTAGAATAGAACTGTGTGTCAATTACAAATTTGGGGTTGGTTGATTCTTCAGAAGCTGGATCATATTCTGATCTTATTTTTCTCTCAATTTACTAATTTGGATTTTCCTTGTGCGAAATTCTGCCCTGTTTGGGACTGCAACCTCTCTCAGAGGCTTGTGAGTGTCTGCATTCATGTCCTTAAATTTGCTCAGTTAATAATCTCCTATGGTTTTATATGGGAAATGTGATCATTCTTCTATTCAGTACTTTCAATTCTCTGCGTACACATATTGGTCAAACTTCTCCTTTAATAATTTGGCCTTTTTTTGGGATATCAGGATATGTTATTGCTGAGGGGACACCTGTTGCGAGGGAGCGCCGCCTGCCGTGTTGTGGCATTGGCATAGGATGGTTCTTGTAAGTGACTGTGTTTGATGAATATAGCTTGTGGTCTAATTCTTTGTGCATCTTCAGTAACTAGATGGATGTTGATGTTGTCTTTTCTTGCTTTGATTTTCCAATTGTTATCGCATACTTAAAAAATATCATGCAGAGTTTGTGTGCCACTCATAGCCGTTGGATGTCATTCAAATTTTCATCAATATCGTCTTTTGAATCTGAAGCATTGAGTTTGATCTTGAGCTCAGCAATAAAGCTTGCAATTTTAGGTTTTGGGACAAAGATAAGTTTATGAATATGCCAGTATTGGTGTTGTTCGGTGTTTCCTCTCTTCATTAGTCTAGGCTACATTCATGATGCACACACATAATGATCCCAAATGATTGTTAATAACAATTCTGATTCGTTAGGTCGTCAATCAGTCAGTCACAGGGTATTAATAGTATTGGTTCTTTTTGCCCATTATCATTTGCATTGGATCTTTTCCTTTTATGAATATAGTTGGGACAATGAAGCCATGTTGTTCCCACGTGTTTAATTAGTGTAGCATCTCTTTCGAGGTAAAGCAAGGTGATTTTTCATATACTAACCTAAATGCTCGCTCTTTTGGACAGTTTCATTATTGGATTCTTCCTTGCTGGCATCCCCTGGTATATTGCTGCATTTATTCTACTTTGTTCCAGAGTTGATCCTCGAGAGAAGCCTGGATATATCACGTGCACTATTGCCGTAAGTTTATCTAACGAACGTTACTGATGACTTCTCTGAAATGCCGAAATTTTCTGATAGGTTTTAGATAACAATCTAGTCTGTCTACTTAGTAAGTACTTGCCTGTCTCTTTTCTTTGCAGTTGCGAATTCACCAGGTTAATTCTAGGCTTAGCTGTGTTCTCTCACTTTGACTATGTGTTTAAGCTCTTACTGTTTTGATAGGTAATGCTAAGTTCTGAATTAAGTAGCCGTGTAAAATAAATGCCAGTGACTCATACTCAGAAATCTGATAAATTGCATGATCTTTGGAAGAATTTGGTGTCATCTGAAGTCTTAGACCCACTAGACCGGAAATGGCATTTTCTTATTTGAAGGGCAGTCATCATAATTCTAGTTCAAGGATTTTAAAACTGAGTTGGGAATTTATCTAAATCATTCTGCACACTTGAGTAAACTGATCTATGCAAATCACAAAGGAAAGAAACGAATCCCTCCTTCACATTCGAACATGGAGGATTTGGAATGTATTGCATCTGTTCTTTACTTTTTCATGGTTTTTCTTCTTTGCCTACATTTAGAGAAGCTTGTTCTACTCATGTTCTAACCGCGCAGAAGCACATTTTTGAATTTGTAGGCTATTTTGGCTTCTTTTGCTCTTATTTTCGGATTGACAAGGAAGGACTGGGATTAACAAAGTGGGCATGTGGTTTATCTGTGCCCCGAAGGTTGTACAGGTTCAGAACTTGGATGATTTGAATTTAATATATAGCGAGAAGTATGTTACTTTGTGAGTGGTTGTTGCTCAACAAATTTGTACTCATTCTGGTGTGAACATTGTATTCAATGTAGTATCTGATTGTGGGAAGTACTGGATCTTGAAATTTGACATTTACATACATTGCTATAAACTACCATATTCAGTGGAAAAGGGCCTTGTGCAGGGCTACATAAGCCTTGGAGCCGAGAAATAATGATGCATGATCTTGGTTCCTCTATACTTCGGTCTTATTCTTTCCATAGCTGAATGTGGAATCATACACACAGGGAAAGAACTAGGCCTTTGTTTTAATCAATACAATAGGGAGAGGAGATATCATCAGGCTTTGTTGTGAAAATATGCCATCGGGACTGATAAACTCTTCTTCTCAGCCAACTACGACTCTTACTAGTAGCCTTAAAAAAAAAGAAAAAGAACTGATTACACATAATAAGCTTTTGATATTTAGTACTCCCTCCGTCCCATAATTATTGTCCAGTATGAGTTTTTATTAATAGAAATTTTTTAAGTAGCTTTTCTTTTTCTTTTATTTTTTTTTGGTTGTTTCTGCGGATATCGGATTTATGAAAATAAGACTAATGATGATACAACTAGTAAGTGAATTCACATAGATTTGTATAGTCATTTAAGTACTCCATAGTATAAGGTATAAACGCTGAACCGGTTCTTAATGACAACTAGTAAATGAGTTCACATAGATTTGTATAGTCATTTAAGTACTCCCTAGTATAAGGTATAAAACGCTGAACCGGTGTAGGTGACGCATCAAGTCAGTGTTAAAGTACCAAATTAATCTAATGACATGAATTAAACGAAGAGTTGCGGTGCAACGAAATGAACTTTCCACTGGATCGACTGGCAGACTACAACGAAACGAAGCAACGATTAGACATTATATTAATGGAGATGTATTAAAATGGTGCAATTTCAGTGGAGAGAGAGAGTGTGTGTGATTAGATGAAGAAGTGTCAAAGCTCAATATAGCCAAAATATAGAAACAATCAAATAAAAGATCAGTAAATATCAGCAAATTTCAAGATTGATTTATTTTAAGGTTTCTATATGGTAGTATTAAAACTTGTAATATATGAAACCAAAGAGGGGGTGAGGTGGATTAATTCAAACAAATCATATAGGCCGGAAGTTCGAACCTATCTACTGTCGATCTCTTGGAGAGGAAAAATAATTGTAACAATTGTATGCCTTTTGACGCTACTTTCCAATCAATTCATTCAATTAAAATTATTGACTCTTTCAAAAAAAAAAAAATTAAAATTATTGAGTGATAGAAATGGAAAATTAACATGTCTACTTTGGTTTTATAAAAATGTCTATAAACTCTCTAGGTTCTAAAATAAATGTGTTTCTTTTTGTTATAATAAAAATAACAAAGAAAGAATAAGACAATCATCTTGGAATCAAAAAAATATTTAGTATCAATATCAATATAATATAAAAAATATATATAAAAAAGCAATAGCGAAAATGGCGCGCGTTACTGAAAAAAGTTATGAATAAAGCTATGGATGGTATGGTGCACCGCGCCGCTTAAGTGTGAGCAATGGATTCTGGTAATCTGAACAGCTTTTAGTTCGGTCTTCAGCGTAAAAGGACACTTTTCTTTTCTTTTTTTGTTTCTATTCAAAGTTAAATCAGAATTTGAAATGGTAAATTTATTTTACTTACTCGTGGAAACGTAATTTTGTTTACCCAAAAAAAAAAAAAAAAACACGTGACTTTTCCAAGTAAACGGTATGTAAACCTTTTTTGTGTGTTGAAATTAAACATAAATTGTGGCACCTGAAATATATGAAATTAAACATAAATTGTGCATTACCTTTTTGGTAATTGATACCAATCACGGGGGGAAACAAGCTCTATAGTCTAGTTTACAAGTGTAAGGAAAAAAAAAAAAAATTCTCACAATTGTTGTTACCGAATTATGCATGCAGCGAATCTCTCACCTTGGCTTGCCACCTTTCAATATGATTTGCAACTTATTACAATTGGCGTTCGGTTCGATGTTAAAGCAAAAGAGAAAAAAAAAGGGTATATATACACACACAAATTGTTTAAAATTCAGATTTACTAGTTAATTTAATTGTTTATTCCCCAGTTTTTCCAAAGTAAAAATTATTTATTTTTCACTGTAGTTCACCGTTTATTACAATAGACGTGAGTTGATTCTTCTCTGGTGGGTTCCTGGCGTTAAAAAAAAAATAAAAATAAAAACAGATTTTCACGATCCATTGCTCTAAGTTGAAACTTCAAAGATTGTTGCAATCCGAATAGGGAAAGATATCTGGTAATTAATATTCAAAATTAATATAAAAAAAATAAAAGTCTCCTAATTAAACACGCTACTGTTATTATATATAAAAGAGCGCGGCAGAGCACCGAACAGAAACCACTTTTTTTTTTATCATTAACCCACCTTTTTATTCATTAACTTAACTTGAATATCAAGTTCTCAGCCAAAAAGGAAAATAATCTGTTTCCGCACCCCTCTGTAATTTTCACAGATATATATCATCACCGCATTAAATCTCAATCTCCAGTTACTCACTTAATTATTTTTTTTACATATTTTAATCGAAACAAGTCTATATATATAAAATCAATAAAATTAAATGTTGTCCCTGAGTAGTTCCACCAGACTCTCTAAGAAGAGGAAGATGAAATTAACCTCAGACGACGACAACAACAACAACAACAACGAGTTCCTCATGACTGCTCTTTCAATGGAGGCGGCGGCGGCAGCGGAATTTCAGGAAGAAAAGAAAGAGGAAGAAGACCGGATCAGTGATCTTCCGGACTCTATTTTAAGCTCAATCATCTCTTTGCTTCCTTTGAAGGAAGCCCTAAAATCCAGTTTGGTTTCTAAGCGATGGAGATCCCTCTGGAGGCATCTAACCCGCCTCGGGATCGACGATTCCGCCTGCATGCCGGCGGCATGCAGCCGGGAAGAGAGGATCCGGCAGCTTTCCGGCGTCATCCAGTCTCAGCGGAACAGTTTCATAGCCTGTTGCGAGATTTACTTCACCAGGGACGAAAGCTTGGGGATCACAAACGAGAAGAAAAGCTGGATTGAATTTCTCAAGGACGAGAAGAAACTGGAAAAGCTGGTTGTTCAATTGGAGATTCACAGTCTTCCTCCTGAAGCTTTGTTATCGTTATGGCCTGTCGGGTTTTTCAATGGGTCCAATCTTCGCGAAGTGGAGATCCTTCGCGACGGCATTCCCGACGCCAACCCTTTCGCGGGCTGCGAGAATCTGAGGAAGCTGAAATTCAATTCGGTCCGGATTTCGCACCGAGTTCTCGCTGAAGTGGTGAAGAGCTGTGTGAATCTGGAGGACCTGAAGCTGGTTCGTTGTTTGGGTTTGGCTCGCGTTGGGATCCAACACGAGAAGATCAAATGTGTGGGAATCGAGGGTTTGCGACTCAAGCGTCTCCGGTTGGTTTCGGAGAGTCTGAGGGTTTTGTCGGTTTCGAGCTTTTCGATTCAGTCGCATGATCTCCGTTGCCCCAACCTTGTTGTCCTCAATGCCCATAAATGCAACTCCGCGGATTTCATCGACAGGTTCATCGGCTTACTGGTGAGTCTTCTTTCGTAAGCTCTTTCAATTTGATTCCCTTTTGATTCTTGGCTTTTATTTTCTAGGGTGAATTAATTTTTTTTGTTTTTTTTTTTGTTTTCTTTTGATTGAATTAAGCTTGTTAATCTTTGTATAGTAGGTTTGAGCTGCTATCTTTAGTTCAGTCAAATTAATGTACTTTGTGTAGTCACTGGAATTGATAGCATTCTGATTAAGCCGTGTTTATTGTTATTCTTATTTGTAAACTGTCCATGATTACTGCAGGTTAGATTTCACTTCTGTTTTTAAATTGTATTGATATGTAAACAATTCATTCCATGATACTCCCTGCATCCCAGCAATCAATTAAGTTCTGCTGATTATGTTAGTTCATAACAAACCAGATTATTTTGTGTACATGATTTCGACATAGTTTTATTGGGGCCATTTCATCTGTGTTTGTTGTTACTCTTGATACACTAAGCTTTACTAACGCGCATTTGGTTTCCTGATGTTTATTTATTTATTTATTTATTTTTTTTAGGGAAGTGATCACTTTAGCCAGGGTTACTGCTGGAAGATTAAGACCCTGCGCTCAAATTTCAATTTGGCCAACTGGTATGACCTTCTATCACTCAGGTTCATCTTCCGAGCGTGGGCGTGTTTACAACGGCTTTACATTGTCAACAAGGTACGTAAATTTAACAGCTTGTTTGAGTAACATTTCACTTTGTCAGCGAGTCATAGTTTTTTACTTCTTTTGGTTCCAAAACTAGAGCTTACTTGTCTGATTTCGGCGCATATATAGGGTTTGTTGTGTGGTCCAGTTTGTGCATTATTACAATGTGTTGTCTTCGTTTCTTTTGGTGAATCACAATGGATATTGATGATGTGTGATTTTCCAGGGGTATGAAGGTGAGCCCTATCACACACTTCCATATCCCCAATCATTCTGGGAAGGAGAGTCGACCGAGATTATGGTGCATCATCTCAAGGTCGTCCAGATTGAGAGTTTCACTTGCGGGGAAAAGGAGATGCAATTCGTTACTCACCTGGTCAAGAATGCCGAGGTATTGGAGGAACTGATCATCCGCTTTGACCATCCCCGTGTTGCCGGAATTGCAAGTGCCAAGCGGGAGCTGTTATCGCTGCCAAGAGGTTCCGAGAATGTGAAGATCAAATTCGAGGTGTAGATTCCCAAAAAGGAAGAGTAATCTGCTGGATCTGCAAGCGTAAGCGAGTAAAAAGTGAATCGGATTCGAAGCATGGAATGTTGTTGTTTTTCTGTTGAGTATTTGAGTTGTTGTAGTTGATCTGTAAACCAAATGTATTATGTGTCTGTGTACCATATATAATTGGGGTTACAGAAACCCTAGTAAACATTCGAGAGCTCTGTCTGTTGTTACATTAGACTTGTAACTGGTTCATGTAATTCCCTAAAGGAGACTTAAGTAGAGTTTGAATTTTCTTCTTTTTTTTTGGTTTGACAGAACGAAAAGGTTTTCTTGAGATCATTGTTAGAACTTAATTGTCCATTCAACTGCTAGCATACTTTGTGTGGTGCATGCTGTTTCTTTATCACTGGTGTGTTAGATTAACAGGTTAAACTTTGTTGCAATTATGCCATAGCTCAGAAGCTGTTGGCCATAAGTGCAGAAAGCTCCTTAACCTCATATGGACAAGCGAATGAGATTCCACATCAGGGGTTTTTTTTAGGAGAGAGTTGGGCATGGAACTTTTGAAGTTTTTTCTCTGCTGTTTGATTGTTTGATTTTTATTTTTTTTCCTCTGTGGGAGAAAGTATGATCTGTTTGTCTCTCAGGATATTTCATATATATGAATGTATTAAAGATAACAATAGTTTGCATTTGGTTACAGATTATACATGTCCAATTTTACATCCCATTTTAAACAAAGTTTCAGTGTTTTCTCACTACAATACACCTGAATCAAAAGGGCACGAAAAAAACACCCCAATTCCAATATTGGCTCTATAAACACAAGCCGTACAAGAAAAGTTCAGTTTCGAATGCTGAGAGTTGAAATAGAAATAATAAATTGTGAAAGGTGAACACTTGAAATACTCGGAGATAAGAATGAGCGATATAAAATGGCAAAAAACAAGACTTCAATAGGCAAAAGCACTGTTACAAGATATTTTATTTCTCGAATAAGGCATATCTTAATGTTAATCTGCTTAAACAACCAAATTCATCCAGCTTGTTTAACGCCAACCTTCTTACTCAATTAAGAGGGTCTACTCTTCTCCCCCTTTTTTTCTTTTTTCTATTTATTTTTGGCCTTTTGTTTTTAAGTTTCACGAGAACGTGCACCACGCTAGGTAATATTTAATAGTAGCCAAAAAGAGTGACATTATATCTGGTGATGTAGTAACAACAGTATTTGATTCTCGTTTAGACAACACGAACATGTAACTATCCGACAATGCACATCTACACACAAAAAAAAAAAAAGGGTAAAAAAATTGAGCCAAAATGCGAAAAAAAAAATCAGTGACAACAACTTTTTATAAATAGACTATATATGGTCCTCCAAATAATTCTCACTCACACCATTAATAGGAAATCCATAGTTCCTTCGTCTTTCCTAAAACACTAGGAAGAATGGAAGTGATCTACTTCAAGCCAATTGCAGCAGTTGGTTTTGTTGCTTTTTCAATATATTGGGTCTATAAAGTGGTGGATTTATACTGGTTTAGGCCAAAAAAGCTTGAGAAATGCTTGAGAGAACAAGGTTTCAAAGGCAACCCATATAGACTGTTTCTTGGAGATCAATATGAAAGTGGTAAATTAATCAGGGAAGCACTGTCTAAGCCCATTGGGATTGATGATGATGTCAAGAAACGCATCATTCCTCATGTCCTCAAAGCCATCGAAACCCACGGTATGAACCCAGCAATTTTGTTCACTCATAATTTCATATCTTTTGTACAAAAGATATAGTCTTGAAATGATGATTAATTGATCTTGCAGGGAAGAAGTCTTTTATGTGGGTTGGAAGAATTCCAAGGGTGTTCATGACAGACCCAGAGCTGATAAGAGAAGTCCTAACAAAATACTACAAGTTTCACAAGAACCATCATGATCTTGATCCAATTACCAAATTTCTCTTGACTGGAATTGGCAGTTTAGAAGGGGAATCATGGTCGCAGAGGAGGAAAACCATCAATCCTGCTTTCCATTTCGAGAAATTAAAGGTATTATTACTACCAACTATTCTTAGCTCATGAATTGCATCTGTAATTTTAATGAGACTGTCTTATAACTTAAAAGAATGTAAATTGTTTTTGTACCGAATTTTATTAGCTTATGCTACCGGCATTTTACATGGCCTGCAATGATATGGTGAACAAATGGGAAGCTAAAGTTCCCAATGGCGGTTCAGCAGAGGTGGAAGCCTGGCATGATATTGAAATCTTGACAGGGGATGTGATTTCAAGGACACTGTTTGGAAGTAACTTTGAAGAAGGAAGGCGAATTTTCGAGCTGATGCGAGAACTTACAGCTCTTACAATTGATGTTATCCGCTCTGTTTACATTCCAGGAAGAAGGTAAAATTTTCCCAACTACAAGCATTTTTTTCAATATGGTACCATAAATTAATGGTTCAATTTTTTGGTCAGGTTTTTGCCAACTAAGAGGAACAGAAGGTTAAGGGCAATAGACAAAGAAGTGAGGGGAAGGATAAATGTGATTATAGACAAGAAAATGAAGGCAATTAAGGCAGGGGGAGCTGCAGGGGATGATTTCTTGGGGATATTGCTGGAATGCAACATGAAGGAATCACAGGAAAAGGGAAACAACAAAAGTGCTGTAATGAGCACTGAAGATATCATTGGTGAATGCAAGCTTTTCTACTTTGCTGGGCAGGACACCACCTCAACTCTGCTTGTATGGACTATGGTGTTCTTGAGTAGGTACCCTGAATGGCAGCAAAGGGCTAGGGATGAAGTCCTCCAGGTTTTCGGCCACAAAAAACCCGATTATGATGGCATCAGTCGCCTTAAAATCGTAAGTCCCGTGAATTTTCCTGTTTTGATTCTGATTTTTCTTACATTAGAAATGGAAAAGAGTGGTCTTGACTTTCCGGGTGTTTCTTACCAACGGGACTTTTTTTTTTTTTTTGAAAATGGACCAGCGAGCGGTAGTTATCTGGTGAAATAGGCAAGTGCCCCCTTTTCTGTAATTAAAAAAAAAAAAAAAGTGGCGCTTGCATTAAAAAATTATGTAACATAACACAAAAACCAGACTCTTAAAAGTTTTAATAAAATTTTACCTACATTGTTCCGAAATTCACCCGGATTTAACTAAGGTTTCAAAATGTTACTACTTTATTTTTAAAATTACAGGTGACTATGATCTTGAATGAGGTGTTGAGGATCTATGCGCCGGTGGCTGAGCTGACGAAAGTGGCGCACGAAGACACGCAGCTCGGCAAGTATTTCATTCCGGCAGGAGTGCAGCTGATGATGCCACAGATGTTGATGCACCACGACACGGAAATATGGGGCGATGATGCGATGAAATTCAACCCGGAGCGATTCTCTGAAGGTGTATTAAAGGCAACAAAAAGCCAGGGCTCATATTTCCCATTCAGCTTGGGACCAAGAATGTGCATTGGGATGAACTTTGCTTTCCTTGAGGCCAAGATGGCAATGGCTTTGATTCTGCGCCGGTTTTCTTTTAAGCTGTCTCCATCCTACGTGCACGCTCCAATGACTTTAATTACGTTGCAACCTCAGTTTGGCGCTCATTTAATCCTGCAAAAGCTCTAAAAATGAAACTATGCAAATTGCAGGCTCACTTTTCTATTTTAGGTCTTAGTGGAACATTTGGTTTGATTTGCTACTGTTTTCAGGGGCCTTTCCACAAGCACCTTGTCGAAAGTCAGAAAAGACCGGACCAAACCAAGAGAATAAAGTCAAATCCTCCCCTTCAATTTCTCCCAGTATTGTACTATCATCACTTTGTTTATTGTACAACCAAAAAAAAAAAAAACATTCAAGAATTTCATGCCCTGTCTGTTTATATATAAACTTGGTTTACATATATGCTAAAAAGCAAGAAAAGAAATAAAATAAAACCTTGCCACACTTTGTAATATACAATTTTTTACATTTTTAATGCTACTCGAAATAGTATCTATAGGCTGCGTTAGAGGACTGATACCACATGAGATAGATCCAGAGATAAAGTGGTGGATCACATGCTCTACTGAATTAATGTTTATTCAGTGCATATTGTGAGTGGAAGACATGAATCACTCTCTACGTATTTCAGATATTCCAACTTTACATTGTAAATTAATTCCTCTATCACTCATTATGTGGAATATTAATCTTGGTTCAATAATGTCATCATTTCTTTCAATGAAGGAGTGATTGCTACATATGCAGTAGCGGATCTAGGCGAAAAATATAATGGGGGCCGACTATATAATTATATCATTGAGGAATGAGTTTTATTTTAACTAATGTTTATAAAGTGCTTTTAGATTTTGAGATTTTTAATCATCTCTAAAAGTGTCGCACTTAGCTCATCAGTGTAAATCTCATTTCCGCTAACTAAAACACCACGCAAATTCAAAACGATTTGTATTTAATAACTAAATATAGTTGTTCAAACAAAAAAAAAGTTGTTTAAACATATACACCCGGAAAGAGATCACCATAATTTTTTATGGGCACAAAGAATTATTTTTAATTACGAAAGTTATGATATAAGAAAAACTTTGATAGTTTGATGTTTTAGAGCCTACATATATATTTTATTGAATAAATTAATTTTTTACATCATTATTAGCATTAATCTTCTTCTGAAATTAAGGATAAAATTATTTAGGACCAAACTTAACTAGAACTATGACTTTGAAGCATTTTTTTTTAACAAATTGAGAGAAAATGAAATAGAAAACACAATTTTAGTCCAAAATAGCAAAAAAAATCTTAATACACACATATAACATAATTATAATTATATTTTTTTTAAAAATTAAATCTATATAATGAAGGTTTAGGGTGGGGCCAGGGGGGCCACCCCCACCCTAAATCCGCCAGTGTATATATGTGTATATGGTTACCTTTCACCCGATGTTGACGCTAGAAATGGAAAAAGTACATCAGGGCCACAATCTTTTTCTGTATATTCTGAAAGTTAATGAAAACCACAAAGGCTAGCGTTTCGCACCCATAATTCATTAATTTGAGTATGACGAGACGTTGGTCACTAAGACCATGGTTTCTACTTTCTACTGGTTCAATCCAGTTGACTATAATATTCTACCGGGCTCTAAAATTGTTATTTCTGTCCGTAATGACAATGGATTGAATCCACAAATTGAACATGTGATATATATGGCATTAGATTCTTTTACAAATCTTAGTAAGTGAGTTCCTTCAGTAGAGTCATGAGTATCTCTAATTAGATGAATGTGCTAATATTTTCGCGCATGGAGTCCAAGATGAGTCTCTCTCACAAAATTACTTCAATGCCCCTTCCTGATTATCTCCATGCAACCCGCCGCCCGCCGCTTAATCATGCATTAGAGTTTTTAATTACTTCGAATATACCCATTTAATGCTTCTGATGGCGTTTTCTGGCAGCTTTGCGAGAGGAATGAAAATTTAGATATGGACTGTATTACCCATAAAATTGCCCTGCTGCTTATTTTGTTTGGGCGTGCATAAACAAGAGTGACATTAAACTATCATTATTTTTTGGTAGGAGATTGCTTTTTTTTTTTTTTTTGGAAATGGAGGGAAAATACTACAGTTCTTTGTCATTTGGACAAAAGGGAGGTATTTTTCTAATTAATTAATATTGCAATAGTTCTAGGATACAAAACACTTAACACACTCGGGAATTGAATGACAATTTAGTGACTAGTTTGCTGTCCTTCCTGATAATAGACCAAGGTTCGATTCTTACCGGAGATTGTAAAAGGGGTTTAACCCACATTTAAGTGGGGTCTATTGGGATGAATTTTAGAAAAAAAAAAAACACTTATCACACCAAGGCATATCCATGTCTTTATACTCGACACTTAGCATTGGATCGATGATTTGATCTTTCATAGTCATTTCTCTATTTTATATACTCTTTTTATCCCTAAAAATGTTCACCTTAAGTTTTGTAATAAAAAAAATATAAATCTCAATATTTAATGTGAATTATTTTTTCGGTACAGAGGAACTATAATCTAGTAATGTTAGTGGTCCTTGTACTTAACCCTGATCAGCTCCTTTGTTTTGTGTCTCGTTTAAGCGTGTAATTAGCCTCAGATTTTAAGAAGAAAGGAAAAAACTACGCTCCAGGCTACATTAATGGATTGTTGAAATGGCATGGCCAAATATAAAGACGAGTTCTATTATTGGAACTAGCATTATGATGTCCGTGTCTCTTTATATTATGGTCAAAAGAAAAAATATAATTCACATGAATATTCGATCCCACATACTACATTTCGAATGTCCTGTTTTGATTTTTGAAGCACCAAAATCTGATGAACACAATGAAGATGACAAGCTATCCAATAGTCACCACTCCTTCTTGCATGAGTTTTACTTACTTTTTATCATTTGCCTTTTGATTTTGGCATCTTCTTTCTCTATTGTCTCTTCCTGTCATTATTTTAATGTGCTCGTGTTGCATGCGACACAAATGACGATCCTTTATTCTAGTTAAGCTAGATCATATAACCAATCGATAATGCATAATTATGTTATTCCAGTTCATTTCTTTACAAATAAGTGGAGTTACAAAAAGGTGAGACATTTGAAACATTTTGTGGCATTTTATACCCCCACGTAAGATCTTAAATAATTGAGGAGAATAACCAGGCGGGCACTTCATATAAACTGTTCACCTAGATGTTAAAAATGCTTTTCTCCATGGTAACACTCAGGAAACAGTTTATATGAAGTGCCCGTCTGGTTATTCTCTTGGTGATCCGAATTTGGTTTGCAAGTTTTGCAAATCTTTTTATGGTCTCAAACAAGAACCCCGCGCATTGTATTTCATTTCATTTCTTTACAAATAAGTGGAGTTATAAAAAGTGAGACATTTGAAACATTTTATGGTATTTTTTACCTCCCACGTAAGATCTTAAATAATTGAGGAGAATAACCAGACGGACACTTCATTGTTCCAGCTACATGTTAAAAATGCTATTATCCATGGTGACTTGCAGGAAACAGTTTATATGAAGTGCCCGCCTAGTTATTCTCTTGGTGATCCTAATTTGGTTTGTAAGCTTCGCAAATCTTTATATGGTCTCAAACAAGCGCATGGTTTGAAAAATTTCAATCAACAATTTGTTCAGCTGGTTTTCGACAGAGTCCTAATGATTATTCACTCTTTGTTCACCATTCTCAAAATGGAATAGTCATTTTGCTTCTCTATGCGGATGATATGATCATTACAGGAAGTGATCCCCAAGGCATTAACGAATTCAAGGAATTTCTCACACATTCTTTTCACATGAAGGATCTGGGAACTCTCACTTATTCCTTGGATTAGAAGTTTCATACAATTCTAATGACATTCTTTTGATACAACGCAAGTATATAACGGATTTGCTTCAATTGGCCAATCTCACTGATGAAAAAACTTGTTCCACTCCGATGGAACAAAATTTGAAGTTGAAATGTGATGAAGGAGCATCTCTGTCAGATCCTACTACATATCGGCGATTAGTTGGAAGTCTTATTTATCTCACTATCACACGTCCATCTGTCTGCCTTGCATTGCATTCTTTGGTACTTGAAAGGAACTTGTGATCGTGGTCTATTTTTTTCTGCTAAATCTTCTCTCTCTCATCGCTTATGCTGATATGGATTATGCCGGCTGCGTTGATACTTGTAGTTCTACTACGGGTTGGTGTGTCTTTTTGGGAGATTCATCCATCTCATGGAAATGCAAGAAGCAAGACCGAGTCTCTAAGTCAACTACGGAGGCTGAATATCGTTCTATGTTAGCGGTCAGCTCTGAAATTGTGTGGCTCCAGTGACTACTCATGGATTTTGCTGTTTGTTTTTCTCAACCTATCACTCTTTTTGGGTATAACACTAGTGCTCTCAACATCACTGCTCATCCCGTGCAACATGAGAGAACTAAACACAACGAGGTCGATTGTCTTTATATTCAAGATTTAGTTCGTGAAAAACTCATTCATCTTGTCCATGAGTCTTCTCAAGATCAAGTGGCCGATTTACTTACTAAGCCTATGTCTTCTACCCGCCACTCTTATCTTGTGAGTAAATTAATGCTAGTTGACAACCATCATCAATTTGAGGGGGGATATCAAGGAGAGAGCAGATCAAGGAGAATGATTGAGGAGGATAATCCTCCACATGATCAGCTGAACGTTAGTCAAAGGTCAGCAGGGAAAATGATGATGGTTGTTAGGAGGTGGTCTTGGCAGGGGAAATGATCTTAGGATGGAGGCTGCAAAACGCCTTTTAAAATGTGACTACTGCAAGCAAAGTGGTTATTTACATGAGGACTGTTTTAAGCTGCATAGTTATCCCGAGTGGTGGCCAGGGAATAAATCATCACAACCTCAACAATCCACAGGGAGAGTGTCTGCACACTTGGCTGAGTCTCCTCTTGATCATGAAGTGACAGAGAACCCTAAGGAATTGCAATCCATTCTGAGTAATCTCCATACCTTGCAACAGGAAGTCAATAAGTTGGTAAAAGGGAAGATGAACATGAATGAGGGAGCGCAGATAAACTTTTCCCACTTTAGTGATTTTACAAGTATGAGTAGCTTCAATAATCTTAGCGATGTTACCAAATTAGAAATTATACTATGGATACTTGATAGTGGAGCAACTAGCCACATGAGTTCCAACCTTAGCATTTTTACCAGATATAATTGAGTTTCTGCTTTAACACCAGTTTGCTTAGCTGATGGAAGTATTAAAACTATTGATCATGTTGGAGAAATACATATTTCTGATAGCTTAACATTTCCAGAAGCCCTGCATATAATAATTACAATTTTCTTTCAGTAAACAAACTTGCTACTTCTTCACAAATAGATTGTTTCTTTTCCTCAGCCTTTTGCCTGTTGCAGGACCAAGTGACTAGGCATATAGTTGCTACAGGAAGAGTCATCAACCGGCTTTACATTTTGGATCAGAAGTCATTTGCCAAAGAAACCATTATGCAATTTGTTTCCACCCATGTAAACCATCATTTCTTACTTCAACCTACCATAAGTACTATGTATCACTCAAAAATAGTTTCTGAAAATACTCATGATCTGTGGCATAGAAGGTTAGGGCATCCTTCTAATGAAGTGTTGAAACACTTAGATTTACCTTTTCCCTGTAAAACTGTTGACAATCATTTTTATATTTGTCCAATTTCAAAACAGCATAGAAATACATTTCCTTCCAATGTTATTCATACTTCTTGTGTTTTTGATCTCATACATGCTGACATTTGGGGCCTTACCATCAAAAAACACTTTCAGGGGCATATTATTTCTTAACTATAGTGGATGATTTCAGTAGATCCACTTGGACCTTTTTTATGCAACAAAAATCCCAGTCATTTTCCATACTACAAAATTTCTGTGCTATGATCCAAACACAGTTTTCTTTACCAGTCAAACAAATCAGAATAGACAATGGCAGTGAGTTTTTTAGTGCTGACTGTCAAAACTTCTTTCAAAAATCAGGCATAATTCATCAGAAAGCATGTGTCCACACTCCACAACAAAATGGAGTAGTGGAGAGGAAACACAGGCATCTCTTGCAAACAGCAAGATCTTTGCTTTTTTACATCAGGTCTTCCCAAGATTTTTTGGGGAGACTCTATACTCACAGCCATATATCTCATCAATAGACTTCCTACTCCAGTTCTAGGCAATAAAAGCCCTTACAAAGTCTTATACAACAAACCACCCAATCTTTCTAATCTTAGAGTTTACGGGTGTTTGTGTTATGCCACAAATGTTTTTCCTCACAAGGATAAATTTGAGTCTAGAGCAGCTAAAACTATTTTCTTAGGATATCCTGTAGGCCAGAAAGCTTACAAGTTGTATGATCTTGCTGCTAGAAAACCATAATATCTAGAGATGTGATATTTTATGAACATCTCTTCCCTTACAAGAATGATATTCCTTTAATACACAATACTTCTCCAGAATCAGATATGTCTCATGATTTGCCTTTCTTTCCATAATTACATTACCTACATCATATGTTTCTCTTTCTTCACCTGATTTTACTTCTTCAGAAACACAACCTCCAAATAATTCCCTTGATATCACTACTTTGCATGGAAGTACTAGATCTTCCAAACCACCACAGTGGCTAAATGAATATGATCTCCAACATGTAAAGCTAGCTGCGGCTGTTTCTACAGGGACATTACCTTACACACCACCTGCTTATCCCTTCTATGATATACCTGTTTTTACGCCCTCTTATGTTGCTTTCCTAGCAAGTATCCAAAACGCACCTGAACCTACCTCTTATTTGCAAGCAAGAAATCAACCAGAATGGATTAAAGCCATGAAGACAGAATTAGAAGCTCTTGAAAATAATCAGACTTGGGAATTGGTTGATCTACCTCCTGGGAAAAAAGTCATTGGATGTAAATGGGTATACAAGATCAAGTATCATTCGGATGGAAGCATTGATCGTTTTAAAGCAAGATCAGTGGAAAAGGGGTATAATTAGATTGAGGGAGAAGATTTTTATGAAAGTTTTTCGCATGTGGCTAAAGTTGTAACTGTCAGGATTCTGTTAGCTTTGGCAGCTGCTTCTAACTGGTCTTTGCATCAATTGGATATTAACAATGCGTTTTTGCATGGTTATTTAGAAGAAGAAGTCTACATGAAATTACAACAGGGGTATGATCCAGGGTTCTCAAACAAAGTCTGCAAACTAAAAAGGTCTCTTTATGGTCTTAAGCAGGCCTCAAGACAATGGAATACAGAATTTACCAACAAGATTTAGCAGTATGGGTTTGTTCAGTCTGTACATGATTCCTGTTTCTTCATTAAGACTAGGCCAGATGACATGTTGGCCTTGATAGTCTATGTGGATGACATCCTCATTACAGGTTCCAATGAATCTTCTATTCTTCAAGTTAAGCAGTACTTGCATGACTTGTTTACCATCAAAGGTCTTGGTTATGCCAAGTATTTCTTTGGCATTGAAATAGCCAGGTCACCAGATGGAATGTATCTGACAGAGAAAATACATTCTGGACATCCTCCATGAGACAGGCCTTCTAGGGTGTAAACCAACCTCCACACCTTTGCCAAAGGGACATCAGTTCACTGAAGAACCAGGAGCTTCCATAGATAATCATTCATAGTGTAGGAAGCTGGTTGGACAATTGCTCTATCTAGGCTTCACAAGACCTGATATTGCATTTTCTGTTCAACAACTGAGTAGACATGTCTAGGCTCCATGTCAAGCACATCGGGAAGGACTTCTACATGTTTTAAAGTACCCAAAGGGGACAACATCGCATGGTATCTTTTATCCTTCCTCTAATGATCTGAAGTTGGAAGCATACAGTGATGCAGACTATGGTTCAAATCCTCTGTGCAGGTGATCCATTTCAGGATTTTGCGTCTTTCTAGGATCAGCTTTGATCTCTTGGAAGGCTAAGCAAAAGACTACAATCTCCTGTTCTTCAGTTGAAGCTGAGTACAGGAGTATGAGTTTCACAGCAAAAGAGCTATTATGAATCTCCTATCTCTTTCAAGACTTTCAGGTACCTTTGCATCTTCCTGTTCCTCTGTGGTGTGACAATGAGTCTGTCATATACATTACAGAGAATCCGGTATTCCAAACACTTAGAAGTTGACTGCCACTTTGTAAGGCATCACTATCAAACAGGATTCTTGGTTCCTCTTCATGTCTCTTCTAATGAGCAGTTAGCAGATGTTTTTACTAAGTCCTTGCCTCATGCTCAGCTCTGCACATTCTTGTCCAAGCTTGGCCTGAAGACGTTGCTTCCTGATCCAGCTTGTGGGGGGAATGTAGAATTTAATAAGAAAAATGAAAATAAGAGTGATCAGGGGCCTGTTTGTAATAAAAGAGGAGTTTGACTGACCTTATTGATATTGACTATTAACAAAAGGACTCAATTGTAATTATATTAGAGTCAGTTAGCGGTCAGTTAGTATTAATACGAGATGTTAATTCTGTTTTACATAATAATGAATAATTGAGTTTTTCAGACATATTGATTGTGCATCTTTACTCTCTCCACATAAACTCTAATTTCTTGATTTTACTGAAAATACTATGATTGGATATCATTTCTAGATACATCGACTAATGCAACATTGTCAAACGGTTCATATTTAATGTCTAACTATAAGTATATCACTTAATATCGGAATTTACCATCGGGTATTTGTGTCGTACTATCTTTTTTTTTTCTTTTACCAGACAATGATACGCTTAATTAGGATTTTAAATACTCTATCTCAAATTATAATTCAGTTTAATTTTTCACTTTTAACTTAATTCATACAAAAATTAAAAATCTAAAATAGATAGAAAAATTTCGGGACGGAAGGAGTATAAGAAACGAAGTGACTAATGTTTAAACTGTACTTCTAACTTAAATGGATGAAACAATGAGTGAGTTGACAAACCTTGAGTTCGCTTCTTATTTGCTAGTATTTCCTTTTTTCTCCTTTTCCAATATATGTTAAGAATATCATTACTCTTTTTCGTATTCTACAATACTTTGTAGAACCCTACCCCCAATCATGAAGAATATGGAACACTCATAGGTTGTCTTAAATGAATGTCCTGTATATACCACTAGTAGTATCTAACATATACTAAATTAATTTTTTTAAAAATAAAGACTATATCTTGGAAATTATATTGTTCTTTTTAGAATAATCTTTTTCTATGCAAAATATCCATGTACCATGCGGTCCATGCATTTGCTGAAATCATATAACATCTATAAATGCCACACACAATACTTTGAAATAACCCATCATCATCTCAATAATTTTCTTATCGATCCCTACCAACTTTTTCTTTCTCAATACTTTTCTCACTTCTTAATAGCAAGTGAGGAAAAAAAAGAAAAAGCTGAAGTAAAGTTTTCATCCTGCAACCATGGCCGTGGAACTGACATTCAAGTCAGTAGTAAGCTATGGACTCCTTAGCTTGATCTTTTACTGGTTTTACAAGGTCTTGGATTGGGCATGGCTGAAACCAAAAAGGTATGAGAAAATTTTAAGGTCTCAAGGTTTGAAAGGAAACCCTTACAGGCTTTTGACCGGAGACCAACAAGAAAGCGGAGCTATCATCAAGGAAGCCCTTTCCAAGCCCATTGGCTTTGAAGATGATCTTAGCAAGCGCCTCATTCCTCACATCCGCAAAGCTGTTCAAACACATGGTAATGCCCTTCTCACTGTGTGTGTGCGTGTTTGTTTTTTCTTCCACTTTTTTTTTTTTTTTGTGTGGTTTGGAAGATAGCTAAAAGTTTTTTGAAACTCCATCTAAATTTGATTAATTAATTGGGTTGCAGGGAAGAATTCATTTATGTGGGTTGGAAGGATTCCAAGGGTGCTTGTTACTGATCCTGATCTTGTAAGGGAAGTGTTGACCAAATACTACAAGTTCCACAAGAATCTTCATGACCATGATCCCATCACCAGAGTGTTGTTGACTGGAGTTGGCATGTTGGAAGGCGAACCCTGGGCTGCTCGTAGGAAGATCATCAAATCAGCTTTCTTTTTCGAGAAGTTAAAGGTAAAATAAATATCCACATGGACATTGTCGGGAAAAAAAAAATTCAACAAACACGACTATTAATGCATTGCATTTGTCCTAATAATTAATGTTGTATTTGTTTCATCTAAGTACTTGATTTGGATGCTTACATGTTGTTACAGAATATGCTGCCAGCATTTTATATCAGCACAATCGAGATGATTGACAAATGGGACAAGACAATCCCCGCGGGTGGTTCCGCCGAGGTTGAAGTTTGGGAGGATTTGCGAGTCTTGTCTGGAGATGTAACTGCAAGAACTCTATTTGGGGAAGAGTTTAAGGAACTTGGTGGCATAATCTATGATCTTCTCCAAGAACTTAACTTGCTCACTATGGAAGTCATTCGTTCAGTCTACATTCCAGGATGGAGGTAATTTTTTAACTACTCTGTCCACCTCAAAAATAAATAAATAAATAAATAAGTCTACTTTGTTGAACGGTTTTATTTCAAACAAGTCAATCAATTGTTATCAGTAAAATTAAATAGATGTGGTGCATACATAAAACAGGTTTTTGCCAACAAAGAGGAACAACAGGATGAGAGCAATTGACAAAGAAATCAGAGAGCGGGTTTTGGAAATCATCACCAAGAAAAAAAAGCAAATCTTGTCAGGAGAACACACTGGAACAGATTTCTTGAGTACACTCCTGGAATGCAACCTGAATGAGATCAAGGAATTTGGTAAAAATGTCGAAATGAGCCTTGAGGAGATCATTAAGGAATGTAAGCTCTTCTTTTTGGCTGGCCAGGATACTACGGCCAGTTTGGTCACCTGGACATTGGTCTTCCTGTGTCGATTCCCTGAATGGCAGCGCCGTGCTAGAGAAGAAGTTTTGCAAATCATCGGAGACAAGAAACCAGACTACGATGGCATCAGCCACCTGAAGACTGTAAGTCTCGTCTCGCCTGGCTGACATCTTACAGTGACTTTTCATAGTGACTGATGTAACATTTTTCGCTATCATATTAACCAATTCCATTTTGAAACAGCTGAACATGATTCTATATGAGACTCTAAGGTTGTACCCTCCAATTGTGGAGCTCACCAAAGTGGCTCAGGAAGACACACAACTCGGATCCTACTTCATCCCGGCCGGGACACATCTGATGATGCCACAAATGTTGCTTCACTATGACCCTAAATACTGGGGAGATGATGTTCTTGAGTTTAAGCCACAGAGATTTGCTGAGGGAGTTGTGAATGCAACCAAAATGCAAGGAGCTTACTTCCCATTTAGCCTTGGACCAAGGATGTGCATTGGCCAAAACTTCAGTCTCATGGAGTCCAAGATGACACTCTCATTGCTTCTGCGCCGTTACTCCTTTGAGCTCTCTCCAAACTACGTTCATGCTCCTTTCCAGGTTATCACAATGCAGCCCCAGTATGGTGCAAACTTAATCGTCCACAAGCTTTAGAGAATTTTTAATGTTGTCATAATGATAAATGTGGATTTTTACGTTTACCATTTTAATTGATGTGTTTGGTGCTACTTTATATGATGTGACCGTGTAGCATTTGAGCACAAAATATGTCTGCTCATGTCTCCACTAATGTTGTTACTTGTGTATTTGGAATTCTGTGGTTAATAAATGGAGAAGTTCCCCATTGTTGTCAATAATTAAGTTTCTTTCCTTCCATTTTATCATCATTTACACTGCTTAATTAGGAGATGAAAGCTCATAACGCAATTCTCATTTCAGTACTCTAACCGCGCGCGACATGTGTTTCTTTAGGATATTTTTTTTTTATCTCTTGTACTAAAAGATTAATGAAAATAATCAAACCTATCTGTACGATTGAAAAACGAATTAATGTAATTCTAATTAACTGATTCGAGTAGTTAGTTGGGAACATTAATCAAGTTGAACCCTAGAATATGGGATTTCAATCCCCTCCCCTCCAGTACAATTGTAGCCAAGTAGTAGCTAGTGAAATGTCGTTTCACGCATCATCATAGGTAATAGTAGTTCTTTAAACAGTGGTGGGGCTCTGAAGCAAGTTCATCCCTCTCCCTCCACCAAATGTTTCGAAATGTTTTTTTTTTTTTCATTTGCATAATTCTGCTGACCCTTTCAATTTCTCCACCATCCGAGCAAACTCTTCCAGGTAAAAATATGTAGGATTGCGAGAGACTACTGGCCTTTTTTGGCTATGTCTGGAGATAATTTGTCGAGGAATTTTTGTTTTTTTTTTTCGGGTAAGAATTTTTATTGCGGGTTAAATTTGCTTGGAGAGATCATGTATGATTTCTTCTTTGAAGGAATTTTTGTCATAAATATTATGTATACTGTCGTGTCGACTATATACTTCAACCACTAATCCAAATATTACAAACCAGAGTTTTAGAGCACATATAACTCAAATAATATTGTAAATATTTTGAGACAATAAAACATTATTTGGCTCACTTTCCGCTTTATTCGGAAATGTCAGTTTGTGTGGCACAAAGAAACCATAAAAGAAGGAGATATATAGCCTTGTTTGGACAACCTTCTATTTTACATATTCATTCATTTTACCTCTTAAATAGAAAATTTAATGGAAAAGAAAATATCATCCAAATAACTTTCTGATTTACATTTTAAATTCCAACTTGAAACACTTTTTGTTAGTGTAATAACTATTTTAGAACTACAAATAGTTCAATGACAAATTTGGCAGAATTCCGTTGTTGAGTGATTGTTTCTGGAGAAAAAAAATTTTGCAGTGGCTATAATTGATAATATTTAATTGTTTAGTGAGGACTTGTACTTGATATTTCAAAATACTTTTTTTCAAAACCAACATCCAAACAATATTTTTATTTCCCATTTAGTTTTCAATTTGAAACACTTTTCACTTTTAAGTGGCAAAATGAAATGTAAGTTGACATCCAAACAAGCACATAGTCTACTCAAATAATTCATAGATCCATTCATTTAGGGTAAACAGAAAGAAAAATCACCTTTGTTTGGTTGGTTTTTGGTGCGTTTTTTCTCCAAAAATTTTTATTCATAACTGTTATATCTCAACATATATATTTTTTTTATATTTTTAATACACCTTTTTACATTCTCAATAGAAAAAACACTTAAAAACACAAACTAAAAAAACAATACAAACATAGTTTTTTTAAAAAAAAAAAATTGAGATAAAAGAAACTTTCATTGACTTTGTTGAAAAACGTTCAACCACGATTGACAGAGGATTACAATCACTAATATATTACAATCGAGTAGAATTATAAAACTAAGAATCAACCGATCATTTTCTCTGCGGACGACCAAATCACAAAATCTTCTGTAACAACGACAAATACTTGTTGGAAGCATCACGCACCAAAGAAAATCTCCAATCTCGAATACTTCACTTATCATTATATAAAATCCCCAAAAAGCATATCTAAAACATAGATCTTCTTTGACTTCAAATCATCAAAGATAAACCATGAGTATGAACTATAACAACAAACCATGGACTAAAATCACACACAATCATAAAAGAACTAAAATTCGATCAATAGAATGAAATTTATTGTCACACTACTAACACTCAACAAATTAGAGATATGCTAATAGACTAAATTTATTCAATTAAATAAAAAAAAAACTAAAACAAGAGAGAAATAATCTCCTGCATCCTCCCATGAAAGGGAAGATGAGGAAGAAAATTAGGCTGTAGAAAAAGAGAAAGTAGTTGTTACCCAATTAGCCAATTAATGAAGGGAATAAGGCAGAGGCGACAGCAAAAATTAAAGAAACAGTAAAATAAATCCCTAGTTTTGGAGGCTAATTCATATAAATTTTATAGATGTATTGAATTGATGAAGAAGGAGAAGAGGAGATGAGAGAGAGAGAGAGAGAAGAGAGAACGATGGGCAGCATCCAAACATAATTCATGTATCTTGATGTCGAATACGACATCGACTAAGAAGCAGTGACGGAGCCAGGGGGTGGCTAGCCGGTGCGGTGGCACCCCCTCCATTTTCAGTTATTTAAAATATTTATATTATAATTAGGACAAAACGCACTTTTGGTTACAACTTTTGGTCACCATTAATTTTTTACTGACAAAAAAAAGAAATGGCGACATCTTTTGCAGACTTTAGACTAATAAGTATGTGTAATTTCATCAACAAGGTCTTCACAAAGTTGCTAACCGAAAGACTTAAACCAATCCTTCCTGGTCTAATCTCAGAAGAGCAATCAGCTTTTGTTGATGGTCGGGATATTGTAGATAATGTTTTAATGACTCAAGACTTGCTTCAATTTCTGGATCATCCATCAAGAGGGGGTAATTTATTCATCAAAGTCGACATGATGAAGGCTTTCGATAGGGTCTCGTGGAGTTTCCTTCAACGTATTCTCAAAAATTTTGGTTTTCATGACAACTTTATTGGCCTAGTAATTTCAAATCTTGAGCGAAGTTGGTTTTCTATCCTTCTGAATGGTAGCCCTGTTGGTTTCTTTAAACCCACAAGAGGTATAAAGCAAGATGACCCCCTTTCCCCTTACTTATTTATCTTGATATCGGAAGTTGTATCTAGGAACATGAAAGCCCTAACCAAAGCTGGGAGAGTAGCGACCTATGGTGTTCCAGCAGGATCCTGGATTGTTTCACATCTTAGTTTCGCGGATGATCTCATCATTTTCACTAAGGGTTTGAAGACTTCAATGAAGAGGCTAAATGATTTCTTGGTGACTAAGAAGATGCAGCTGGCCAAAGAATAAATAAGCTAAAAGTATGTTCATAGTATCAGATGGAAGTAGCACACAACAGATTGAAACCATCTCACAAATCCTTCAAATGCCGCGGGGATCTCTATCATTCAAATATCTTGGACGTAATCTCTTCAAAGGCAGGAAGAAAGTGGAGTATTTTAATCTTCTTTTAGAAGCTATGGATGTGAAGATCAACAATTGGAAGAACAAGTTGTTTTCCACGGGAGGAAGGTTGATCTTGATTAAACACGTTCTAAATGCCATACCAACCCATATTATCGCTGCCTTAGTGCCTCCAGAGTCAATTGGGGTAGCTATTGAAAAGAAGTGTCAAGACTTCATGATAAATAAAATAATGAGCAGGAAAATTTTAGAAAATTTACTTTTGATTTGATGTGATGGTTATGTAAATATTGTGTACAAACTCTTCATAAATCATTACATATATTAAAGAAATCATTATATATATTAAAAGAAAGAAAGATAATCGACACGTGTCGCTCATTGACACCATCTCTCAATTAACATGTGTCATTTGCTAATTGGTTGATCATTAATCAGTTAAAATTTTATGTAAACAGTTAAAAACTATTATTTACTATATAAGATTTTTACTGATATTATAAATTCTGGATTGAGAGCTTAAAAATGAATATTTTCAAAAATTGTTGAGAAACCCACGACTTAAGAAGTCCTTGCATTTACGAACTTATTGTCATTTTGGCCTTAAAGTTCCATTTTGTGCTACTTAATCTTCAAGTTTATCGATTTTACATATTCAAGGACGATTAATTGTGTCTCATATTTTATTAGAACTACTTCTAATCCCAAAGTCTCCTTGCCTATAAATAGGACATAGGCATCTAAACACAATTTATGTATTTTTTAAATATATTTTTTTTTAAACCAAACATTAGTTAGTGGTGACAATTTTTATTAGACAACTTTTGAAAATCTTTGTTGTAATATTTTTGACCAGATTTTACAAATATACATATCATAAATAATATCAATACATCTCATTTTGATCTAAAATTGATTAATCAAAAAAATATTATGGTTTTAAGAAATATTAGTAATTACATTATCTAATTAATTCTTTTAAAAAATATAATTTTCAATGTTGACAAACCCGCACAAAGCGCGGGACACATACTAGTTCTAATGAAATTAACCATCTTTAACACAAAAAGTGTTTTGCATTCGACAGCAAACCTTTCAGGGCACTTTAATTTTTTTTCCCCACTTATCAGCTTTGGTTCTCATTCACCTTTCCTATTTCTTAGTTTGATTAATTTCGGGCAAGAATTTATTCACTGCGGCAGGTGGAAAGCCACGACAGCCCACCTACAAACCCTATCAACAAGTCTAGCCCAAAACAATAGAAGGTCAAAAGTTAAAAAGGGAAAATGTTTATTTAAGGACGTTTGAAAGATCAAAATTATTAAAAAGGACATTAGTTATATTTATAATTTATCTGCTAACATGTTATTTTAATTTTTTTTCTATTTCAAGTGACTGTTATATCCTTATCACTAAATCCTCTCCAGCATCTATCGATTTATCTTCCCTTTTCCCCCCTTTTTTCACCTCTTTTTATTTGTTAGAAACAATGACACAACATCTATCTTCTTTGTGAAATTATAATCAATAAAGTGCTCTATGTTCATCATATGGTGAATACAAAGCGACCAAATTTACCACAAAGGGAAGGACAATTTCGTTCTAGCCGCCTCCTCTCTCTCCCCTCTCCCTTTCTCAACTCATCTCCAAAAAAATCAATCTTCCCCTATCTTCTCACCACGGGAGAGGATGGGGAAAACAACTTTATTGTAGTTTTATAAGCGCAATTTTAGTTTCATCATTTAATAAATGGATTATTTCTCTTTTTTTCATTAAATTTTGTTCCTTCAATAGATTATAGTCTATTGAGATAGTAGGGTTCTTTTAGTTATAGTTCCTCCGGTGGATTGATTGCAATCTATTGGTTGAGGGTAGGGTTTGTTTGTTGATGGCCGGATTCGTGACCTCGTTGGTGGTATTTGCGGGTTCGTTGTGCATCGTTCGAGAAGATTCAATCAATATAAATCTATTTATTAGATTTATAAATTAAGACTTTCATATAATAATTAGTGATATATCCTTAACCGGATTTAGAATCCGGTACGTGATATGTCCAGCGTTGACTAGGATAGATCTGTATCTATTTATTAAACACAACAGTGTGATTGTAATAAAAGATGTAACAGAAGTTGTGAATTGTATTTTAGACTATTTTCTTGTAATGTCAAACGCACTTAGACGATTTCCAACAAATTAATGAAAGTATATTTTTCCAAAAAAAAAAAAAAAGCGACCAAATTTCATTAAATCCTATTTTCTCCCCCATCCTATTTTTTGCTTCCTTTATCCATCTTATATGAGCCAAATTCAAGTTATTGTCAAAAGATGAATCTATAATTTTACCTAATATTGTTTGGAGCGTGTTGAGCATAAGAGAATTAAAAGTTAGTTGACCTCTGGTGCGATATTTTTATTTTAGAAGGTGCCTGGTTCAACCAATGGAATGATAGTTTGGAATGAGATTCATAGATTTTGAGTGAGATTTATAAAATAAAATTATAATTGGTATTAAAACTTAATTTTATTATTAGTTTAAATGTGAATAAAAATTAATATTAAGCCAAAATTCTAATATTGTCCTCAACCACATCACCAAATTGTTGTTTCCCCCATAACCCACCTGACAGCCACCTCTGTTTTCCCCATAACCACCCACCTCCTCAATGCAAAAAGTTGGAGAAACATCCCAAGTTAAATCCAAAATTGAGGCTCCATCCAAATTTACTAGGAGTCTAAACGAAAATTAAAAGAAATAAAATGGAACAAAAGACAAAGATCAAACTTCAAAGAACAATCAATGTCCGACTATCACCACTTCGATCACCATTGATTAATTAAATTATAAAGAACGGCTGAGGTAATTGCAGGGAAAAAGATGAAATTGGAGAAAAGGGCAAATGTTTACAATTCAGATCCTGGAAAGAAGAGCTAATTCTTCGGTCCCTGATCTTACAATTGTTTCCAGATTGCTCATCAAATCAGCCTTGATTATTTCGATTCTACTGTCGGCACTCGATCATTGGAAATTCTCTCAATAGAAGCATATCGAATTTTAAGGTGAAAGACAAACTAATGGACCACCTTTGAAACTTGTGCAGGTTCATTCTCGAAAATGAAATTATTTCGAGCTTTCCATACAAAATAGATCGATGCACACCAAAAGACTTTCATAACTAACCCCAAAGTATCATTTCTCTACTCATAACAGTGTTGGTTAACAAGGCCATTCCAAGAGTTAGGCAAACTCCATCCATTTGAATTGTTAAAATCCCCTTGAACAGTAAAAATTCACAAGCTTTTCCGTTTCAGCAAGATCTATAACCGACAATTATGTGTGTTGTATACTTTATGAAAAAGTGTAAAACCACGTAGTAGATTATAATGGCAGAAAGAGATTTTCAAAAGACAAAAATGCATAAATTTATTTTTAGTATCATTATTATTTCAAATGAATTAAAAACTCTCTTAAACAAACACATACTACACAAATTAATCTCCATTCGATCCTTGTGGGCAACCAAAGGTCCTCCAAGGGTTACGTTTTCTTATTAAAAACGAGCTTTAAGTAATTTGAAAGCGTGCAATATACCTATCTAGTTAACCAATTCGAGTGGTTTAACGTGATAATAATTTGTGAATTTGTTTTGCAATAATTTTGGTTCAATCGGTCTGAAAAAATACGTCAAACTGCCTTGCTTATAAAGGGTGGTCCCCTGCCTATGACTTTAGACCCAGCATGATCATCCAGTGATTGCGTTGACTTAAAAAGCAGATTCTAATTATATAGCACTCGTTGGGGATCCATAATTGACGGTACGTATTAACGTTGGCATTAATATAATTTTATTAACTAATTATTTCATCATATTTGAAAGCTAGGAATAGGATGCTAAGAGTTAAAGGCTAGGTAAAAGATATATTATCTTCCTCCCTTTTTAATCTTTTTTTTATTAATATGAGCATACTAGAGAAATCGAAAAAAGAATCATATATCAATCTCTTTTCTAACTACAATAGATTTTTTTTTTTTTAGAAAAAGATAAAAGTAAATAAGTTGGAGCAAAGTAGTACATTAAAAAAGAAGTATAACCCCGAAAAATACAATTTGATTGCTATTTGTGTATAAAATCAAGATTGCATTGATGATTTTTAGTATCACTCCACCAATTCATATATGGTTACAAGGTAACAACAATCTATCCCCTCCGGTCCTTATTATAAGGCATTTTGATTTCTCCTAATTAAATTTTACCTAAAATGTCTTTTCAATTTAGAGAAAAACCTGAAAACCATTTCCTAATAATTAGAACAACACAACAAATGTGAAAATATATTTTTAAAATTTTTTTCCAATTAAAAGTACATCTTAGGTGAAACTTAGAACATAATTAAAATATCTTACAATTAGGATCGGAGGGAATAATGAATATTTATATTTACAATATAAAATTTAATTAAAACATAAAAAAAGGTTGACAATGCATGCGGATCGATCTGTGTAGAAACGGGGTTTAATAAATTGTGTCTTCTTGAACTAATCATGGAGTTTGCTTCTTAACAACCAGCAGATCCGTTGATCTGCCATGCCCATTTACTTCCATGAGAGCTGCTGAACTGTGATATATTGGACTTTTTTGAAGGTCAACTCTTAAGATTTCTGTACCTTATTTTCTCCGACTACTTTGCCATTTCTAAATATTTGACCCCTCAGCTAGAGCAGCGCAGATTTTCTGTTTTCTTCTTCTTCTTTTTTTTTTTTTTGGTTTTCTTTTTCTTTTTACCACAAAAACATTTCAAATGCAAGTAGCTAGGAATTCAGATTTTTTTTTTTTTTTTTTTTTTGGATTTCGAACCCTCAAAGCGCAACAGATTGTCTAATCGATAAATGCTTCTGAAAATCAACAAGCAATTCCATAATCTTATCTCCGTCTCAGAACAAAGACATATTTAATTGTTTATTGAACTATTTTAACTCAAATGATCGGAACTATTATTTTGAAATATGGGTTTTCCATATTTACTTTCATATGTTGGATTAATTTGATAGTGGCATGTAATTAGTTAGGTTTTCTCTTGCACTTTACTCGTCCCTTTTGATTGTTCAAAATGGGTGACCGTAAGGATTAATTCTTGGATGATTATTGATAATGGACAAGGATATTGTAATTAATTTTTCTTCCACTTTATTTTTGGTTCGTTTTTCTTACATTATCTTCGTGCGTACATACGGGTCTGAAAACCTGTGGTAGAAGCGCACTCTCATTTTTCAGAACCAAGATACCTTCTTGATCGCCAACTTTTCTGGGTTTTTAATTTTAAATAACAATGAATAATCATGTACGTCCTTGAATCTACGAATCTCTGGATTGAAAAAATTGAGTGGGAAGATAATAAATACTATGAAAAAGCGTTATTATTATCAGACTATGATTCAAAATTAATCCTCTTTCTTTGTTAAAATATACAAATTAATTTAAGGAATCCTCAGTCATAGGTTGCCACAAATATTAATTACTACTAAAATGGTGTTGTCATAGTGTGGGGAACAACCAGGGGTTGCCCCATCTACGGGCACCTAAACCTCGATTTACCGATATCTCATTAATTTAAATGCTACGAGATTAATTTGTTGATCTTCCCTATGTCCTATCAACTAGCTAGGGTTACCTGTCCTAAAACTAGGGACATAATACTTCTGTCTCCAAACTATGTAGCCAAAATATTTTAACTATATCCCTTGGGTAAACACAAACAAATTTTACCGAGCAGATTAGTACCCAATCTTCCCAAACATGCATAAACCATTTCTTTTAGTACTCCCGCCGTCTCATAATTATTGTCCAATTTGAGTTTTAATTTTTAGTTCAAATTGTACTAAAAGTGAATTCTTAAATTGGACAATAATTTTAAGACAGAGAGAGTACTTTTTACGATTTTGTGAAGGCATCCATTTTTTGAAGTCTTGAGAAAGATCTTTGCATCTCGAAAACGAATACACATATTTCCATTATAATTAAGAACAACAAGTTAAAGGAAAAAAAGATATAATCGGTTACAGCTTAGATTCATTATCAGATTCACAAACATTCAAGAACCAAACGATATATTTTTATTTTTCTTTTCAATTTTCAGCAATTCAATAATGTGGTCCATACAGAAAAAAAAAAAGAAGATTCCAACGATGAGTTAGTACCACAATACGATTGATTAATACACCACTAGATGGATTGATAGTACTTCTTCCTCACTATATATTAACCATATGCTTTGTGTTATGTGTATTTATAGTCGCCTTGTTATTAACATTCAACAGGGTCTCTCTTTCACTCTTTCTTTTAGTGTGTTTATTTTCTGCTAATTGTCTATTTTTCGCACTTCCTATACCTAGGTTTGACCAATTTTTGCTAATTTCATATTTAAGCGGAAAGAAGAAATAAGTTTCTTAGGGGAAAAAAAAACATGGGAGACACCCTTTTGCCATTTCTGGTCGCGTTTTGCTTAATTGCTTGTTTGATTGTTTTGATTGGAAGAACAGTGAATTGGGTATGGTTGAAGCCGAAAAAGACAGAAAAATTGCTTCGGGAACAAGGTTTCAACGGAAATCCGTACAAAATGTTACATGGAGACACAAAGGAGATGGGCGCTATGATTAAAGAAGCTTATTCTAAACCTATCAAATTGTGTGATGACATTGTCCCTCGAGTCTTGCCTTTTCAACACCATCTCATCAACAAATACGGTATGCGCCCACAATTTGTTTGTTAAAATTCTCTCCTGGTTTTTCCAACTTTTACTCATCATGTTTCAAATTTGAATCAATTGTGTGATTATAATGACATTATTGCCAATCTTTTCTTCTTTTTTTTTTTCTTTTTTAAGTTTCTTGTGTATGAGAGTGCGTGTGAGTAAGGAAAGAGAATTGATAGTTTTTTGCTACCAATTACTCGGATTTTCACCCATCTTTTTCAATTACTCGTTGGATCATTTCTTTTGTCTTTTTGAAATGATGCTGTAATGCATTTCCAAAATAAGAGATTTAAGCAATACTCCCTCTATTTTTAATAAAATTAAATTTTATGTCTTATAATCAAAACCACAGAGAATATTATAGAGGAGTTAGAGTTCAGTAAGTCCTAACTAGATAGGTGGGATAAGATTATATGCGTTATGGCTGTGTAGGGAAAGCAAATGGCATGCAAACCGGTTTTAGTCAAGAAACGATAATAGCAAAACAGGATTGTAACTAATTATATAAATAGATACATGTGATCCAGTATCGATCATTTTTAAGTGAATTCTTTATTCATAAGTTAAAATGTACAGTAAAGTGCGTTGTTTACTCTTCATATTTGGAAAAGGCTAAAATATACTTGTAATTTTTTTTAAAAAAAAAACATACTTCCCCTATTCCAACCCTAATCTCCGCCATGAAAGTTAAATTTTTATATATGTATTTATTAAAGGCGATACAACCAATTGAAAGTTGAATTTTGGTTTTTAAAGAGCTAGCGCGCGCAATGTTCATGGAAGTTTAGATTTTATATTATTTGACAAATACTGTAAAGAGAAACGATGCATTTCACTCCGAAACTGAATGGTTTAAAAATATGTAGCTTGAAAATGTTACTTCGGATTTTATATTTATAGCATTTCATCAAACTTCATCAATATCGAACTACAGTTGTGAAGGATTATACTGGTTGATTTATATATTTTTAATAAAAAAACAATAAAATTATTATAGATAAAACTATTATAAATATGTGAATAATTCATTGACATTTTCTATCTCTCATAACATTTATTAAAAAAAAAAAATTTGTTCATCTAGCATTCATATCATAAAATTTGAGGGTGAAATTTGGAATGAACCAGATTATTTCAAAACAACGTTAGTTCATGCCCATTGTTGATTTTAAACTATTGGCGAATAATCTATCACCGGGTAGTAGTAATAATTTTAGTTCCTCCGTTCCTAAAACTACGTTATTCGAATTACATTTCACAATGTTCAAGTTAAGCTAAATCTACTTTAATACCGACCACCGCCATTTATTCATACACACAGAATTAGTTCAGATTCGAACTCTGAATCTGAGAATCTAAATAAAAGCAAGTCTTCAAAACATCTTAGGCTTTCAAATTGCTATGAAATATTCCAAGCTGTCATGAGATGCATGTACTACATCCCTTTGTGTTTATACATCTTTTGTTCGAAGGTAAAATTAATTTATAATAATATGGCATCAACAAAATTAATTAATTACAAGTATTATTTTAAAGCTTATTATTATTCTCTTGCATAATACGTCATCTCTTACGTGTACGTGCATCTCTTAAGTAAGCCATGCAGCCTCTGGACAAGTAGTACTTATGTTGCTTCTACATTAAACTACGGCCACCTTCACTAAAAATAATAATAATAATAATAATAATAATATATTCAGTGTAATCAATTAATAAATCCAGATTATTCTTAATACGAATCTCATTTGACAAAAAAACTTAGTTGACCCTATTACGTACTCTGATTTCGATCACTCAAGATTTATTTTGAATAATATAATTTTCACTATAATTTGCGAGCTATCAGAGTGGACGTTGATTTATCAGTTTTGGGATCCCTTGGTAACCAAATAACACTTAAAATTGGAAGAATTTTCTTCTATCGATCGACTATAATTAGCTAGCTTATAAGTTAGTAATGATTAATTAGGCTGTTTGAGTAGCACTGAACTACTAATCTGTTTTTAATGTTATATAAAAATTTAGTAGTATTCCTTAGTGCGGTCGTACGTTGTCCTTTAAACCTTATTGGAGAGCTTTTCAAAAGTCCTCGCAACATGGAATTCAATATGGGGGCGTCAGAACGTTTATGCGGTGGCTGATGGAATTTTGCATCTGCTTCTCCGTAATATTAACATGGTTTTATATATATCTAGGGTGGTCCTCCATTTTGTATATCATAATAATCCCATATCCATCGTACCTAGCAATGCCCCTTCTTTTCATTTTAGTGCTAATTTACTTTTCTTTGCCCTCACCATCAAGCTCATTAAAATCGTCCGTAAATTCATCATGCATTAATCTATTTTTTTATGCAAGAAATAATTTATTTTATTGAACAAATTAAATATTAGAAACAATATATATAAATAACATTTGATTCGATCGTGACCAAAGCTTCAACCTATCACGGGCACCTTTTGTAGGCGTGTGACTTCCTTCGTGGCCAATGAAGAAGAACTAGAGAAAGAATCTATATTCGACTTGTATAATGTTGTTGCGATTATTGAGGTTAAAAATCATCTAACACACAAAAAAAGTCTCACATAAGTACCAACTTGCTGTAGTAGTTTAGCAGCTAGTTAATGTTAACAATATATTATATGAGAATATCATGACACACTTACGTGGTCGTGCTCGGTCCATGGATTTTTCCTTCCTTTTAACAAAAAAAAAATGATTTAATTGTTCAATAATTAGTCAAGTACGTACAACGTAGTACCCTCTGATTTATTTTTATTTTTAATTAATACTAGTTTTCTTTTTCTTCACAAGTTGCGATTTCTGTCTCTTCGAAAATGCATGCGGCAAATTGATAATACCAAGTAACATGCTTCTTTCATTTATATATACATATATATATATATATGTATATATATTGTTTCGTAATTTTGACTTTCGAGCGTCAAAATTAACATGAAAGATCGTCACGTGCTGACACATTCAAGAACATGTATTGCGTTTAACTACATGCAGGTGAAAAAACATTCTTTTGGGTTGGTCCAATTGCCAAGGTGCTTATTACAAATCCTGAACTGATACAAGAAATTTTGACAAAAAATTCTGTCTTTAAAAAACCAATTCCCAACCCACTGGTCAAGTTTATTGTTGCTGGTTTGGCTGGCTACGAAGATGAAAAGTGGACTAAGCATCGGAAGATCGTCACCCCTGCTTTCTACCTTGAAAAACTCAAGGTAAATTCTTATATACTCTAGTTTCCGTCCCAAAATTATAATTATATTTGTTACATTCAATAATTCAACAAAATATTTTTTTTTTCTTGGTACAGATGAATATTTTTTTCCCTAGAGAAAAAGAAAAAGAAAAATAAAATAAAACTTGACTGAAAAAATTGTGAATTTGGTGTAGAATATGGTACCGGCTATGTATATTTCCTGCAATGAGATGATAAAGAAGTGGGAAATATTAATGCTTCAGACAGAAAATAAAAACTCGGTGGAGTTGGATGTGCAACCTTACCTGGAAACTTTAACCAGCGACGTGATTTGTAGAACAACATTTGGTAACAGCCATTCACAAGGAAGCAAGATTTTCCAGCTTCAAAAACAACAAGCAGAATTAACCGGCCAAGTTTTGAAATCTGTTTACGTTCCCGGATGGAGGTAATAAGAAGTTTATTTAGTACGTAATTCACTTTGTTATACTATCTAGTTATTTAGGAAAAAAAAAACTCGACTATTTGTTTGAGACGAAAGGAATTAATGAGAAACTATACGATCTATGGTTTTCTTTTTCTTCTTTTCTACGAGAATGGCGCAGATTTTTACCAACAAAAAGAAATAGGAAAATGCATCAGATCAACAATGAGCTGCGAGCACTCTTTAAGGAAATTATTACTGAAAAAGAAACGGCCATGAAGTTAGGGAAAGCTAAGGATGACAATTTGCTGTCTATGTTGTTGAAATCAAACTTGAAAGAAACACAGGAGCAAGGACAGAAACATGGGTTGAGTATTGATGAAGTGATTGAGAATTGCAAAACATTTTACTTCGCTGGCCAAGAGAGCACCTCAAATCTACTCAGCTGGACTATGTTTTGTTTAAGCGTACACCCTAGCTGGCAAGCTCGTGCTAGGGAAGAAATTTTGCAGGCCTTTGGGAGCAAGATACCCGACTATGATGGATTGAATCGTCTTAAAATTGTAAGTAAACTTTGCATTTCCAATCATTGTAGTGTGTCATTTTAATTTCTGTATTCCTTCCGTCCCAAAACTAGAATTAAAACAGTATGATAAGTATAATGCTTCTTTTGTAAAAATTTAAGAAAAATTGATAAACTAATTTTTTTTTTTTTTGTTATTTTTAAGAACCAATCGAATTAAAATTTAGTTAATTTAAGTTACGTAAAGTTGAAAGTACATTATAGATGAAACTTTAACATCAAATATCTTATAAATAGGACTAGAGAAAATCTGAAAAGATATTTTATACTTCTTCTGTCCCAAAATTATTATCCAATTTGATATTTCAATTTTAGAACAATTTGAACTATAAATGAATTTAAACTGGACAATAATTATGTGAATGATGGAGTAATTAATAAGGATCAGTGGAAGTACATATGTAGTATAAATCTTTACTGTCTTCTCCCCACAGTCATAATTTTTTTTTGTTTTTTCAAAATTCTTATTGCAGGTAACAATGATATTATACGAAGTTCTAAGATTGTACTCACCATCAGTAATGTTCACAAGAATAGTTTACAAAGAGACGAAACTAGGAGACATAGTTTTGCCTCCTGGTGTTCAACTCATGCTACCAGTTCTATATGTTCATCGTGACCCTAAATTGTGGGGAGAAGACAGCAAAGATTTCAACCCAGAAAGATTTGCTCAGGGAATTGCCAACGCAACCAAAAATCAGCTGTGTTTCTTTCCATTCAGTTGGGGTCCTCGGATTTGCGTTGGGAACAATTTCGCTTTGATGGAAGCCAAACTGGCTTTAACCATGATACTTCGACACTTCGAGTTCCAGCTTTCTCCTTCTTACATTCATGCACCATCTTTTGTTGTTACTCACAAACCTCAACATGGCGTTCACATTATTCTGCACACAGTCAGCAAGTCAAATTGATGAATATTTGTTTGCAACCTTGTTTAAAATCATTTTTTAATGTTATATTATTAGTTGTGTTTATAATATTTTCTCTCGTGACTTCTAATCATTGTCAGGAAATAAAGAGTAAAACGTCCAAATAGCTCCTTACATTTGAGTTTACTTGAATTTACGTCCATAATATTAATATTTCAATATCGTAGTCTCAAACATTATGTTTTCACACTTTTTTTGTCTCATTTTACTGTTTCGACCACTTTTCCATCAAGCTTGATGTTGTCTGTTGACTTGCCAGAATTAGGGGTAGTTTTATCTTTTCACTTAATTTGAACTTTCATTAAAATTTAAATCATTAAAATATTATAAAATTCACATTTCATTATTTAACAAATATTTATTATTTATTAACTTTTTTGTTACAAAAATATTATTATAAAATTTTAAAATTTACATTATATTTAAAATTACTCCCTCCGTCCCAAAAAAGAATATTCCAATTTGATAAAAAATCTTGTCCAAAAAAATTAGTTCAGTTTCAGAAAGTCGAAATAAATTCGATTAAAATGACTTATGTTCCCTTTGGACCATCTACGTCAAATTAAAAACGGACTAGTGAAGCTATCCAAACTTCCAAATCCATTGTGACCCAATCTCTCCACCCGACGGTCGCCACCACCAGCAACCTAATTCTAACCATTTAAACCTATCCAATTCCATTATGCAGCCAAGCTGCCCACCGCCGCCGCCGCCACCGCCACCACCATCGCCACCGCCACCGCCCCCGCCACCAACTCCTACAAGGCTCTAATTCTCCCTGAATAATTTGAGGCGGACATCAGGAAAAATGAACGAGCGTGTAAAAATTCCAAGAAAATGCTCAACGCTGAGGTCCTTATGGATCTTCCCCATCAAGTTCAAATCTTTATTCATTTCCCGCATCATGTTCGGATCCTTTACGTTGCCGAGAACCGAAACTCCCAATTATGTACAATTGTGAATTGCCCACGACTCCCAAACTGCAGGACCGTGGATTGACGAAAATTGAGTTATTTATTTTACACCAAGAGAGGACTGTCGGATTTTTTTTATTTGAGGGTGGCTATAGTGGTTGTTTATAGTTCCTGAATTGAGCGGTGACAGGGATGCCTTCTCCGGCGAGGAATAGGATATCGGTGATGATGACTGACCGATTGAGAGAAGGTAAAAATAAAAAAGTAATTTTAAAATAATGTAAACTTTAAAATTTTATAATAATATTTTAAATTAATAAATAATATTTTGTAACAAAAAAACTAATAAATAAAATTTTAATTATTAAATAATAAAATTTGAATTTTATAATATTTTTAATGATTTAAATTTTATTAGAAATTCAAATTAAGTGAAAAGATGAAAATACCCCTGATTTCGGCAAGTCAACGGCCGGTCAACATCAAACTTGAAGGAAAAGTGGTCGAAACAGTGAAATTAGACTAAAAAAGTGTCAAAACATAATGTTCGGGACTACGATATTGAAATGTTAATGTTAGGGACGTAAATTCAAAGAAACCCAAATATAAGGGACCTTTTGGACATTTTACTTAGAAATAAATATATATTGTAAATGACTTCATTTTAATTTTAGAATCAACAAATAAAAGAATATTCTCTACTGCCCTTATTTATAAGTCATTTTGATTTGTCATAAATTTTATCTAGTATGTTTATCTAATTAAAAATAAAATCTTAAAAATGTATTAAAACATTAATCTATTATATTTTTTCGATTCTATAAAATATTTTTAAGATTTTATTTTCAGATAAAAGAACATACTTAATAAAATTTAGTTTAAATCAAAATGTCGTATAGTAATATATTATATTTCTATCTGTCGTTGTTAATGGTTACATTTCACCAAAATGCAGAGTTATTGAAACTCAATATGCTTCACTTTCCCACCCCTTTGTTGAAAAAGAAAATGTCTAAAAATAACAAATTGGCCATCAACTGTCTTATTCTTTCGTTAAATAACATTTAACTCTCCAATCCATATATATCCGCAGGCTAAATTTTTGAACTAAATGGGCTGTCGCCAAACAAAAAGTAGCCGGACTTTGATATTAGTCACTCATATGCGATATCCCATGTGAGTGTCACACTTATAGTACGCAAACGTAAATATAATGAGGGATAAACCCCAAAAAAACAAAAATAAAAAAATTTGGTGAAACTATTTAGTGAAACGAAATTGTGGACATTTTGTAGCGTGAATAAGAAATATAAAAAATGCCTTTTAATTACGTTCCAGCTTTAGCAAATAATATTAAACGGATTGTTTTTATTTTCATGTTTCATCAATTTTAGAATTCCATTTTATTAAATTTATAGTTTTATAGTTTCTGGATCAGTTCTTTGAGATGTGACGGTCCACTAGACGTTTGCTTTTATTGGATAATTAGTTGCCACCTTTCGTTCGTGAAAATGCAAAAATAAATCAATCAGCCACCAACCATATCTGAATTCTAATGCTCAACTCAAGGAAGGAAGAATGTGGATTTACTTCCTTTAAATTTTACCTTTAAAAAGCTTTTAGAGTAGCAACAATAAGCTTGAAATCTTTGGCTTTAAAATTTAACCATATTTTTCCAAGAAAATGACAGTAATGAATTTCATTATTAAGTGACGGTGTACTTTAACATTTAAATCAAATATATATCGACTTCTTTTTGGTGATTTGTTGAAGGAAATTGAATATGCATCTCCTCCATCTCCATTGAGGCAAAAATAATATCATAGGAAAAGTGATGCAGAAAAATATCTTCTGATATTAAAAGTTAAAAGTAAATATATGTTTTGACATAAATAAATGTAACATGTCTATATATGTAACAACCACCAACTTCTCCAATTAATTCATTCTCAAATTGCTTATTCTACACTTTCTACAAAAAAAAAAAAATCAGAGGGGAAAAAAAAGTTGAAAAAAGAGAAGATGGTGGAAGTAATAAACACCAACATTGTTATAGTGACTCTGGTTCTGGTGACACTTTTCTCTGTGGTATGGAAAATTCTGAATGATTTCTGGTTCCGACCGAAGAAGCTTGAGAAGTTCTTAAGAAGCCAAGGTTTCAAAGGTAATCCTTACCGTTTGTTTTATGGAGATATGAAAGACATGGCGGCCGTGGTTCAACAAGCACATTCCAAGCCTATCAAGCACGATGAGTATCTCGTTCCTTATATCATTCCATATCATCATCAGATGATCCAAAAGTTTGGTATGTAAATTTATCATCTCTCAACTCATGATGCGCACACTTGATCATTAAATCTATACGATAGCGTATTTATTGGAACAGAGAGATTTTAAATTATTCAAATTTCTTTTCATAAGATTGCGAAAATCTCAATATACGTATTATATTTCATTGCTTGTTTTAGGGACAGATCTAGGGTGGAGCAAAGGGGCCCATCGACCCAACGATCTGCAAATTTTTTTGAAAAAATACTTTATATTTTTTATATATTTTTCCGAGAAAAAAATAAACTCTAGTTATAATCGACTCTGTGAATGTTCAAGACTGGTTCTATCACTGTTTATTTATGTATTTATCAAATCTAAGTATAGTCTCTCTGTCACTCAGTGAGGCTCAGTTCATAATCTATTTTAGAAAAATAACTCACGTTTTATCCACTACTTGTTAGTTTCCCTTGTACATTTTATAAACTTTCTTAAATTTCTTTTTTTCCTGGAATTAAGTATTGAGACATTGATTACTTTTGCGAGGAGAAAAATGTTTCATTTGGTATGGGCCATATCCAGTTTTAATCATAACAGATCCAAAGATGATTAAAGATATCACATACAAGCACACTATTTTCCAAAGGCCTACATTGAGTCCACTAGATAGACTTCTTGTAACTGGGCTCTTTATCAAAGAAGGTGATGAATGGGCCAAGCGTCGAAAGATAATCAATCCAGCTTTTACCCTCGAAAAATTAAAGGTTTGTGATTCATAATCATTTCAAAATTCTTATTGAAATTATATCTTTGTCACACGAGAAAGAGAGGTATTGAAGCTATTTACAGCTTGTATATAATGCTCCATCCATTCAGTACTTATTATAACGTATTTTGATTTGTTATAAATTTCACATAGTATATTTTTTTGATTGAGACAAAAACCTTAAAAATATTTTTTTATAAATTATAATTAGAAGGATACAATCAATATGAAAAATATATTTTTAAAGATTTTTTTCTGATCGGAAAAACATATTTTGTGAAACATAGGATAAAATCAAAATGGTTTATAATAAGGACTAGAGGGAGTATAAAAGCACTTGTTCTTTGTGTATTTTAATCCACTTGTATGACTAGCTCATCATATGATTTCATGTGTATCTTCTCATTGATTAAACAGAACATGGTACCGTCAATGTATGTAAGTTGTCGGGAATTAGTGGATAAATGGGAAACGTCGATCCAAGGAAAAGAATCCTGCGAAATCGATGTATGGCCTGATTTTGCAAACTTGACGGCTGATGTAATTTCCCGGACAGCATTTGGAAGTAGGTTTGAAGAAGGAAGACGCATTTTCGAACTCCAAAGAGAGCTATTCTTTTTAATTTACCAGTGCAGTCAAACTATCTACATCAAAGGATCTAGGTAACATTATTTTGTTTTCAAGTTTATTTTTAACTTGATACATGCTTCTTCTGCCCAAAATTGTTGTTCAGTTTAGAATTTCACTTTCCGTCCAATTTGTAAGAAAACTTAAAATTTGAGCTGAACAAATAATTTTGAAACAGATCAAAAGAGTATGTTTTATGTTCGTCGAGTTTCAACTTTGACTATGGAATTATAGGTTTTTGCCAACAAAAAGGAACAGGAGAATGAAAGGAATATTTCGAGAGTCCAACGCAATTATGAGGGATCTCATTAAGAAAAGAGAGGAAAGAATGAAAGACGAGGAGAACAGTGAAGACTTGTTAGGTATACTTTTGGAATCCAATCTCAAAGAGATCAAAGAAAATGGTAACAAGAAAAGTTGTGGACTTACCACCGATGACGTGGTCGAAGAATGCAACTTGTTCTACTTTGCTGGACAAGAGACAACCTCGAACTTGCTTGTTTGGACAATGATAATGCTGGGAATTCACCGAGATTGGCAAGAAAAAGCTCGAGAAGAGGTTTCCCAAGTGTTTGGCAACAATGAACTCGAGCTCGAAGGATTGCATCGCCTCAAAATCGTAAGTAAACATTAGACCATAAGTTAGATATCTATGTTAGTGACTGTTGTTGGATTAATTAATCAATATATGTGTCTAATTTTATTGGTTTGCAGGTAACTATGATTTTGAATGAAGTTTTAAGAATTTTCCCACCAGCTTTAAATATAGGGCGTTCAACTCATGAAACGACCAAATTAGGAGACATAATTGTGCCTCCTAGGACTGGCATTTTGGTGAACTTACCACTTGTTCATCATGATCCACAAATTTGGGGCGATGATGTGAAGGAATTCAATCCAGAAAGATTTTCCCAAGGAGTTGCAAAAGCTACGAAAAAACCCAACTCGTACTTGCCGTTTAGTATGGGACCTCGTATTTGCATTGGTCAGAATTTCGCATTGAACGAAGCAAAAGTCGCATTCGCATTGATCCTTCCAAGTTTCTCGTTTGAGGTCTCTCCGTCTTATGAACATGCACCTTTTCCTAGGTTCACAATTCAACCTCGCTTTGGAGCTAAGATGATTTTACGCAAACTTTAATCGTATCTATTTTGATCGCTTCACAAGAATATATATATATATATATATATGAAGGATATCAAGTGTACTATTATTAGATTATAAGGTTTATATTATTAATGAAGTTGGCATTTTCATATGGCAAACTTGAGTTTTGTTAAATATCTTGGTGCATTTTGTTACGTTTGCATACGAATTTGTGGTAAATTGAAAGCTTCGGTAAGCAGAGAATACTTGTGAAAAAAGACGCTCAACGACTATGGATGTTGACTAGTTTTCTTTAGTATTTTTTTTGTTAAAAGTTTTCTTTAGTTTTCTTTAGTAAGGATATATTGCAGGACTTCCGCAAAAGGCAAAAAACTATGGTTGCTGGAATTAATACACATTTTGTTAGTACACGACGATTTCTGCCAATAATAACACGATTTGAGCATTAACGTACGGGGTCGGGATGTTCAACCCCCCGGTTAAATGGTTTACCGATTAAATGATTCAGTTATTAACAGTTTTGGAATTTTTTTTACTGTTACCAATTAACCAACTAATCAAGTACTAGTTATAGTAGTTTTGGTTAGACTACCGGTTAAACGTTTAAATCAATGGAGGTGATGTCTCAACTGAGAACCAATCCCATTAACTTGTAGAAATCGATTAACCAAAACTCATTTAACCGCTACAACGTTAGACCAGTTAAATGGTTCGGTTTTTGAAAATTTACAGTTTGGTCAAACGATTTCGGTTTTTTAACACCCATGGCCATAGCCCTAAGAAGCTGAAAATTTGTTTGCTAACAGATTAGGAGCCAAACTTGGACTTTAATTACTTGTCAATATATATTCCCTCTATCTTATAAAAATAATTTATATTAAGTACAATTTTTTTTTCAAAAAAAATACAAATTTTAAAATTCAATGTGAAATACTTAATGTGGACGTTCTCAATATGAGCATGTCATTTTTGCGCTAAATGTTAATATATATTCTCTGTATCATTCTAATTCATTTTGATATCCAAAAATGGACTATAACTTATACGTAAGCATTTGAACAGCAAAAACATAAAAGAGAACGGAAGAAAAGTCTTATTCAATAAACATAAAATTTAAAAAATAAAATAAAAGCAGGTGCAAAAACAATAAGAAATTTTCGCAAAAACAATAAACATAAAATGTATATGTTCGACGTTAACCAAATCATGTGCTTTTGTATTCAGTAGCTAGATGGCAAGAAACTATAGTACAACTCCACCTAAACAATTAAGGGATAAAGAATTATGAATACATCATAATATGCGATTGCGAAAATACTCCCGCTGTCTAAAACGTAGATATATAAGACTATATTTTTATTGTGTACAAAATACAATTAAAACATGACCTAGCTATTGGTTTCAGCTCCTTAATTTATACTTTACTAATTATCATGAACTACTACTTATAATCATTATATTAATATAACGTGTTAAATTTAAATATGTAAATATTAAACAAAAGATTTTCTGTCAAAATTTTCAACACAACTCCATTAAAGAAGCAAAGCATTTTTTTTTTTTGGATATTCATGCATATTACCGGATAAAATACGAAAAGAAGACTTGATTCCGAGTTATATACCGGAAGGGGTACCACCACACTCCCCATAAGTTCTTGAGCCAAAAAGTATCTATACATATTTCGTTTTGGGGTACGATGAATGAGGCAAAGAGAATATTGATGGGAAATGATACAAGATCTTTTTGGTAAAAAATGATACAGAAGAATTTTCCTTTTTATGACTAGTATAATACATTGGTAACTGACCAAATTTTCTGCATTCATTGTATATATTAAATGAAAATCTAAACCGATATATTTAGACATAACACAAAATTATTGATTAACCACTGTTAAATTGGAACACCAACAACACCAATAAGGCCTCAGTCTCAAATTCTTTGTTCCAAAAAGTCTCTTGACAATTGAAACACACACACACACACAAAACAAAAATGATGGTTGAAGTAAGCTTCAACATTCTCATGGCCACACTTGTTCTAGTAACCTTTATGTCGTTGGCATGGAAGATTTTGAACGACATCTGGTTCAGACCAAAGAAGTTGGAGAAATTCATGAGAAGTCAAGGTTTCAAAGGTAACCCTTACCGTTTGTTATATGGAGATATGAAAGATATGGCCGTTGTCACTCAGGAAGCACATTCTAAGCCCATCAAACTGGATGATTATGTCATGCCTTATATTGTTCCCTTCATTCATCAGACGGTCCAAAAGCATGGTTAGTTCATCTTCTTCATCCTTCTTTAATTTTTCTTTTTTTCTTTTTTTTTTTTGAAAACTAAATTTCTAAAATAATTGTGAAATTACATTAATCTTAAGTGATGATACTCCACCCCCCTTTTTGGGTTTTTGTTGGCCAGGAGAGAGATGTTTCATATGGTTTGGACCATATCCATATATGATCATAACAGAGCCAGAAATGATCAAAGATATCTTGTTCAAGCATAACGTTTTCCGGAGGCCTGCTTTAAGTCCATTGGAGAGACTTTTTGTGACGGGTCTTTTTATCCAAGAAGGCGATGAATGGGCTAAACGTAGAAGGATAATCAACCCGGCTTTTACAGTCGAGAAATTAAAGGTTTGTGAAAAAAAATAAATAAATTTGAGTTAATTGTTTCGAATTCTATCTACTAAAAATTAAAGGTTTCTTGAAAAAAATATTTCTTTCTCATAATAATTCTTTTTATAATCTTTTCTCAATAGAACATGGTACCTTTGATGCAACTGTGCTGTCGGGAGGTGGTCGAAAAATGGGACAAATTAATCCAAGGCAAAGAATCGGGTGAAGTGGATGTATGGCCTGATTTTACAGATTTAACAGCGGATGTAATCTCTCGAACAGCATTTGGAAGCAGCTTTGAAGAAGGAAGGCGCATTTTCGAACTCCAAAAAGAACTGTTTTTGCTAACTCACGAGTGTATGCAGACCATATACATCAAAGGATCAAGGTACGTACACACTTAATTTTAATTACACTGAATAAGTTATTCTAATCACTGCTTAAGTAATCTTGTATCCCTCATAGTCTATTAGGATCAGTGTAGGGATCAATTTTCTCTAGTTGTCACGATCTATTAAAATCAAACACACAATCGCATATGAAAGACGCAACATTATTATGATGTTATATCTTGATTGATTGAGTTTCAGTTTTTTCAACAATTTTTGAAATTAAATTGCAGATTTCTGCCAACCAAAAGGAACAGGAGAATGAAAGAAATATATCGGGAGTCAAGTACGATTATAAGGGATCTCATTAGATCAAGAGAGGAAAAAATGAAAGACAATGTAAAGAGTGAAGACTTATTAGGGATACTGTTGGAATCTAATCTCAACGAAATCAAAGAAAATGACAACAAAAAAGGGTCTGGACTTTCCACGGAGGATGTGATTGAAGAATGCAAATTGTTCTATTTTGCTGGACAAGAGACAACCTCCAATCTGCTAGTTTGGACCATGATAATGCTGGGAATTCACCAAGATTGGCAAGAAAAGGCTCGGGAAGAGGTTTTTCAAGTGTTCGGAAACAATGAACCCGAGCTCGAAGGATTGCATCGCCTCAAAATGGTACAAATCTTATAATTCAATGTGAACTATTTTTGTAGAATGGAGGGACGAGTATCTGTTGTATACAGTAGTTGATTGATCAAAACATGTTTATTTAACTTGTTGCAGTTGACCATGATATTCAACGAAGTACTGAGGATTTTCCCACCAGCAATGAATATAGGACGATCGACTCATGGGGAAACAAAAGTAGGAGACATAATTGTGCCTTCTAAGGTGGGCATTTTGGTTAATTCTGCATTGGTTCATCATGATCCAAAAATATGGGGCGATGATGCGAAAGAATTCAATCCTGAAAGGTTCTCACAGGGAGTATCCAACGCCACAAAGAAGCCCAACTCGTTCATCCCATTTAGCATGGGACCTCGAGTTTGCATTGGCCAGAATTTCGCATTGATTGAAGCAAAAGTTGCATTTGCATTGATTCTTCGGAAGTTGTCTTTCGAGCTCTCTCCATCTTATGAGCACGCACCTTTCCCTAGGTTCACAATTCAACCTCGTTTTGGAGCTAAGATAATTCTGCACAAGCTTAAGTAGCTAGTGAATCCTTTGATGATCATAGAATTGACTTTGACATCTTGATCCATTTGCACCTTTAGCTTGATGGTATTGGAACTTAATTATGCATTGGTCTCACGATAAATATGCATCTCCATTTTTAATTACTCGAAAGCTAGGATCTCAGTAATTTCAGTCATTTTTCACTTTATTGAGGAGTTTATTTTCCATTTAGTAAATAATGTTGGTTTGGCTTTAACTTTTTGATTGGTAAGATTAATTGTATGAATACTAGTTGAAAACAACTGATAAGAGACCTATTTAAATTTCATGTTCGTAGAAATAAACTTTCAGCTCAGTTAAGTGAACTATTAGAATTAGAATGAGATAGATAAAATTACATTTCTTAAATGAATGTTTGAGAATCCACAACAACTGCACCCACTCAGGTCGACTTCTTATCACATAATGCTATAATAATGTCGTACAAATGGTTTCATCTATGAGGATATAATTCAACTGGAAAAGACTTTTTAACGTAGAATTTTTAACAAATCCCAAGTCGACGCAAGAAACTTCAAATAATCAATTAAAAATCCACATTAAAAGTTTTTAATACAGTAGTATATTTTTATCGGAGAAATTATTCCGTGCAGTTGCTGTACCACATAAGATTGTGCAGCCAGACACAATAATAGGAATAAAGTAATAATTTTGGGGGAAGAGAGATAATTTTTTACGGGAGTTATACCACCAAAATAAGGGGTGCTGGTACTTGCTGCACTAAAAATCATGATACAGTAGCTGTACCCAATAATTTTTCTTTTTATCATGTCGACTTCTTAATCGGGTTAAGACAACCAGCAGGTTAAAAATGTAGTTTATTGGGTAATTTATATGGTAAAACCATGTTGCCTATCAAAAAAAAAAAAAAGAAAACAAAAATTGGCAAAATACTTTACTGTATTCCAAGTATTATGTTTTCACTTAGACCGGTTTGGTGATTTTTGAAAAGAAGCGAATATGTAAAAAGATTTTTTTTGTTTTTTTGGTTAAAGTAAAAGGATTTTTTCTTTAAGAATTTGACTAAAATGTACACCCTTCATCCCATAATTATTGTCCAATTTGAATTTTTATTTTCAGTACAATTTGAACTAAAATTGAAAATCCAAAAGTACAGTAATTTTGGGGCAGAGGGAATATGAAATTGTTTTTCCCTCGATTTCGTGATTTTTATTTTTATTTTTTTATTTAGATGCAATTTTAAAAATAAAAAAAATTATAATCATAAAAAATATAATCGAAATAAAAGAAAAGTTTAAGAATTTATTATATGCCTCAACTTTGTCAACACTCAACACTAATGAAGCAGCACGTCAAAGTCAAACGGACCTCCTAATTCCCCATCTTAGCCCTCGTCTCAAAACCCAATTCCCAAACTCCCAATTTATCCGATCCGTTCCCGGCCGCGATCCCCCCCAATCACGTCGCCGCCGGCTGCATTGAGCTTTCGGTTACATCTCTGCCGTTCCCGGCCCAATTCCCTTCTCCTGGGTTGGCGTTTCCCCTGTTTGTTGCGTAGTTTCTGGTGGGTACCATCTATTCGTTACTTATGGCTTCCTGTGATATCTTTCCTCTGAATTCCAGAATTTAACCTTTAGGGTTCACCACATGTTTTTGTTTAGTTATCAGTTCGTTTGATTTATTTGTCTTAATTGATTATTAGTAACTTGGTCATCTTTAGTAAGTGTCTTACTGTAAAGATCGGTCGTTCGCTTTCTACTTCCCATTGTTCTACGGTTCATGTTATGGTGAATGATGATGCAGAAATTGCATTTAGTTGATGGGTATTTTGGATTTATGTTATCCGGATGGAAATTTCTGATTGCATAATTACATCCTTTGGCTGAAGTTTCTGATGCATATATTTAGACTGTTAAAGTACTGACCTGAGGCTTGTTGTTGTAGTCAATGGCTGTCCTGTTGCATGTGTTTTGGAATTCCAGATGGTGCATCTGAACCTAATTTAATGTGGTTTATGGGTATATTATGTCGATTAGGTTACTGTTTATTTCTTATTTGGTGTGAGATGGAGAATAGTTTAATCCTTTCAGTGATGGGCTTTATGCTTTTTGCTGGTTTCTGCTGCTGGAAGGTGGATTTGAAATATTTGCCCACCTGCTGAGCTTGTTAAAAGTTGTAAGCTTGTCAGTGTTCATTTTGAATTATTGGGTGCATATCTCTTTTATCTGGTTCTTAAGGCCGGAATCATAGCCGTTGAGGTTGTGTGTGTCCCATACTACGTTAAAGTTTCCATCAGCAGGGGAAGGGTATGAGGTTGAGTAAGTGGAAAATCAGAAAATGAGGTGGAACAAAAGTTGGACTAGATTGTCAAGTTTGATAATTTCAAATGCTTGAACTTTGCTGAATCTGCATAAACAGAGTTTAGGCAGATCGAATAATCATTGATGAGATTATATATTTGCAGTAGGTGCCGTATTGTGATGTCTGAATTTTTCACTCTGGGAGTTAAAACCTTTGAATGACCAAATTTCACGTGAACAACTGGTCATTTTTCTAGATGCGATGGCTACAAAATTATAGCCTTGATTTTTGTTTGATTTTAAGGTGGAGATTCATGTGGGAAATATTTGATTCTCTTGTAAGAAAAGCTTAATTCTAAAGATGAAACTGTTTGTTTTTCTCCCCTTATGGGAATGTGTAATGTAGTTTATTTTTTCTTGGTGGTTGTCAATATTCTTATCTACTGTCTGTTTGCGTTTAATCCCTTAATCAGCTGATCCAGTGCATACTGTATTGTTCGCGGATCACACATTCCATGATCTAGATGGTTTGGCTTGTGGTCAGATCTGGATGAATGATTTTGAACAGACCTTATTGCATAATATTTTCTCTTCTTTGCTATATTAGCTTGGACTGTTTTCCCTAACTGTGTGTTTTGTTCATTTTGCTTTTGAGTAGGTGATATGGATGTTAATGTAAAGAAGATAAAGAGCTGGATTGTGCTCTATCCTGTTTATATCAACTCAAAGAAAACAATAGCCGAGGGCAGGCGGATTTGTGTCACAAAAGCATGTGAAAACCCTACTTGTGCCGAAATTAATGATTGCTGTAATCACCTCAAACTTCCGTGTGCTATTGAGGTATGTCAATAATAAGTTTTCTGTATTGTCTCTTTCCTCTTTTGCAGATTAGGTGTGAATTGTATGAGTTAAATTTTTTATGATCTCCCTGGTTTGATATTGCACTAATACCTTCTGTAGTTTATGTTATTGTCTGTTGCCTGATTACAACTTGTATGTAACTCCAATAGATAGACAAGGCTTATCCTCGTGATTTTATGCAAAGAGGAAGAGTGAGGGTTTTGTTGAAAAAGGAAGATGGCAGTCTGTATAATCCAGCCATTTCTACAAGTAAGTCTTCATTCCATCTCTTGCATACTTTTTTCGCTATCTTGGTTTGATGGTAGAGATTAATGTTATAACTATTAGAATTTGGTCCTTTTGGCCAATGTATGTCTAGTTTCGATTGTGTTTTGTAAACGCTACGAATTACATATCATTCATTCAAAAAAATTCTTGCGAATATTTGAGTTAGCCTGTAAAAAGGACTTAAATGATAATTCCCAAGGAATGTAAAGAAAATGGAAAACAGCATGTTCTTGTTCCAGTGAAGGGTTTCTGTAGAGCAGTGTTTAATGTTATTGAATGAAAAGGTCATACTTTTCACTTAAGCTTATAGAAAAGGTTGAAGTCCTTATAAACGCGTGTAGTAGAGCGGAGCATCACACGAATGATCATTTTCTATTTGCCCTCTTGGTGAAAGCCTTCATCGATCTGTTTTTTTGGCTGTTATTTATTGGAGTGTATTCATGGTGCCTGCCTCGTTTAACTAATTGGATGTATGTTTTTTAGGGAAACAGTTGATGCTTCACGTTGCTGAGTTGGTTCCCAGGCATCCAGGTAGGACGAAGAAGCAAGAGGCTGCATCCTCTTCTGCTTCTGGCCCTTCAAAACCTGGGAAGGGTGGGAAGAAGAAGAGATAAGTGCATTGCTTGCTTGAAGATAGACCTTTACATCTGCAGATGCCATTTTGTACCTTTTGCATCATCAAAAATTTACAGCCGGAATCGAAGTACTTTGGTTTTCCTTTTCTAGACTAGATATGATGTGCCGTGAGTTGATTAACATGCTATCAAGCTTTGATGTCATTCTTGTTGGTATCGGTGCTCGGGAAAACCCTTGATTTTTACTATGAAGCTGTATTTGCTTCAAGCAGAGTAAATGTCCGTTTTTACTAAACATTTTTTTACGAATTGGGGTAGTTTTCTCAACTAAAAATGGATTTTGATTCTCTGTTTGCTTAGCGATCAAATATCTCTGTTTTTTGTTGTACTTGTAGACCAATACAATCTTTTTCAACAAACATTTTATGATGGACGTAGAGCCTTAAAAAAAACATGCGTCGTTAAAGGGGATATGAAGAATAAGAGAGTGACTGATGTAAAGGGGCTCAAGAAATTACTCGCGTGAAGATATTTTATCACCGAAATCCTGGAAGGTTAATTATAAATTAAGAACGGTAACGAGCAAAATCTTCGGCCGCGAGTAACTCTTTGCAAGCTGCAATCATCAGAGTTCTGTTAATCAAATTAAGAACAATCACAAGAAACTATGTACAAAATCTTTTTTTGAGGCAATAATATTTGAGAAATGAAGCTCATGCTGTTAACCTTTGATTAAGAATCCAAACTGATATCTTGTCATATTAAATGGAGTTGATTACACGTCAACTTCTTTCCAAAAAATAATCAGTGGTACAATTTTAAATGTCAAGCCGAATCTCAATCCCAAACTTGCTTATTCCACAAAAAACCTCTGATCACATACACAAACAGAAACGAGGTTAAAAAGGAAAAGGATGGTGGAAGTGAACACCCATGTTGTCATGGTGTCTATTGGGGTGGTGATATTGATAACATGGGCATGGAAGTTTTTGAACGACTTCTGGTTCAAACCAAAGAAGTTGGAGACATTCATGAGAAGTCAAGGTTTCAAAGGTAACCCTTACAGATTCTTGCGAGGAGATTTCATAGAAATGATCCGGATGACTCAACAAGCACAATCCAAGCCCATCAAACTCGATGATTATGTCGTGCCTTCCATCGCTCCCTTTCATTATAAGATGGTCCAAAAGTACGGTAAGTAACACTCTTGAAACTCGCAAATCATGCCAATAGTGAGAAGCTATAGGAATGTAGTCAATAGATACTTTGTCTAAATCTGGTTCTGTTGCACCTTTGCAGGAAAGAATTGTTTCTTTTGGTATGGCCCTAAGTTACATCTGAACATAACAGATCCAGACATGATAAAAGAAATCATGCACAAGCACAACATTTTCCAGAGGCCTGCATTGAGTTCATTGTCGAAGCTAACCATAAACGGGCTAGTCATTAAAGAGGGTGATGAGTGGATGAAACACAGAAAGATAATCAATCCGGCTTTCGGCGCTGAGAAGTTAAAGGTATCCAGTATTCAATAATGTAAACTAGTAATATGTATTCCCTGCAGAAATGTGACTGTCTCCTTTGCCCTTCTTGTCAAACAGAACATGATACCATTGATGTATGTGAGCTGTTTGGAGGTGGTAAAGAAATGGGAGGAGTTGATCCAGGAAGAAGGATTCGGCGAAATTGATGTGTGGCCTGATATTGAGAAGTTAACGGCCGATGTAATTTCCAGGACAACATTTGGAAGTAGTTATGAAGAGGGAAAGCGCATCTTTCAACTCCAAAAAGAACAGTTTGTACTAACTCACCAATCCTTGTGGTCTAATTACATCAAAGGATGGAGGTAAGTCTTAATTTTAGTTGAATTCACCCCTACTTTATCTTCTTCCGCTGATGCCAAAGTTTATTGTACATTAACGTGTAGGTTTTTGGCGCCTAAAATGAACAAGAGATTGAAAGAAATTAGTCGTGAAACCGATGCAATCATGAGAGATCTTATGCTTTCAAGAGAGAAAAGAATGGAAAACAAGGAAAAATGTGAAGACATGTTAGGCATTTTGATGGAATCCAATCTCCAAGAAATTCAGAAAAATGGTGACGATGTGGGATCTGGACTCTCCTCTGAGGATGTGATGAAAGAATGCAAATTATTTTACTTTGCGGGACAAGAGACAACATCAAATTTGATATCTTGGACTATGATTATGTTGGGACTCCACCTAGATTGGCAAGAAAGAGCTCGTGAAGAGATTACTCAAGTCCTAGGCGACAATCAACCTAACCTCGACGCATTGAATCACCTGAAAATCGTAACCTGCTTTGTTGGTTTCTTTATATTTGCCGGGTTGACATCTTTGTTATTGTTAAGGATCATAACATGTGATTATGTTGGGTTTTGCAGTTAACAATGATCTTCAATGAAGTTTTAAGAATCTTCTCGTCTGCATCGAGTATAACTCGATCAACTCGTGAGACAACAAAGTTAGGTGACATAACTGTGCCATCCGGAGTGAATATTTTGATGGATTTAGTGCAGATTCATCACGATCCCGAAGTATGGGGCGACGATGCAAGAGGATTCAATCCAGAAAGATTTTCCGAAGGAGCGGCAAAGGCTGCAAAGAAACCCAATTCATACTTTCCATTTGGCATGGGTCCTCGGATTTGCATCGGCAAGAACCTCGCAACCAATGAAGCCAAGATCGCAATGGCTTTGATTCTTCTGCATTTCTCCTTCAAGCTTTCTCCATCTTATGAACATGGACCATTCCCCAAGTTCACCCTTCAACCTCGATTTGGAGTCAAAGTGATTTTGCACAAACTCGAGCACCAATTAGCTCATCTAAACAGTCCAATTTGATTTCACCATTTCCCCGATTTTATGCATCAAATAAGTTGGGGGTTGAGCCATTTTTAGGTTTATGTAGTTCAAAGAGATGATTTATGTGTAACTTGCATAAATCTGTTTCATCTTTTTTGGTGGGCTGTCATTCTATTCCAGAGTTTTGAGGATTTTGCTTGCCTAACAATAGTTCAGCTCACAAAGAAGAGTGCTTAAAGATTTGCATTTCATCCCCTTTAAGACATATAGACTGGAATATTTCACAGATTCAGAAATACAACATCGTATTAACATTAACAAGATCGGATTCTCGATTTCCCATTGTAACCCCCCAAAACGTCAAATTCTACGTTCTAAATTGTTCCACAGAAACATAAACTTAAGATTCAAATTGGGATTCGCACAGCTTGATTCGAAAAGTTCAGAATATAACCCAAATGAAAAACCACAAAGGCAAGATGAACAAAATGAAGAGAATATAGGGCAGTTTCCCTGAATAAAAACACGAGAGAAAAACGTGAACAATCCTTGAGGCTGCCCCTGGCTTCAGTAGTAAAAAGCTTTCAATTAATATAGGCCGGGTGAAATTGAGTTCTCGCACATCGGAATTTATTCAACCCTACGCGAGATCCCATTGGAACGGCCTTAATAATAAACCCCTAAAAATCTTACATTGATAAAAAGAAAATTGAAAAAGGGGGGAAAATCAAATTTGAGGCCTTTCAAGCAGGAAGAAAAATCGAGGAAGATGATTATTAATCCGAATAACGCAGAAAGGGCTCCGGTGATTAATGTCTGCCCGCAACGGAACTCCGGCGGCACAAGAGTATACAAAGCTCGCCGGGTTCTTTAAAAAGGCAAATCTAAAGCCCTAATTTGTTTTGAGGATTGTATTTATAGGCCGAAGGACCCTTTTCCAGATAAGCTCCAGCTATGCAGTTTTCTTTTCGTTTCTTTTGGGCTTCCTCTTGGGTCCAGTGGAACTATTTCTCTTACGGGCTCAAAATTTCAGGCTTATGGGCCGAATATTACGAAGATTTTTTGAAGAAATCAAATGGAGAAGAAAAGCAGGAAAACTCCCTGTTAATGCATCCCTATTGATCAACTCCAAAATTCTCTTCAATTCAATGCGATATCAGTTACAAAGAGGTCAACAATCAACAAATTATTTAGTTTTGGGATAAATAAAGAATGGTAGCATACAAAAAAAAAAAAAAAAAGAAAGACAAAATGAGGGTGATTAACATAATCAGGATGCGTCTACTTCAAACAATGCTTCTGCCAAGTAATATCTTCCAACTGGGAAGGGGAAGTTCTGTATCATTGTTCTACTATGCTCCCAAATCCTTCGGGTGGCCATACCTGAATGTGCAAAAGTAACAAGTATAAGCCAACATTATACAATTCAGTCTCAAAAGGAAGGTCAGAAGGAAGAACAATCCACATTTAGGACCAAAAAGCCAAGTCTGAACTCTTCATCCGTCATCGTGAAAACCGAAGATCTCACTCAGGAGGAAATCGGGCTGCAACAGAATGCTCATTTTATAGCTTTCTGCATTGTATTCTTAGAGATAAAAAAGAAAAGGGATTCGGCTAAGTACGGTGCACATTTTACTTCAAAGTCACTGGCAAACTAGTTTGGCATCCTTCACTCCTATATTGATCTCATGTTAAAAATCCAGAAACTGACAACACCAACATTTGTAGTATCCTAGAAGAATAAGTGATTTGAAAGTGACTAGCCATGACCCATGCGCATGAATAACTGTCTTTATGTCAGCATGCACTCTCTCATAACCACCTCGTCCACTGTCTTTCTGAACCTTCACTCCCATCTAACATTACATTCACCACAATATGCTCCTTAAACAGGAGTGATTACGCACCTAGAGTGTTTGCACTCCCCATATTTTCTTCCTCCCAGTTTCATGTGGCAATTTAAGACAGGGCTATTAGATGGAACAAGGGGAATAGAATCTGTAACAGACTCATCCTTTGGCACATTGACTTATCTAAGAGTTCACAAAAGGAGAAAACTAAAGCACGTGGTGAAGGCCTAAAAGAAATCCCAAGCACATTTGACTTCTCACTGATTTCATAGCGAAGATGTAGCCCTCAATCACATCATTTCAAACAAAAAAAAGGGGAACCCACATAATCATCCATATTGTAATGGAGTAAATATTCTTCTTCCTTCCATAAAGAAAGCAGGCAACTGTCTTTACATGAAAGAAAATACCATGCCAACTGAAATTCTTTCCAGAGTATTGACCTTTAATCTTATTTTTCTGAAGCTATTATGCAAGCAAGAAATGGACAATATTATTAAATTATCTTCCCGAGCTTTTCAATGTAGCAAGTCCTCAATTTCGAAACTATATAATTGCTTGGCAACAAATAGAGCCATTGATAGAGGAAGGCAAAACAGACACTCGAGTTTGGTAAGTTTCCCAATGGAGTCCTCTGAGATTTGTGGGAGCTAAAGAAAACAAACTTATTTGGAAACTATCCCTAAAACCTTAAGGTCAACCAAGAACAACCCAAAGGCACTTATAGGAAAGGTTTGCTTCTTTACAAGCAAGACGTGAATTTTGCCAACTTCATAATTCAAATTACTGAAGTTAAAAGACATACACATGAATACACTATGCAAAAGTTGTATAACAAGGCAATAGCAACTTCATTTTTTTTAATAAAAAGCAAGTCTAAGCAGGAAAAACTTACTCTCCAGAACGCTTTCCCCTGAATCAAACCATAAGGAACGGGGCCAAATTGCCTGGAATCCCTAGATGCATATATGTTATCCCCTTGAATCCATACATGCCCCTTTGGCACCTATACAAAAAAAAAAAAAAAAAAAAAAAAAAGAACCAAGAATACTTCATCCCGGATATTTACAAGATTTAATCTTTGCATAAGTTACAACTCTCAACCTTTGACTACATTCCAAATCACAAAAAGGTTAAAAAAGCAACATATCCCACATCAAGTAAAATTCACATTACTTCAAGAAAGCTTATATGATGAATACAATGATCATAATTCTCAAGAACAGGCTTTTCTTAACTACAGCAAGGAGAATTAAATACACGAAATATAGATTTCAAAGAATCGAAAACAAACAAAAAAGAAGCACCAATCCCACAAGCCTTCTTATACCATAACGGAGCGAGTCCGATCACTGTTATTAGGGTCCACTAAGAAAGTGACGCTCTCCCCTCCCATGGCCAGAATCCGCTTGGTTATACACTTTCTGGGATTCTCAGGGGACCTAACAACGACGACGTCACCCGGACCCACCTTCCCCAGCGACGTGGAGAGGTGTTCAACCAGCAAAACGTCGCCGGTCAAGTTCAGCGTCGGCAGCATACTCGGCCCATATACCTTATTCAACAAAACCCATTGAGTAAAAACCAATTAAATAAAAACTAATTAAGTAGAAACCAATTAAACTCTAGCCTGAAGCAAAAAGAACTGGATTTCAACTGGGTTTAACAATGAGTATGAAGCTTATTACCAGGATTGGGGAACAGAGATAGGTGTTGGTGACGTGACAGAGGCAGAGGAATTTGGTGACGAGGAAAGAGCGAGAAAGGGCTTCCTTAACAATGGGTTTGCATTGATGCAACAACTGAGAGAGTCTGCTCATCTCCGACCAATCTCATTATCCATTAACTCACAGTTTTCTACAATCGGCGGCAAAAACTACTCTTTTTCAGTTAGTAGTACTACTTCGGGTCCCAAGGTTGTTGTATTTGCCAGAAGTTGTACTAGTAGTCCTTTGACGTTCAGAAAACTTATCTCGTGCCCCTTTTATTTCTTAGAGTTTTAACTTTTTGTTTTTCTTTTTGATAATACACTAGAACATCTAATTGTTTTATAAAAAAAAAATCCTCTTACAACCCCCGTGCAAATCGAACATGATCTATTACTAGGAAGAACAACAACATAACCACTAGGCTGGTCATCCAATTCCCAAGTCGATAAATTAAAATATCTAAAATTAATAATTTTCTTCGGTCCCAAGTCGGGACCAGTACAAAAAACGAAGACAATCGATAAAATAATAAGATAATAATTTTTTAGAAAGTTCCTATGTAAATATAGGCCCTATCAATATCATAAATTAACAACGACTTTTTTTTAAAAAAAAAAAAAGAGTTGTAAAGTATGAATCTAATAACGTATGTTTTTTCTTAAAATTATTTAAATCTAAAGAGATTTCAACTTTGAATTTTTCAATTGATTTCAATCGCTCTGGTATAGATTTTCATATTGAAACAAAAAATTTCAGAAAGTTATTATAGAATCATTATCATTGTCATCCTAAATCAAAGTTTAGTGACATTAGCGGTAACGTTTCTAAATATTCTATTAACTAATTACAATTAATCGATAAATTAATAAATCTATAAATTAATAATTTTTTGGAGTCCTAACAGTATTAATTTATAAATGTTTAAGTGTATATGGAAGCTGCTGAATGCATTTTGGTTTCGGCGTCATTAGTTAAACAAATTACCACACTATCACTGGGGCTCAAACCCAATAGGCTCTGTTTGATAATCACTTAATATAGTGACTTAATTTATTTAAGTACTTAATTAAATTAAATGTGTTTGATAATTACTATTAAAAAGTCTTAATGAATTAAGTTCTGAACTAATTAAGTACTTATAAATTAAGTGCGTTTGATAACTAAAATTTCACTGTCTGAATTAATTAAGTGCGTCTGAATACTCAGTTCAATTGTGAGCCAGAAAATAAGTGATAGGCCTACCACTTATCACTTATCACTTAATTTCTGTAATGACTTTTTTTTTCTTTTTCCTTTTGTTCCTTTTTTTTCCTTCGTCTTTATTTCGACACTTATTTTTACATTGTTTTAAAATTTTTATTTTCTGTAGATGAATTAATTAAGAGTGCTTAAAGTTGAATTTATATTATGAGTATAAAAGATCCCAAACTTTCAAACTCTAATTAAACTAATTTTAATACATGAAATTTGCTAAAGAACAAGGTATACATATATATGCAATAATCTAAATTTAAATATATGTTGATTATTTACCAAGTGTAATATCTACTTTTATTATATACCAAAAAGTTATTTTAAAATCATGATTCTATTATTTAGAACAAAATATTAATTATTCTTTTATTTAAAAAAATTTTGTTTATAATTCAATTTTAGTGATATTAAAATTTTAAATAACTTTCAGACATGAGTATTTAGATTCAGTCTTCAGACTTCAGACTTGAGTCTTCAGACATCAAATTCAGACGTTTTTTATCAAACAATGTAAATTCAGTTTTCAGACTTCAGTGTTAAGTGTTAAGTGTTCAGATTCAGACTTCAGTGATTATCAAACGGAACCTAAGTGTATATAGAAGCTGCTGAATGCATTTTGGTTTCGGCGTCATTAGTTAAACAAATTACCACACTATCACTGGGGCTCAAACCCAATCTTAATATAACTATGATTTCACCATGGATGATTTTGGTAGGACCAGAAACTAAAAGAGAAGCAAATAATTAGCAACAACATTGGTCTTTTAAAAAAATCTATTTACTCATAAACAAATAGAGTTTACTGAGGTATATAGTATATGAATTATTCCTTTATTGTACACAGAATGAACAACATACAAAGAAGATTGCCTCTGACAACATCTAAGCAGTTCATAGTGGTGAAATCAGAGGAATAAATTTGCCAATGTTCAGTGTATAAAATCGAAATCTATAGTTAAAACAGTTATCTACCAGTATACAATAACATTGCAATTCCACTAGGATCATGTGCTTTGTCCCATTTTGAGCTCAATCTTCTAGCAGGAGAGGAAGTTGAACCTGGCTATTCTTCTTATATGTTCAAAATACATCTGCTCAACCAACAAACATCTCCTTAACATATCGTGTTCTTCGTGGAATGCTTACCCCGGCACTCAGCTGAACAAATGCTGTAAGAAATGTACCAGAAAAGAGGTCTAGATCATGACACAAAAGCTATTTTGGTTCATGCAATTCTTTCTAGATTATACTTTACGAATTCCTCCAGAGCCATTCGGTAAGGACCAGCCGGTAAGCATTGTAGATTCTGAATTGCCAGATCAGCTTTCTCTTTTGCCAACTCGAGTGCTCTCTCAATGCCTCCAGAACTCTTCACAACATTGATGGCCTCCTCTAAAGAGCCAGTTTCACAAAACTCTGATTCAATTATGTCCCTTAGTTTTGACTCTTTCTCCAGGGCGAAAATAACTGGTGCAGTCAGATTTCCTTTCGCGAGATCACTTCCGGCTGGTTTTCCCAATTGCTCGGCTGACTGAGTAAAATCCAATATATCGTCTACAACTTGAAAGGATAGGCCAAGATTCTTCCCATATTGATACATCCGCTCGCTAGTATCGGCGTCAACCCCACTAAATACTGCAGCCCCCTTGGTGCTTGCAGCAATTAGAGAAGCTGTTTTGTAGTAGCTCTTGATTAGGTACTCATCTAGTTCCACGTCACAATCAAATAAGCTGGATGCCTGCTTTATTTCACCACTTGCAAAGTCTTTAATAACCTGCAAGGAAACCCCAGGATATTAAGACCTTGTAGCTAGAGGTAGGTTATCTACACATGAATAGGCAAATCACAAAATGGGTTTGGGACGCTGTTGGATACAAATCGAAGTTTAGCATACCTGACTGATGAGCTTTATGACTTCAATGTTTTCAAGATTAGCAAGGTACCAAGAGGATTGTGCAAACATGAAATCTCCAGCCAGTACTGCAACCCTTGTACCATACAATTGATGAATAGTTTCTTTTCCTGTAAAAAGTTTGTCATGGTACATTCAGTCCACATACTATTCGGAAATACATAGAGTTACAGCAATACGAATGACTACTATGTTAGAGCTACAGTAAAATACATGAAAATTTGTTGCTCAGAAATATTTGAAAGGAAAAATACTTGATAAACCTCCTAGTGAAGCTGACAAATTGAATGTTACTATCCAATGATTTGCAGTTACCGATGAAATGAAAAAAGACACTTGGAAAATTGCTGAAAGGATACTATTCATCAGTATCTACCCAACGAGACATTGCAATATATTCCCAATGCAGTTTAGTAGGAACAAAAGTTCATGTAGATTACCTCTTCTCAGGTCACTTTCATCCAAGACATCATCATGTATCAAACTTGCTGTATGGATCATTTCAATGATCTCAGCCAATCGTCGGTGCTCTTTTGTTAGGTCCCTGGGAAAGCATAAATGCAGGTTACAGAGTCTGGAAAAACTTGAAACCATGAGGAAGTTGCACAAAAGCTATCACATGAAGCTTACTTCAAGCCAGCAATTTCAGCAGTGGCTCGTGACACTAGGAAAACTAATGCAGGTCTCATTCTTTTGCCACCAGCACCAAAAATCTGCTGGGCAGCAGACATCAAAACTGGGTTCTCTGCACCAACAATCTGAACAAGTAATGACATTAGATAAGCTGCAAGGATGTTGTTGAAAGATGCCAAGTGCACAAAAGCAAATTTCAGTGTTAAACTAGATAATTAGTGGCCCAGGTTCTCATCATAGGAAAGCAAAATTACAAGATAAATTCGCACTATTGTCAGACAAGGATTCTTTGTAGCTCCTTAAAATGCAACTCAACTCTCTGACGGCGTGCCACTTACACTAGGAAGCCTATGTGAATTTTTTTTTGGAAGTTGACAATTCCCACAACCACATATTGCTCAAGCAGACATATTGACAATTGTTAGAGCAGCAGTATCACTCCTTTTTTTTTCAGCATTTTGCAAGTATTGGTTCTAGGTGTCTGCTTGACTTTCAATATTAGTGACAATTCACTATATGGATGGCTACAGTCAGGACCAGCATTTGCATCTTCAACTATGTTATTGCACCGTAATCAAAAGGCTACACTGGAACCACAAAAGCAACTGTACCAGTGTAATCACACACAATATGCTAATATTAATCAGTGAATCAAGACTAGGCAGACCAGTAAGAGAACTATAACTGAGCTTAATGCTTAGTACATATCCTTCAACACCAGTGATGCAAACTTGTAAGGCAGCCTTATTATGCAACATACTGCAGAAAATACAGAAAAAAATGTAGAATAAATCAATTCGACAGCAATGGAAAAAGTTACATTGGGTACTCACAGACAACAGATTCTTATTCAAGGTTTGAAGATCATCAGCAACAACTTCAAACAAATTAGAAAGTGAAACCAGGTTGGATGACTCTGTCTTCAAATCCAATGTGGCTGGAGGATCCGGAACTGCACCTACAATGAGCTAGGAACTAAATTAATCCCACACTCGCCCATTCTCAAACAAATTGGAAGCAAACACAACATTTTCCAGCATATAATCACAATTTAGAACCAATTTGCTATCCAACATAAAGTAGAAAGAGTAAGCAGATAGTCAAAACTCTTGTAACACAAAACACACAATGGAGAGAAATACCACTTAGAAAAGTTTCTGGGGCCTTGGTTGATAGGACGCGACATCGGCCAACATCTTGGCGGCAGCAAAGCAATTTACGAGCTCTATAGCATTTACGACCATTCCTAAACAATCCATCCTTAAACTGAAGCCTATCAAAAGATGCATTGGAAGAGCAAGCACAAGCCATAGGGTCCAACCTTGTCCGCAGAAATTCAAGATTATGGCATGTCATTGACATCATTCTTAGCAAAAAAAATCAGATAACTTCGCAACCCCAAAAACCAACTTCCAACTCAAAACCCACTTCAGATATTTGCTCAAGTCATCATCTTTATCAAAACCCACAACGTCAAACGCATCAGAACCAATCAAACTTCTAACTTGAATCGGAAAAAATTAGAAAAGAATTGTCCTTTGAGGTCTAATGGTTCCCCAAAGTTGGAGAAGGGAACCTTTGCAAGTATGAAGGAAGAAACTGTGTACAAACTACAAAAGTAGGGTCTGCGGGAGGGATTCGTGTTTTAGAACAATACCAAAGAATCGAGTGGATCAAAAAAAATACCAGAAAAGATTAAAAAGCATTTGAATATTTGATATTCCTATTTTCCCCCAATTTTGGTAGTGTAGCTGGAGTTTTATTATTCCGGTTTTCCTTCAGGACAACACAAAAGTTTGGACAGTTACTTGAGGAAATTGGAGTAGAGGGAAAAATTTGTGAGGCAAAATGAAAGAAGAAGATTGTTGACCTTATCTTGCCTGCCCCTATATATTTTTTGTGTCCATTGGCCATTGCTAAACCTGGTGGTCTTACAAGAGCCATGTAATAAAAAAAAAAAAAAAGGTGTTAGCATCGTCTATTCATAGATTCGGCCACGTGTTTAATTTCTATTGTCATATTTTTTTGCTAATAATGATTGTACAATCATCAAGGAAAATTACTCAACAAAATCTCTAAAAAAAAAAATCAGAAGAAATTTCAATAAAAGGGTAGAAGAATGATGTATGACGTTTATACCAAACTAGTTTCATTAAAATTTAAAAGTTGGTAGCCTACCCCCAGTCTGGTTCATGAAAAGACAAATGATTACTTATTGGAATATTGATAATAGTTTGTTTTGAACAAGTCAGCAGTTTGATTGATTTATATTTGGACTTTAATTTAAAAAATCTAGTTAGGAGACTGTAATTGCAACTTCTAATATGGGTTGCAGTTAACCATTATGGATTTTGGGGTGGGTGTAAAACGTTATAATTTAATAAAATTTCCTTCTAATTCGATAAAAAAAAAAAAAAAAAAAATTGTTGCTTTTGTCCTTCCTCTCTTCATAGTCCCTTTTCTTTACTGAACTTATGATGATCTTGGCTCGCCAATGCTAAGATTAATTGATCAAGTGTAAAACGTTTGATCAACGGGTTGGTATGAAGACAGTTGATGGCAGAAAAATGGCGAATTAAGCTGACAAATAGAACACACGATTCCCAATAGTGAATGCTTTGACTGAAACGGCAGTGAGCCAGTTTGTTGAGTTAAGCTCAAATCATACTGTTACTGCTAAAATCACACGGACAAGATAGAATAATATTGCTACCGATGTAGAAGTCATGAATTCTAAATCCATAATGATACTAAATATCGCCAATGGTCTTTTTCTTTTCTGCTAATGATATCAATATATTATTATTGTACTAATAGAAGTCATCTCATCCAACATTGTCGTACATGCTTCTTCATCTTCCTGGGACCAATGCGTATACACAGTCGTGATAACCTGCAAACAGATACAAGAAACCGAATTATCCTTTTAAGCCCTCAAATTTTTGGACACCAAATCAAGATTCCATTTTTACACTGTCTTAACCACATTGAAACTTGGATTGAATATGTAATGTAACACTTTCTCGAGTAAAATAGGAACAAGACTTACTTGGATCCTTGATTGAAAGGAGACCCGATTGGCCGAAATCGCAAGCCGAGGGACCAAGAAATTTGTAAGCTTGATAGTAGAGATTCATGGCTACGGAAGCATGGTTGATTGCTGTGTTTGGGTAGAAACAAGGTCCACCCATTCCCAGTACAGGATCGCAATTTACATTCGGCTGCGTGCAAGCATAATCTACGTTGTTCTTGAGAAGGATCTCTTCTGATGAAGGTTTAGCAACACACCAGTAATTCTCCTATTCAAAAATATAAAAAGAAAGGACATTATAATCAATTCAAAAATAAAAACATCTCGTCATAGTTTCTACAGCTGAAACTTGATATGATGATGATCATTCTGTTGTATCAAACTAAGATTTTAGTGTTACCTCCCCATTGACCAATGCCGAAATCCCAACTGCAAGAACCCAAAATTTAAAAAATAAAGTTAGTACTAACAAATGAATCATAAATGAAGACAAAAATATGAAACAAAAAGGTACAACAAATTAGAGGAAATGAGGACCTGAAATGAAGAACAGGATAAGAAACAGAACTGAGATTGTTGCTTTAGCCATAGTTGTGAAAGAAAAAATTAACTAAGCAGACTAGAGATATGATATGTGGGTTCTATAAAGGAGAGAGTAAGGAATGCTATTTAGCTAATCTGTTAAGTATTACATCTGGAATACTATCTCATTATATAGGTGTTATGGAACCAAAAAGAAAAAAGAAAAAAAAAAGGAAAGCCGAAAGAGCAGAAGATGAAATTAGTGTTTCAGTTGCCCAATGTGACTTTTGGCTATTCGATTTCTTTGCTTCTTTCAGTTACTGACGTCTTTCCATCTATGAAATCCCACGAAAAGTTAAATTAATTTCCATTCAGGAGATGAAAATTTCGGGCTGTCTTGCAGGATAGTTACTTCGTAACGGCTGATGATGACAAATGAAAAGGTTAAACAAATTGTTGCACTCCATTATGAGATATTAAAGCGAGAGTTAGGAAAACAGAAAACTCATTACAGATAAAGCAATTTTTATCTCAAGATAGAATCTTGACATTATGACATTCATGCTTTTTGTTTTTTGTTTGGCTTCTGTAGCACTGTCAAAGATTTAATCTTTATTCATTCTCTTGCGTATTCTGATTGCTGTTAAATGGCAAAAACACAAAAGGTATGTACTGTTAAGTGTCTGTAACTTAGGAAAATGGAGTAGTTTTTAGGCATGAAATCCATGAAATCCAAGCATTTAAACGATTAATTATAAGACTAAAATGTCCAAATGGTCTCTTACATTTGGGCCTATTTGAATTTACGTCTCTTACATTAACATTTCAATATCGTAGTCCCAAACATTATGTTTTCACACTTTTTTGGTCCCATTTCACTGTTTCCGGCCTTTAACATGCTGGGATCAGGAGTATTTTTATCTTTTAATTTAATTTAAATTTTTATTAAACTTTAAATCATTGAAAATATTTTAAAATTCAGATTTTTTTATTTAATTGTTAAAATATTATTTATTAATTAAAAATATTATTATAAAATTTTAAAATTTACATTATTTTCAAAATTAATTTTTTCATATATCATTTATATTAGGTCAAAGTAAATAGTAATTATGTTGTACTTTTAACCTTGAACCCACTGTAACTTAAAAAATTTACCGAATTACAGTAAATAATTCAAAATTCAATTTCTTTAAAAAGAAAAGGAAAAAGCCAAACCATTTTTTTTTACTCTGACCGCTATAGTAAACCCTAAATGGTAATTATATTACACTTTTAACCTTGGACCCACTATAACTTAAAAAATTTATCGAGTTACAGTAAATAATTCAAAATTTATTTTAAAAAAAAAAGGGAAAAAAGCAAAACAAAGATTTTTTTTTTACTTTGACTACTACAGTTGAATTTGGAATTATTTACTGTAACTCGATAAATTTTTTAAGTTACATTGGGTTCAAGGTTAAAAGTGCAACATAAGGGTTTACTGTAGTGGTCAATTACTTTGTTTTGTTTTTTCCTTTTTTTTTTAAAAAAAATAAATTTTGAATTATTTACTGTAGCTCAATAAATTTTTTAAGTTATTGTAGGTCCAACGTTAAAACAGCAACGTAGCGTTCAGAGTAAAAGAAATCTTGGTTTTTCCTTTTTTTTTTGGGAAAAAAATTGAATTTTGAATTATTTACTGTAACTCGATAAATTTTTTAAGTTACAGTAGGTCCAAGGTTAAAAGTACAACATAATTACCATTTATGGTTTACTAAAGCGGTCAGAGTAAAAAAAAATCGTGATTTTGCCTTTTTTTTTTGTAAAAAAAAATAAATTTTGAATTATTTACTGTAACTTGGTAATTTTTTAAGTCACAGTGAGTCCAAAGTTAAAAGCGTATTAAAATTACCATTTAGGATTTACTGTAGCGGTCAAAGTAAAAAAATCTTGGTTTTGTTTTTTCTTTTTTTTTAAAAAAAATTTTGAATTATTTACTGTAACTCGGTATATTTTTTAAGTTACAGTGGGTACAAAGTTAAAAGTGTAATATAATTACCATTTAGGGTTTACTGTAGCAGTCAAAGTAAAAAAATCTTAGTTTTTCTTTTTATTTTTCTTTTTTTAAAAAAATAATTGAATTTTGAATTATTTACTATAACTTGGTTAATTTTTTAAGTTACTGTAGGCTCAAAGTTAAAAGTGCAACATAATTACTATTTACTGTGTACTTAAAGTAAATAGTAAATAAAAAAAGTAATTTTAAAAATAATGATAAATTTTAAAATTGTACAATAATATTTTTAATTAATAAATAATATTTTAACAATTAAATAATGAAATTTGAATTTTAAAATATTTTTAATGATTTAAATTTTAATAAAAATTTAAATTAAATTAAAAGACAAAAATACCCCTGATTCCGGCATGTCAACGGCCGGAAACAGTGAAATGGGACTAAAAAAGTGTGAAAATATAATGTTTGGGACTACGATATTGAAATGTTAATGTAAGGGACGTAAATTCTAGTAGACCCAAATGTAAGGGACCATTTGGATATTTTAGTCTAATTATAATCCATTTTCTACATTGATCACTGTGTTCAACTTTCGAAGAAACTGAGAAACCATTTCATTGTAAGATCCAAGGCAAGTAACATTGTAAATTAAAATTAATGACGTTTTACTTGTGCAATCTTTATCAAGAAAATTACTACTAAACTATACAAGATGGTAACTTTTTTTCATATCTAAAAATTCATAGCTGACCCACAAATCAGATAGATGCAAAGATAGAACCTTTTCTGATGGATTTATTGCTCAGCTGTAATCTACCAACATTGTCAAGCTTTTGTTCTTCTCTCATTTTATCCATCTGATTTCTACCCACCCACTTCTCCAATGTGTCAAATCATCTGGTTGTTATGAAAAGGAGTTGCATTCTAGAGTTTAGAAAACATGGCTGCATTAGGAGCAATTTCCCCTTCAATTAAGCTTTCATCAACCAAAAATGGCAGTAGTTCCTACTATGTTCGTCATCCAAGAATAGAATTAACACTCCACATAAGAAACCATTTAGATGTATCCACATTTTGTACTCATCTCTCTTTTCGGAAGGTTAGCAGTTTTGACACTCAATTCACCATCAGGGCTGCTTCATCTCCTTCAGGTAAACAAATTTCACTGATGATTACTTAGAATCTTTTTCATAGGTTTCGATAAAGTGAATTGATGTTTCTTTTACTGAATTGTGTAATTTTTGAGTGGTGAACGCAAGAGCTTGAATTCAGAAGCTTCCTTTAAGCTAACACTTTTAGGGTAGTTCCCCTTTGTTGGTTCTTTCTCGCTCTTTTTTACATGTCTAGAAACAATGTGCGGGCAAAAATTCTGAAATGTGCCTAAATTAGTTCAACATTTGCTTGAAGTGAAGTTTAACAATGCAGTTGGTAAAAACCAGAGGGCTAGGAAGAATTGAGCCCATGTCTGTCCTCCATCTCTTGAGATTTTATCACGGTTGGGAACTTTGGTGGTGAACCTGTTGAATAAATGTATATCTAAATCCAGATTAGCTTGAGAAAAAAAAAATTCCTCTGACTAATAATGCATCTAGAAATTTGAGATTTGGCCATAGATGGTTACTGTCAGCAAGTGTCAGTATGTGGTAATTACTCAAAAAAAATCTAGGCAAAAGAACTCTTTAGTGGGCAGAATGTTTGCAAAGTTGAGACGAAACTTGAATCGAGGAAGTCTTGGGAAAAAGAAAACTTTGTAAAAAGTTTTGTTCTCTGCTTCCTAATTTGAGCCTTACCCGTTTGTACATTTTTATTCTTGACTCAGCAAAATATTTCTTTTGCTTTATGTTGCTCTCCTTTGCAGCAATGTGGCTGATGGTTTTACTACGAAGTTAACATTGATTTTGGTCATGATTGAATCCTGTACTTTTGGCAAAAACACCCTCTCTTCCTTGAGCTCTACATATCATATTTATTCATGGTTTGATTGTAGTTGCAGAATATACAGAGGAACCAGCAACTAAAGTGAAGTTTCAAACATCATTAAGCCTTCCTGGTTGCTCTAGCCCGTTATCATTGCTAGGAACTGGTAAGTTTCATACTTATTGTTATGCTTATGAAATCAAATGGGCATTTAAGTCTTCGTAGATTTAGTAGTTCACGAATGTGTTTGCTATTACTAGTCAATTTTGTTTTCCAAAGATTTACTGCTTGCAGTGTTTCAGGTTACAGAGAGAAAGTATTTGCCATCATTGGTGTCAAGGTGTATGCTGCAGGGCTATATGTCAACCAATCAGTGTTAGCTAAGCTAGATGCTTGGAAGGGAAGTTCCTCAGCAGACCTGCAACAGGATTCAGCAATATTTGATACAATCTTTCTAGGTAAAATTTGGAGTGAATAGCGTAATTTTAGTTTATGAAATGTTAATGAATGATGTAAAGAGCAATGCCAATTAGTTGATTTTCTATAAGTGCAGCTCCATTGGAGAAATCTTTGCAGATTGTTCTTGTGAGAGACGTGGATGGTAAAACTTTTTGGGATGCCCTAGATGAAGCCATCTCTCCAAGAATTAAAGTTCCCACTCCAGTTGACGACACAGCGCTTTCTTCATTTCGTAGCATCTTTCAAGGGAGGTCGCTTAATAAGGGTACCTTGATATTCTTGACCTGGCTGGACTCGACCAAATTGCTTGTAAGCGTCTTAGTATAAGCCCATTTATGGTGCATTTTCTCTTTATTGTGAAAGCGTATGTCTGAAGACTGAAGAGGGCATTATTTCCTCCTCTTTTTCTGCTATCTGGAATTTGTTAAACAGATCATCTTAATTTTATCATGAAAACCTGTAGGTTTCAGTATCAAGCAATGGGTTGCCTTCAACAATTGATGCAACAATTGAATCAGCAAATGTAACATCAGCTCTTTTTGATGTGTTTCTTGGAAGGGATCCAGTATCGCCTACTCTGAAGGCTTCAGTGAGCACTGGATTGTCAGCATTGCTCAAGTAAAGATAAAGGGAGACATTTGGCAGCCTGTGTTGTTTACTGAAGTTCAAATGTGGTTTTTTTTTTCATAGGGTAACTAGATCACTGTAAGATTTGTTTTATTCAAGAATTCAACACTACTGGAATAAATGCTTCTGGATAAAGTCTTCAGTAACATCGCCCAACCGTTGATAAAGTTATACACTGCATAATTCACAATTCTGGTTGGAATTCATATGATTTTATTAGCTCAAGCATCTTGACAACTTCAGACATGGTAGGTCTTTGGGCTGGCTCTGGCTCAAGGCACATAAGTGCAATGTTGAACACCTGGTTAATCTCGTCGCCATGGAAATCTTCTAGCCGGCTGTCAATAACGTATCCCTCCCTCTTCTCTTGCACAACTGTCTTCACCTGTAACAGCATATATATCATCGTGTGTCAACAGTCTTTGACAGAAAGTTTCTTCCAAGTCATTAGTGAAGAATTCCAGCTTCTCACTGGGATGTAGTAGTGTGTAAAACAGATAAGCTGTATGAGAGATTATGTGAATGGGGTGAACTAGAACTGTTAAAATGCACTATAGGGGTTGAGAAATCCATTCAGAACTTACCCAAGTTACAAGCTTCGTTCCCTCTTCAATAAATGTTTCATTTGTAGGCTTCTTTCCAGTTAGAAGTTCAAGTAAAACTACACCAAAGCTATAGACGTCACCCTTTATGGTTGCTCTTCCTGTATCAAAGTATTCTGCGAAACAGCATTAAACTGTATGTTTTAGTCTTCAAAGTATCACAAAGGGCTCCAAGAATCTGCCAAAAGTTAAGTCGGGAGCCATGACAAACATACCGGGAGCCAAGTATCCGAATGTTCCAGCAACTAAAGTTGACACATGAGTTTTATTAGGTTCCATCAATGTGGCTAGTCCAAAATCTGATATTCGAGCTTCAAGGTTCTGATCGAGCAATATATTGCTTGTCTTGATATCTCTATGGATAATGTGCGGGATACAATCATGATGAAGGTAAGCTAGCCCTCTTGCAGCTCCTACTGCAATTTTGTACCTTGAAGGCCAATCCAGAACCATCTTGTTCGAAGATTTTCCTGTTTAATCATATTGGAATCTTCATCATCATATATACTGTAAGCAGTGGTTGACAGAGACAACAAATCAGTGCGAAATTGTAAAATTTATAAAAGCTGATGCCATACCATGGAGCAGTTCATCCAGGCTTCCAGCAGGCATGAGCTCATATATTAGAAGATTATAATGAGGAGCAGTGTAATATCCATGAAGAGTAACAATGTTCCGATGTTTTATATCACCCATCGCCTCTAATTCTCGCTCGAATCCTCGATCTTGTTCTGCACTTACCCTGTTGAGTCTTTTTACAGCAAAAGATGTAGACTCATTTATGGTCAATTTGTAAACTGTCCCATAACCACCTGATCCAATGATATCCTTATTGCTCAGTTTCATTGTCTTCTTCAAGAATATGCTACCCTTTAAAGCTTTCATCTTTGGCGATCTGAAGAGGACAAGTTTCCCACCTGTTTTAAAGCAACATAACCTTACTAGTTACTACAACAAAGAACCCGCAATACGTAAGTTTTCGACATTTTGGGAGAATCTGTAATCACTGAAAAAAAAAAAAAACCTTACAATTGAAGACAAAAAAGTACATATTGCAAAGTTAAACCTGAGAAACTGTCTTGAACAAGCATTTGCTTCCTCTTCCAACGACGGTAACAAAGGCCTGCAATTACAATCTTCGAAGCAACAAATGCAAGAACGCATATTGTGACATAGAAGGCCGGAAACTGAGAATTTCTCATCTGAGATTACTGTACGAATCTTAAATGGAAGTATGAAACAGTTGTGCTGCTAGCTCTTAACTGATGAACAACATTCAGAACAAATAAGAAAAAGTTCGGATGATGTTGGAAATCATAGTTTTTCAGGAAATGTAGAGAACCTCCAAGTTATCAGGAAATGAAGCAAGAAGTGATCTTGAAAAACTCATCAGTTTTGCACTAGGACTTTGAAAGGATACTTACTTTAAAGTTATCATTTCATGTGAACTGATGCTTTTGACTAAAATAATACAGCAGTAATAAACAATATAATTGCTTAAGAGGACTAAAGGTGAGTATTAGGACCCAACCAACCAATCCACCTGTCTGTTGTGTGTACACACATTTCTTTTGAAAATGGAAATCCATTGACATGACCAACCAAACTATTTAACCTTGGAATTAAAAAATTTTGGGAGGAAGACTTTCTTGATCATATCCTTTCTTTCATCTTTAGAGTCTATTTGTAGTATGATTCAAACCAGAATTTGGATAATGTGTTGATATTTGATCCCTCATATGGATATTTTGGTTTGTTCTTAAGTGCACATCGTTTCATTCTGCAGAGAAACTGCCGACTATGAAGTCAGACAGCTCATATGCAACAAGCTAATACTCAAAAAAAGAAAAGAAAAAAGACAACCAGTTTCAATGATTGTGGGTTGAAAACTAGCAGTTATACGTGAAATACGTGACTTTGTGTACATACCAATGTTGATAATTTTTTATTCCAAAAAAAAAAAATGATGTTTATAATATATCCTACAGAGTAAAGGGTACAAGTTCAAATCGGTTCATTTAGGGTCAGGGGATCAGATCGGTAGGATCGCGCACTAAACGTATACTGGTTTTCGACATATGAAATCTTGATACCAGTGTAATTATCCAACCCTGATACAACAGAATCCAAACTGATGAGGACGAGTTGATTGCAAACTGGGTAACAAAAACTGCAGCCAATATCCTAAGTATTGAAAGAGAAGAAGTCAATCACGCAATAGAGTAATGTGGAAACTCCATGGATTGTATAGAACCACTTATCCTGTCACAGTTCCGCGGAAGTTGTGAAATTATCAAACTTTTTGTACCTTTTCCTTCTCTGTAAAGATCTATTTATGAATGTGATTTCAGCTAACTTTTTTTATTTTTGTTTTCCTCCACAACAAGGCATTTTAAGCCAACCTGACACAGAGCAAGAATCATGTGAAATGATTATATGTCAGCTTCTGTTTGGCTTTGGTTTCATAATATTTCAGATACATAGCAATAATATTGCCTTAATCGGTTCCTGATTCATAGAATCGGCTGTAAAAAACCAGCTACCATATGCTGTATACTAGTAGGAATTTATATTGCTAACCCCTCTAAACTTCAGTTTGGTTCAAATCCAGGAAAACTCCCAAAAGCTCTATACCAAAACCACCAATCCTGCTGCGAGACCCTAATACTATGTACTCATACATACAAACCACCAATCCTGCTGCGAGACCCTGCTCTCTTCAGGCACCATCTTTGATTTGGGAGTACATGAAAGAATACTTGAAAATGATGATCACTTTTGCCAAAGAAAAATGGCATGACTTATTTCTCCAATTTCTTCTCTCCCACAAACGATGGTCAATATAACTGAAAAGATGAAGCTGGATTTCCATTAATGAAACGATCTAGTGGACTCTTTGAACCCTGCACTTCCAAAAAGCGTGCATTCATGTGTTAAAAACTAGGTCAGGGCAAAATATAAATTTAACAATCATACCAGATGCTATAAGATAGATGTCTTGCCTTCCCAATCTAGAAAGCTCAGGTTCCTCAAACAGCAGATCCTGTAGGCTCTTTCCAGTCTTCTTCCTGCAACCACACATAACGAAATGTTTCTTTTCAGTAAATGTAAAACAGGAATCAAACTTCTCTAGAAGAACAAGCAAAGTAGTTTTACCCGAATACATACTCCAGAGACAACAGCTTGTGATGAATCTTGTAGTCACTGCCGACATATGTTATGACCAAATTGCCAGCATCAGGGTGAGGCCAGGTCCTTGTAGTAGGAAAACGTAGCACAAATGTCCCAGGATCTTGAAGACCTCCAGGGCATAGGAGCGAAGACTCGGCTTCTTCCTTCGTTAAAAAACCTTCTATCCATTTGGGGGAGACGGAACTCCACACTCTGTTGATCCAATCTTGAGACAATGTAAAGGCTACTGGATACAGCCAAAACCACATTTTCTCAAAATTTACTTGAGACACAAACCCCTCGCAACCAGAGATTCTCCTAAGGAGATCTAAGTCCTGGTATACAAAGGAAAGGAATCAGGAAAATCCTATTGAATACCATCTTGAAACTGTTCATTGCTGCAACTAAAGGTTAATTCGGTCAAAATCATTGGACTAAAGTACCGAGCAGATTTCATAAAACTAGGAAGCATTGCCACTGTCACAGATTGGTGTCAAATGATTTTCCATCCAACTAAAAAAGGAGTACTAGCCCACTTCCATTATAATTCTTGGAAACATACAAACTGGAATAGCAAGAAGAAATAGACTGCCATGTCTACCATTTCTTTAAATTGTTGCTAATGGCATGATCAACATATCAATCACATGATGAATCCAAGTATCAGTTCAGTGCTCTTTGCCTTTCCTAATGTAGAAATCTATTTATTTTGTTAAAAAGTCCATTTAAATTTCAAAATAAAATAGCAACATCTATATACATGATCATGAGGATTTAAATACAGTATGATTCAGTATTAAAAAAAGGAAAGAATAAAAGACCTGTTGTGTCAAAGATCTGCTTGCACAGGCTATCCTTCTGAAATGCTCATTCACCCCAGTAACCATATTCTCCCAAAGTACATGTTGGTTGTTTAGTGAAATTAAATTCCATGCTTCAATTCCTTCTTCAATCAATCTTTTTGCTATTTTTATTTGACGCCTGGAAAGACATAATATTGCTTTTCTTGTAAACTGGAAAGTGGATCATCTATATAATCTGATCATATGTAGTCTTAGAAGCAACTAGTGACAGAAAAGCAATCAGAAACAAGCAAACCAGAACATGTTCCCCGAGATTCTGGATACTTCATCAATAAATTCATGTGCAATGTAGGTGAAAACAAGTATAAGAAAATTACAACTAATGAAACAATAACTACTCTGCTAAATGGAGAGAAGTACAATTGAAAAACTGACAGGAAATTTAAGAAACATCAAATCAGAAAAAGTTCTTTCAACTTGACATGAAATCTGTTTTAACTATAAATCTGGCTTGTGCACTATAACTTTTAGCAAAGAGCACTGTAAGAGAAAAGTGGGGTACTAATAAACTATAAATTATAAATTTGTAGCTTACAAGTGGTGGGAACATCCAGAGAACAGAGAAACCTGATCAGCAAACTTTGAAAGCTCTTCTTCCCCCACAGATACTGCAATTTCCTTCAGCAGTAGAGCCCTCTCTGATGGACCTGCCAGGCAGTACTTGAAAACAACCTCATCAGAAATTTGACTTGTACTACTTGGCATGATACAGATATCTGATCTAGTGGTTTCACTGTTATCTGATTCAGACGAGAAGTTATCCAATCTATCATGGTTCTCGTGTCTCTCTGCCGTTGACCCATCTACACTGCCAACCTAGTTCATCAAAAATATTAAAATAAGAATATCAAACGGTACACCAACCAGGGAAGGATTAACAATTATTGAAGGAACAACAAGACTCCCCATGCAAGGACAGACAATACAAATAAAAATGGAGACTCCAAGAGTCATCAGAAATATGATGACAGAGAACTTTTAATTTTGCAAGATGTTAGTTTTTCTAAGCTAGTGATGAATGCAGTTAATAAGGATAAAAAGCTCAAGAGGCTAGGGAGCTACCTTCTTAGAATTCAAGGTATCAAATTTATGTCCGTCAGCTCCGTTGGATGTCAAAGAATCAGTATACATGTGAAAAGGATCGTCCTGTCCTAATTTCACCCGCTTTGATGAGGGACTTGGTTTTGCTTCACATACAACATTATGTAAAGTCTCGGAGGATCCACTATCCAGCTTAGCAGATTGAGCTCCATTGCACAAATACGTACCGGCAGGTAACTTTTTCCACGTAGCTGAAGATGTCCGGGGATGTCGGCTGCGTGAAATACAACGTATTGGAAGAGAAAATGCCACAAGGAAAGGATAATTTCCATTTTTTGGGACTTCAAACCTGATGTGGAACATTTTATTGTCGCACTTAGATGAAAGCTGAAAAAGAGTCAACCAACCATGCATTCATTAGTTTCATAAATGACATATACATTATGAAATGAAAATGTAAATTTATCTGGAGAGAATTGAATGCCATCAACTACAAGGCTTCAACTAGACCTATCACAGTTGTAGAAATTGCCATAAGAACCATCATATATCGGGATATTCTAATGGAAAGGGACCATCACCATATCCATGGCTTGAATACATGCATAAACCATGCATAGAAGAAATCCTTCAAAATTTTGAAACCCCTAACCACCCAGAAGTTCCAAAAAAACCACATCTTTAAATTTAAACTCCAAACTTAAGGAAAAGGCTGGTAAAGCCAGAGACCGTAATACAAGCTCAGATTTCAAACATCCTGCAGTGTAGATGTTATCAAAAAATTGTTTACTTTTTAACATCGATACTCAGGACCAAGAATTTTCCCCTTGAAGATTTCATGATTGGCAGCAGTCATACCTGAGCAATCTTAAGTCTAAAAGACGCACGTCCACTGATCAGTTTGATTGGTCTATCAGATACAGAATATTCTGTTCCATCACAAGATGTAAGAAGAGGAGCTTCTCCATCAATCGTCTCTTGAACCGGTGCGTCATTATCAGCATAGCGAAGTGAAGCAACAACCTTCAAGGTAACAAAAACAAAACATTGACAGAATAAACACCAATCATTACATGTGAGCAAAAAATTTACAGCTTCTCTACCTCCAATTCTTTTTTGACAGGCTGGTCAAAGGCATCCAATAAAACAACATCCAGAGAAAAATTTCTGCGACAAGATGCCTGGTCAACAAAGGAAACCAGAGAAGCTCAATAATGAGTACATGGAAGTAAATTGTAGAGAAAAACTTGAAATACAAATAAGAGAAAAGTAAAAACTCAGAAATCCACAAGTCTATTGTGGTCAACAGATGCTTATGAGCATAATCTCAACAGGATACCAGTGCAACAAGCATTATAAAACTTGAATGATCACTATATATGTAAAACACAGAATACACTTTCCAGAAACTTAAGAAAACCAGAAACCAAATTTACGCATTGCATTCTAGCATCTGCTCCTTGAGAATTGAGCTGATCGGGAACTTTAAGAAATCCAATACATCTTACATATCTATATATAGATTTACAAATTTATTCAAAAAACAAATCGGAAATGTCAGAAAAAGAAAAGTGAACAAACCTTTCCACCCACAATGTTCCAGACACCATCAATTTCATCATCAATGTCAGAGGCACTTGATATATCGATTGCTAAACAAAGGGGTGCACTCTGTTAACAAAAAGCCATTGAACGTTAAAAAAAAATGTTAAAACACTTTCTGATGGTTCCTTACACAAATTTCTTCATATCTAAATACAAAATCAAGTCAGATTTAGTTATAGAGCATTTTAAACCTCGTGATAGTGAGTTTTTACTGGCAATGTTGAAGATGACAATTCTGCACGATACACATAACCCTGAAATCCGTGGTTGTCTCCAACGATGCAAGGCAAAAGATTTCTCTCTGCAACATCTGCATGCAATTCATTATTATGGAATGCCGTCAAAGATTTCTCGCCAACAATCTTGCCATTTATATGAAGTCGAAGAAAACTTTGTGAGCCCTGAACATCAAAGACAAAAACTTTAAAACCTCAACGCAACAGCACAGTTTCTATAAACAAAGGACATTCACATGAACACACCTGGCATCCGACATGAAACCACTTTCCAATAGGAACATCCACAGAGGATGATAAACATGGGACCGCTTGCAACATATTTGAATTGGCAAAGGTAGAAGCCTCTCGATGCAGATGGAGGACTGGAAACAACAAAAATTCCTTCTTTTCGTTCAAGGCAAGGAAAGGAATGCTTGATGTTATATCAGTGTGCTCCTGCATCAAATCGGAATACCTTAAGTTTGGACAATATGAGTGCGATAAGAAATGAAACTAACGAAACATGAATGCAATTACATTGCAGGCAAACATATTAAGTTCCTAGAAATCTTACTAAAGAACCATGAAAGCAAATGACATTGCAGGCAAATGTACTAAAATTCCGGGCACAAATAAAACTTCAAGTTTTTTATCTGAAGGATGTAAAGCAATACTGCCTAGATAATCCTATTTGAAACACTAGATGATGTCAAATAACATGTAAACACTAATAAATATGAGACCACCTAGAAATGGCTCCACGAAAGAATATAAAGGCTACATATGCAGATGGACTCACTCAACTAGCAGGACTATTCACTATTGAAGCCAACCAAAAATTTGGAAAGAAAGTCTTCTAAATGGACAGAAACCTAAAGCTGACAGGAAGTCTTCTCCAAAATCAAGCTTCCAAATACACTGTAACAAAATTCCCAAAGATTTTACTTTAATCAAATTCCCACACATGTCACCAACATTGCATCAACGAATTACAAACATCTACTATCATCAACAATTCGTTACCAGGGAACCAAAATAAAGAGAGAAAGCAAAAAAGACGCAAACTTTAAGCACCCCAATGAACTGATAGAGAATCAAATACTACTGGATAAGAGAAAAAGCAAAATACAAGGAGAAAAACAACACATTGTATGAGAGGTGACAGTTGCAAAACCTGATGAAGAATTGTGCGGGAAAAAGAACCAGTCTTGGTGAGGTAAAGCCAGAAACATAAACAGAAAGACCCATTTTCTTCTTTGTCAGGAATCTTCAATTCCACCCGAAGATCTTTCAGAAAACCGTAATCTTGCATTTCCACCACATTAGAACCGCCCATAACTCCTCCCCACAATTTCTTGATCAGGCACAGTAAAAACTCTCTTTTTTTTTTTTTTGGAGTTTCCACCGCAATCGCACTTCTCAATCACTGGGCCTTTGACAAAACTTTCTCTTAAAGTAAAAACAAGATACAAATTTTTCTTCTTCTGGGCTTCCTTTTCCTTTCAATTTCAACAAGTTTTCAACTTTTTTTCTTTTTATTTTTGTGTGTGATGAGTTATGACGGCTGTTAATTAACGGTTGGTTGGAGTCCTCGGCAGTTCAGTTTCCAGTCTTCCCAGTTTCCCCCCATTCCAAATATTGGGGCCTCATCAGATGTTTCGCGGCGTATGGGTCGCTTCCTGCTCCCGCCAGTGTCCTCAATTTGACCTTACTTTTGACATGCTTTTCTTTTTCTTATTTTTTCTTTTGAGGTAATTTCGACATGTCAAAACAGCAGTACTCTTCGTTTGTTTCATTTTTTTATGATACTTTTAAATTAAAATACTCTTCCTGTCCCAAGTGAAATATCAAAATGGACAATACTTTTAAAACAAAAGGAATATTAATAATTGTCCCATCCCAACAAACTTTTTTACGTTTCCAATACACTTTTTTATATTTCCAATATAAAAAACACCTAAAAACACACTCTAAAAAAATGAAACAAACATAATATCTCCATATTTATAAATAATGCTTTCGTCGTTTCATCTTAATAATTTATGAATATACTTTCTTAATGAATTTTAACCAATTATCTAATAAGTAAATTATTTTCCTCTAACCCAAAAAAATTATTCGTCTCATATATTTTTAATTGAAGAAGATATGACTAAACTGTATAAATGGTTCCCTACATTTGCCCGAATTTAAATTTTGGTCCCCTACATCAACATGTATATAAATTGAGCCTTTATATTTTAATTTGAAACTTTTTTTGTCTTTTTTCACTGTTCTGTCAACATTTCCGTCTTGATGACCGTTGACCCTACCAAGTTAGGGGTATTTTCGGAATGACACATATAAGATTAAAAGACTAAACTGTATAAATGGTCCCCTACATTTGTTCGAATTTAAATTTTGATCCCCTACATCAGTATGTATATGGATTGAGCATTTACATTTCATTTTGAAACTAAAATATTAAAAATTATTATTTTATAATAAAAATTCAAATGATTCAAATTTCAAATTTCAATTTTTTTTCACTTCCCACCTTTGTGGGTCCCACATGCCAGTCAATTTCCCCCCTTGTTTTTGTTACAGTAAAAAAAAATCAAAATTAAAAAGTAAACTTACCTTCACCCGTCTTTTATCTTTACCCTTAAAAATTTTATCCTTACCAAGTCACTGTTACAGTAAACCCTACTGATATAAAACCTTATTTCCTGGCATTATTGACCCAAATCCGACGGCATCAAACTGGAATTCCGATCTAATTCCTACTCTATTTATCATCTCCAATCTTATCTGCCAACGTCTTTGTTCATTATCTTTATTGTATTCCTAAATCTTTCTTCTACTTCAAATAAATTTGCAGATTTTTATGTCAGCCTCCAGTGGTAGCAGCAACAACGGTAGCAACAGCAGTAACGGAAACAGGAGCTACCTTCAGTACGAGAGATTCCTTTGCAACAAATGTGGGATGTATTGTAATTTTGGGCTCTCTGCAACCTATAAAAATCCTAGTCAACTGTATCATGATTGCCCTAACCATGGATTTGTTGGGTGGGCTATACTTGTAGCAGTGACTTGATAAGAATAAAATTTTTAAGGATAAAGGTAAAAGACGGGTGAAAGTAAATTTATTTTTTAATTTTGATTTTTTTTTCTGTAGCAAAAAAAGGGAAAAATTAACTGGCATGTGAAACCCACACAGGTGGGAAGTGAAAAAAAATTTTGAAATTTAAAATTTGGAAATTATTTTAATTATTTATTTTAATTTTTAAATTATTTAATTTTTTACTATAAAATAATAATTTTTAATATTTTAGTTTCAAAATGAAATGTAAAGACTCAATCCATATATATGTTGATGTAGGGGACCAAAATTTAAATTCGAACAAATGTAAGAGACCATTTATACAGTTTAGTCAAGGAAATATTTAGAAGGGAGAACCATTCAAACCCCAAAATTACAACGGAAACAGTGAGCGAAAAATTGTTAAAAGGCCAGGAAGCAGTTGTTTTCCTGAACTACAAAACTTCAAAGGAATGCGGAGTAGGTGACTTTAACGTTTCCATTGGAGCATTCATGGCAACAAAGGATAAGTAATCATCCCTTCTTAATTTCGCAGGGGTGTCCTATTCATAGATTACATTTTACAACTTCCGAACAAAATATTTGATTGAGAGATCAATTGTTCACAGAGTTTCTATAGATTATATAAAGCAATTTACAAGATGTTGTACAGCAATGTTTTCGGTATTAAGCCAACAATATGATTGAAGCTGGTCAAGAAAAGAACTCCAGGTTCCTCATTTGCTCAGTTTGATGAGACCTTCTCTCTTGGTTTCAGTTTAAGAGAAGCACTGCATGTACCACAGAAATGGCATTGCAAATTAGCGGGATAAAGCCCTTTAGTGGCAACTTGCTGCTTTGAGTAATAGAGAGCAAGACCAGTTAGTGCCGAGTAAATACATACCTGTTAATGCAATACCGCTTCCCCGTAGGTGGGGGGCCATCATCGAACACATGACCAAGATGAGCATCGCAGACGGCACACAAGACTTCTTGACGAGGCATAATTATGATAGATAAATCTAACTTGGACTTCACATTGTTTCCTATAGGCTTATAGTATGATGGCCATCCAGTTCCGCTGTCATATTTGGTTGATGATCTGTAAAATCGACAGTAGCGTGTCAATTCTGCACAGAGTCACGGACAGTTGACAACAGGACTGAGACGTCTATAATTATACGGCAGTATTGTCAGTTTTTCACTAGAACCAATCTAGGGGAGATACTTACTCAAAAAGTGGAGTGTCACAACAGATGCAATGGTATATACCTTCAGTTTTGGTGTTCCAGTATTCCCTGGTCATGATAAAGCAGGAAAAAGAATTATCTAATAGAACATCATACCTTCACATTCAGAAATGACATTATTCCCCTGCTGCTAGTATGCAAGCTTGGTAAGACGTCAGAACATAGAGCATGGTTTCCTACTTCGCATTTAAACTTTCACTAACAAAATGATATGAGAACCAGATTTTCCACAAGAGTAGGAAGTATCCAAGTTGCATTACAGCACAACTCTAAAAGATTTAGAAGGAATAGTGGCTTCACAAGAATACAAGTTTCCTGCATGGAAAGAGCACAAGAGAACTAGGCCAATAATCTCAGAAATGAAATCATCTGTAGATGGTTGATATCACAATCAATAGGAGCAAAAACTTTGCTAACTCAAATGGTGATTCAAAAGATAGTCAAGACAAAATGCCCAAACATGCATTCATTTCTTGCTTGTCCATGGGTGTACGGTCAAATTCCCATTTTCCAATAGCAGGTGGAACAATTACAAGCAAACACTACAAAGAACTTGGATAGGTACAAGACAACTTAAAAGAGCTCTACTGACACACAAAAAAAAAAAATTTCCTAGCAGCAGTCTTGGCTCATAACCAATTCGTGCCGCAAGGTACCTTTTTCATGAAAACTTTAGCATGTTTCAACCGTATAATATGTCAGAGTCATATCTCCTATCAGTGTTGACTGGTCTCAACATGAAGACCAACTGGCTGTTTCAGGTGCGTCACTAGGCTATGAGAAATCATCTACGGTAATAACAATGAAAATAATACAATTCACAGTGCTACATAACTACATAAGTGATGATCAAGAAGCGAAAAACATAAGTGATGACCAAGAAGCGCAAGGAGTCGAACCCAAAAAGAAATCATACCCAGTGAAAGCCCTCTCAGTCCCCTTCTTCCGGGTTACATAAAATTGTTCCTCCGTGAGCCGTTTCCTCCATTCTTCATCACTGAGAGAACTATAGTTTACATCACCAGCAGCTGCATGTATGTAGCCTGATCAGAGACATACCCGAGAGAACACGGTGTAGCTGAAGCAAAAGCATCACAAAGCTAACTAGCAAGCCTAGAATTGACTAGCAAGAAATCAAGAACCTCTGCAGCCAGTTTATCTTGGATGAAATAAACGCTTCAAATGAAAATCCTAAGTGTAAAGTCTCAAATTTTAATCTAATCAGAAGTTGATCCAAAGTGCTGACACATCATATTCACTTTCAGAAAATATTCTACAACTTAAAACCTGAACACAACCTCCGACTCCATTTCCGGGGTGGGGGATCACAGATACCGTCTAAAAATTGCCCACTCCCTCGTTAACAAATTCAAATGATTCTCCTAAATGAACCTTGAATATCCTGTAACTCCTTAATTGATTAAGTCAAGCTTCAATCTTTAATTTTCATAATATGCAAAGTGAAACTTAACACCAATAAAATTCCAAGAGTAAAAAAAAAAAAGATTGAAGTTTAAGAACCTTGAGTGCTGTCCGGTTTCTGGGAAGAAGCTGAGGAGCCCATGGATTGAATGGAGAAGGAAATCTTGTATCGTGGACTTCTCCGAGCTCCAAAAGTTGCAGAAAGCCGAGGTTTGCTGTCCAATCTGAAATGGGTTTTCGATGAAAAGTTGGTTAAGGGGCTTAAGCTGGTCCTTATTATGGTGTGAGAAGCCATTGCTGACACAGACAGAGCTCGGTCCTAAGAATACCAAGTCATAACCGCAATTTCTTTATTTCCCACCGGAAGGTACGGTGCTCCCGGGTGTACACATGAAAAGATTAATCCATCATTGTGGACCGTGAGATTGTAAGATTATCTCCAGACTTCTACTCTGCTCCAGATTTTTTTTTATTTTTTGAACGGCTAAGATCGTAAGAAGCATGGTAAAACAGGTGTTACGCATCGCATGCAATATTTTGTTGGACACGTGGGAGGTCATTAACCAGCCAACTAAAATACGGGTCCATCGGCAGCCACGTCTCTGACTCACCAATGATTGGGCCACAGATAATGGACTTCAAAAATATGGGCTTCGAAGAGATTAGCCCAAACGAAAAGACTCCATTGACCAGCGCTTTGAATCTGTTCAAGTAATAATTACTTTACAAATTCCTTTTTTTTTTTTCCTTTTTCTAGTTGGCACATCATCTCTGAGCTAGTTTTTAGAAACCTTATAATAAAGTACTCTCCGTTTCGACAAGAGCAAAATTATTACTTTCCAAATTGAATTTTGATATTTGTAATGTTTTAATACAAATTTCAAAACTCAATATGAATTTTTTATTTTTGAAACAGAGTATATTGAACTAAGTTAATACAACAATAGACATCAATGAGAATGGCTTATCAGAAGAAGTTTCTTTTGTTGTTATCCGCCACAAAATCAGACTATGATTTTGGTATTGATATACGAAAGACATTCAAAATAGAGTTGGAACCTTATAAATTAATTGACAATATGAAACTTATAATATATATATATATATATATATATATATATATATGGCTAGCGATATTGCCAGTGCAATAATTAACTACCAGAGCAAATATTTACATATTTTCCAAACTTATCCATGTTGAGTCAAACCTAATCCATGTCCAAATTTGAAAAGTTTCTGGATTGTATTGACTACCTTTGGAAGAAAAACATTGATACGGTGCTTGTGCTCCCAAAAACAAGATTATTACATAAAAGATCTTCTAACTACTAGATGCACGTTCCATGAGATTGAAAAGCAAAATTGTTTCCTTTCGTTACTAATGTGCGATAGAATCTTTCCACAATTACAAACAAACTTAAGTGACGAAATAACAAGATCTTCTTGAAAATTTATTTCATAATAAAAAATACAGTCATCTTATAACCGAGAAAAAAAAATCACTATTGGCAATGGAATGGTATAACCCTTGATTATAGTACTTAACAAACAGAAATTTCAGCAATCATGTTGGAAATAAGAAGATTTTGGAATGTTTATGAAACAAGATATCTCCAGCCAAAAATTAAAGAAAAAAACATAACAATAGCGAAAATAAACCAATAAGAAATCATCACATCATATTTCCCAATCTGGTTGCAAAACCACAAAACGTTGCTCAACCTAACCATGATTTCGGTGCCTGATGGGTGGAAATTATTGATTTCTTACCAAGTTTGAATCTGATTTTCGCATCGAATCTTGGATTATACATGGATGCTCTATAAGTAAAATATAACTTTTTTTAGAAAAAGGATTACCAAGGTTGATGATTATGGTGTGAAAAAGATTGTAACAAAGAAGAAGACGGCTATGAGGGTTTGGAAATTGGAACGATAAAGAAGCAAAGAAAGGGTAGAATTAGTTTTGACTCGAAAGGGGTAAGTTTGACAAATATGCAAATATTTGCTCTGGCAGTTAATTATTGCGCTGGCAATATAGCTAGCCTATATATATATACTAGTGATGTCTGGTCGCGCAATGCGCGACCCTGGCCCAATATATCTATAGATCTTAGAAATGTTTGTATTTGAAAAAACATATTTTGCATTTGGCCCGATATATTTTAAAAATGTTTGAAGAATTTAGAAATGTTTTATAAGTATGATCATAAAAACGTTTGTATTTGGTAAAAAAAGAAATTGTATTTAACCCGGTACGTTTTAGAAATGTTTGAAGATTTTAGAAATGTTTTATAAGTGTTACTTATTAAATATAATAAACTTGATCAAATATATGTCTTGAAGTAAATGTTAGACAAAATATAAAAGTATCCTACTAAGTTTAAATATTAGTAAGATGTTTTATTGATGTTCTCCGTTTTTCATGTCGAATCAATACTTAGTTTTGGAGATTTATAATAGCTTTGTAGTAAGCTTCCTCCGAAAGGTATACGTTTAATTGTTGGAACTGTTTCTTCCAAAGATTTATAGGTAGTAAAATATAAAAATATGATTTTGAAACTGATTAATTGTTGAAACTGGTTGATCAAAAATATGAGAATGAAAATTAATGTAAATTTGCATAGGTTCCAAGTTATAGCAAAAAAGAACTCACCTCACCATGACAAATAAAAAAAAAGTAAGTAAAAGAGCCATTGAAAATTGAGAAATTATTTTTCCTGTAGGTAAAAATGATGTATAAAAACACAAATAAATGTAGAAACATCATTCCTTCCCTCTCCACCTCAAATTCATAAAATGCTTCCCCATAAATTAGTTAGAAGAAGCGACCTGAACTATTTATATGATGAGTAACTCAAAAAAGTCCAAAAACCAAATCCAAAAAAGTATATTCTTGAAAGCCCGAACACAAAAAAAAAAAAACAAAGCGCTTCATTTGCAAAAAAAATAAAATAATAATAATAATAATAATAATAATAATAATAATAATAATAATAATAATAATAATAATAATAATAATTGGTCAACTGGGAGTATGAAACAAAATAAAAAATAACTAAACAAAGAAAAAACACAATTCATAACTGATCATATACGGAAAAAAACTGAGACTCCATAATTAAAAAAAACCACTCTAATTGAATGAAACATAAAAAAAAAATTAAAAAATCACACTTTGTAACAAAAACCCAATTGATCAATTCAATCCAAACAGAACTAAAATCATACAAAAATTCTAGGCTAACTAACCATATAAGATATCACTTCATATTACCTGGCAACGGCTACGGTAGCTGTAACGGGTGGATGCATAAAAATAATAGTAATAACACTATTCTTAAACGGGAAAAATAAAAAATAATAAAAGTCGTACAAATGATCTGTGGATATAAAATCATTTGAATTTTAATATCTGTAATGGCACCACCATAACGGCCGAAGCAAGATCAATGAGAATTTTATTTTTTTTTTCCCTTTGTGTTTACATAGAAAGGTAAAGAGAATATTTTTTGAAGTCAAAATTTTATCCGATTAGGATGTAGTTGATCATAACTAATGAAAAGATTGAACATGCTAATAGGAAATGAGTATATTTCACCACTTATTCTCAATTGATGATTGATGCGGAATTTGTTTTGTATTTTTTTTTAATTATGGAGAAAGAATTGATTAGGGAGTCGATTGTCGGGAGATGGGGATGAGGATTTGGGTTTTTTATGAAGCCGTGGTTTTTTTTTTTTTTGCGAAAATAGGAGGTAGAGGTGGATTTGGACTGCATTTGCTTTTTAAGTCTAGGAAACTGATGTGTAAATAAAAATTTATTTTAAAAATATGATGTGAAAATGCCACATGGCAAATGGTGGTGCTTTCTCTTGAGTGTGGTTTTTGTTTCTAATATAGTAAGATATATCTACATTTTCTTAATATAAGATTTTTTTTACCCCTGAGAGGTTTATATGCTAGAAAAGCACATGTTTAGAGAGAGAATTAGGCTGGTCTTTTTGAACCACGGTTCAGGTTGACCCGACGATCTGAACTGAACCGGCCCAAAATCGAACCGAAATTTTAATTTCGATTCGGATCAGTTCGGGTCGAAGATTTTAAAAGTTGGAACGGTTCGGATCAGTTCGGGTCAAAAGAATATTCAAATTGAATCGAAAAAAATCTAAAATCAAAAAGTAAATAATTTATATTTTAATAATATCGTCGTTGACCGCCGCTACCACCTTTGACTACTGTCGCTGGTCGCCGTCAGCGACAATTTCCAGCCAAAATTCCGACGACTTTATCGGAAATTTATTTTTTCCGGCAGCCGGTGACCGTCTCTGGCGTGATGACGTGATCGTCACTTTTGATGACGTTATCACTAGCAAAATGGTTCATTTTGGGGCAATTCGGTTTAGACCTGAAATTTAACCCGAATCGAACCGAACCGAAACTATTTGTGATCTAAAAGAAATTGACCCGTGTTTTAACCGAACCAAAATAACAGTTCGGTTTAGACCAGTTCGCTTCGGGTCGATTTTCTTCAAAAGGAAAGCCCTAGAAAGAACCACAAAGTATCTGAAAATTTTAGCATCTTATTCTTCCCTTTGTGAGAAAAGAATTGTATCGTTTCTTTAGGAAAAAATTAGTGTTTCTACTTTTTTTTTTTTTAGAAAAAACATTTGTTACGGACATAGTCGTCGATCCATTCAAAAATATAATATCATTGAAGTGTTTATAATTCAGTGAGGGGGATTAGTCGCTGTTGCCGACGGTGGACACCCTGTAAATATGCAATATATATATATGTATATGTATATGTATATGTATAATACCAAAAAGAAAAGGTTAGCTGAATCAACAACCCGAAATGAAGACGGAACGAAGAAAGAAAAACAGATTTTTTTCAACGGAAAACAAAAAAAACAGATTAAACGCCAAAAGGTGCATTGATTCTAAATGAGCAAATCATCAACTATGTGGAGGAGACATTGGCAAAGTTCTTGGGGTGTTGATAGCATTGGCATGTGATCCGCACCGTCAATCTGTTTGACTACTTTGACCAACCCAGAATTCTGAATCATCCAATTCTGAAGCTTTGGCGTCAATGCTTTATCCTCCTTGCAAACTACGTAAGCTCGCTTCACTGAATTGTATTTCTCAGCCGAAAACAATTTTGCTTTCGATAAATACTCCATGAATGTCGAAGCTGGCCTAATCAACAGTTTTGCCAATTCGATGTCCTATCAAAAGAAGATTGGAAATTAAGTGAAATAATTAAGTACTCTTGAAAACAAGTTCATTGAATGTTTGATGAGTTTTAGTTAAACTAATATGACCTTTTTTCATTCGATTGTACTATAGAATTAATATCAATAAAATCGGGAATATCTGACATGTACTATCTTGAATTTCCTTTTTTTATTAAAAAGAAAGGAGTACTGTAGAGAACTACAGAGCAGAAAGGCATGTATACCTCAGCAGAACAATTCTGGTAAAATTGGGAGGCCAAGAATTTGGGACCGAAGAGCATTGATGTTCCTGGCTGTTCTGGGCTACCATAAGTTGAAATCTTTGTATCCATTAATACATCTTCTGGGCTTTCACCAAAAAACTATTCCAAGAACAATGACATAATAAAAGCAATTGAGAGGGAACCTTTTTTTTTTTTTTTGCCATTTATGTGTTACAAGATGGTAAAAATAAAATAGAATGAAGAAGTAATGTAATTTGTCTTATTTTGTTTGCATGATAAATGGGAAATCAGGAATCACCTAGTAATTTTTAGTAATGTAATTCCACAACTTCGTGATTATATGTTAAATCACGTACATAAAACTCAGTTTGTCACTATAATAGACAGTTTTATTTTTTTATTTTTTTTTAAAAAGTTTTAAAAAGTAATTTATGTTTTTTATATGCAAATGATTGAGTGGCAATCAAACAGGACAAAGAGGTCAACTTATACGGTTATGTAACAGGATTCTTATATTAATGCAGGCAAGCAGAAAGCATATTCTGACGAAACAATATTATTAGAATTAAAGATAATTTAGTAGAAGGAGATGGCGAAAAAAAAAAAAACAGAAGAAACGAGAAATGGATTATTAGTTTCATCCATTAAATGAAATGGATGTGCAGAAATTCAATGATGAGAATTAAAACTTGCGAATAATTATTTTTCAGGACTCAATTATAATTCAATCAACAAAATCTGTGCTACAAATGAAAACAAAATCAGCCATGCAAAAATCTTGTAGAAAACTACAATAAGCTAGCTAGTAAATTACCTGTTCCATAGGATAGGAAGGAGCATGAACAACATCAGGTAATACAGCTGCGACGAAAACAGCAACAGCGATCTTTTCAGGATAAGATTCCATGGTAAGAGCCAAGTTCATACCGCCGTAGCTATGGCCGACGAGAACGACTTTCTGGTCGGAAGGGATTGCCTCCATGAGTTTCAGCAACGGCAAGCTATGATCATGCAGTGTATGAAGCTCTTCTAAGCTCTTTGTGTCGATTCCGCCCGCCGCCATATCTATCGCGGTGACCCTTTGTCCGGCGGCCTCCAGTAGAGGCTTCAGCTTGTACCAACTCCATGCTCCGTGGCCTGCCGCATGCACAAGGACAAAATGGTTTTTAGGATTATTCCCGACTTCCATAATTATTTGCTTCGACTTTGTGAATTTGGATTGGGAAAAATTCTTCAATTTGGGTTGTTTCTTATAGGGCATTTTCCTTATTGCCACATTAATAGTATGTACTAGAATATATATATATATATATATATATATATATATATGTGTGTGTGTGTGTGTGTGTGTGTGTGTGTGATTCCATGGAGGCATGTGGGTTTAGTTAGGGGTCAGTGTCACAAGTGCATATTTTAATTTAGATGGTCATTAATCAGGTTTTTATTTAGCCTCATAATTGCATGCTAATTGTTTATAATTATCATTACTTCTATTGTACTTCAATAGTCTACTATATTTTTATTTTACTGTTGGGATAATAGATCCCACATCGCCTTCGTCAAAGATCTATCACCTATTTATAAGTACCAAAAACCACCCCACTCATTGTCAATTGTGATATGCTTACATTTTACCTATTTATTATATCCCTAATTTGTGATTTTTGCAATATATTTTGAGTACAAATATGCTATTTATATGATTTTATCTTTATTTGTAGGAATTGTACTTGAAAGGACGAATTGTTGAAATTGTGGGCTAAAATGAAGATAAAAGCAACTCAAAGGGGGAATTGAAGATTTGATAAATTGACAAGGAAGAAATTGAAGTACTTGAAAAATTAGAGGATTAAACAAGTAATTTTGGAATTTTTAGTTTTTGGAAAATTGGCCGAGAGTTCAAGGATTTGCGGTTGATTTGAGATTCAATATGGGTAAGAATTTTAATCCCAATATTATTTGGGGAACAAGTTTTCTTCCTCTTCAAGAAGTAGGGTTTTGACGGAAGCCTATAAAAGGAGGATTAGAGATTTATTTTTACAACCGAACTTGACCGAAAACTCACTGAAACCCTACGGTTGAAAACTCCCTCCACCGGTGCTCTCCTTCTTCTCCTTCCACGCACCAGCCCTTCTCACACAACCCCATCCCCACGCCTCCTTCTCCATCAGCACCTCACCAAACTCCACGCCCAACCCTTAATCACCATCCTCTTCAACACCAGCTCACCACGCAGCAAACCAGCTCCTTGCCGATCACCTCCACGCACCACCACCGAAGCAATCTCTGCAGCAGCAAAACTCCTCCCCGCCGAGTACCACGCATCATCAACAACTTCATCATCCTCACACGCAGCAGCCGCAAAGCTAGCACAACCGCCGGGGAGTTTTTCGGCGGTTTTTGTCTTCTTCCGGGTTTTATTGTGTTTAGTTTTAATTATTTAATTCAGATTTTTTTTGGATGATGTCTCTAAATATTATTGAATTATTTTTGATAATGTTTAGTGGCTAAATTCTTTTAACCTGGGGCTTGGGTGTAGCCACCAAATTTATTTGGTTTATTTGGTTCATTATTATTTGATTTCTATTAATTAATATTTGTTATTCTTGTTTTAATTCGTATAACTAACTGGCCACTATTTACATGTCTGAAAATACTAATCGAAGTAGCGAGAGTGGAAGGTTAGTATTAGTTCGTAGGAATAATAGACTTACGGTGTAAGATACGAGAGTAAGATTATAACCTTTGCAATGTTTGGTTCTTAATGGTCTTAATGTGCTTTTGTTAATCCTATAGTCACGAGAGTAGTCATAGGGTTAATATAAGTAAGAGAATTATAATACGAGAGTGTATAGTTCTTAATTAGTTGAGTCGTTGTGAGATTAATGGAAGTTAAAAGTCAGATATTTATGAATTGAATCAAACCAAATATTCGGTAGGTGAACCCAATGTCTTAGTTTTAAATTTTATAAATCTGAGATCATCGTTTATCTAGATAATAATAGGAGTAATTTATACCTAGTAATTAGTGTTCCTTCTCTGTGGGTATGACCCTATTTTCCGCTATACTAGTGTTAAGTAGGTGAATTTATTTGGCTAGTTGTGATGACGGATTGTCAAATTTGGCGCCGTTGCCGGGGAAGGCAGCTAATACCGAATTTATATTACTTTCTTTTATTAGTTTAGATTTTTATTTTATTTTATTTTATTTCTTTCAAATATTTTTGTCTTGTTTTTTATATGCGAAGTGCTAATTCTGAGACTTTGCAATTTGATCCAGAGATAGAAAGAACAGCTCGTGCAAACAGAAAAGAAGCAATGCTAAGAAAGGAGAAGAATCAGAGTGAAACCATGGGTGATAGAATTCAGACACTGAGGGATTACTTCACACCTACGGAGAATGTTGCTAGGTCAAGTATTACTAGGCCTACCATTGCTGCTAATACCTTTGAGCTCAAGCCAGCATTGATCCAGATGGTGCAGCAGAATCAATTCTCCGGTTTTAACAATGAGGATCCAAATGCGCATATTGACAACTTTTTAGAGATCTGTGATACTGTTAAGATAAATGGTGTGACGTCAGATGCAATCCGGCTGAGACTTTTCCCTTTTTCATTGAGGGGAGAAGCGAAGAATTGGTTGAATACTTGCAATCCTGGTTCCATCACAACTTGGGATGAGCTTTACAAGGAATTCCTGATCAATTTCTTCCCACCAAATAAGGCAGCAAAATTGAGAAATCAAATTACTGGGTTTATTCAAGAAGATGATGAGACATTTCATGCTGTATGGACAAGATTCAAGGAATTGCAAAGAAGATATCCTCACCATGGTATTGAGAAAAGTACTCTTGTTCAGACTTTCTATGAAGGATTGACAGATTTTGGAAGAAACAATATGGATGCTGCAGCTGGAGGTTCATTAATGGATAAGTCAATTGATGATGCCTATGAATTGTTTCAAACTATGGCAAAGAATAGGAATCAATGGTCGACCTCGAGAAGTGTTTCCAAGAAGCCTGCTGGAATGTATGACGTCAATGAACTAAGTGTCATGAACGCAAAGATAGATGCACTGACTAAGGCGATGGGTAATCTTGTAAATGCTAATGCAGTCTTCCATGCCACTGTCTGTGAGTTTTGTGGAGGTCCTCATTTGAGCTCTGAATGTATGCAAGTGGCAAGTGCACAATATGTCTCTAATTTCAGCAAGCCTCAACAACGGAACAATCCGTACTCCAACACATATAATCCTGGTTGGTGAAATCATCCAAACTTTTCTTGGAATAATCAATGGGCTTAAGACTTTAATGCAAGACCTCAAAACCCTCCTGGTTTCCAAGCAAAGTCATACCAATCTGCGCCTAAGTCAGCAACGGAGGCAAGTTTGGAGAGAATGGAGAAATTGTTGAGTGAAAACAATGAACGTCTAACAGAATAGAATCAAGGTTAGATCAATTGACTACTATTCATAGGGCCTTGAAGATGCAAGTGAGTCAAATAGCTACATCAACAAATACTCGCGAGCAAGGTCAGTTGCGAAGCAAGCCAGATATCAACCCTCGAGAGCATTGTAAAGCTGTTACCTTGAAAAGTGGGAAGCAAGTGGGTAACCAAGAAGAGGCCAAAATTGATGAACACTATGTGATGGTTGATGAGAAGAATAAGGAGAGTGAACAGATTGATGAAGAGAAGGAGGAAAAAGAGGAAGAGAAGATACCAGTTTCACCACCAGTTCAACCTTATGTTCCACAAGTGCCTTTTCCGCAAAGATTGCAACGAACAAAGCAAGATAAGTAATTTGAGAAATTTCTTAAAGTTTTTAGGCAATTACATATAAACATTCCTTTTGCAGATGCTTTAGCTCAGATTCCAGCTTATGGGAAGTTCTTGAAGGAGATCATCTCTAACCAAAGGAAAGTGGAAGAATTTGAGACAATAGCATTAGCAGAGGAGTGTAGTGCAATCATTCAAAAGAAGTTGCCTCCAAAGCTGAAAGATCCAGGGAGTTTCTCTATTCCTCTTACTATTGGTGATGTTGATTTTAGAAAAGCTTTGTGTGATTAGGTGCTAGTGTTTCACTCATGCCTTTGTCTGTCTGTAGGAAACTTGGTTTGAAAGAATTGCGGTCCACTAACATTACTTTGCAACTAGCTGATAGGTCTTTAACTTATCCTAAGGGAGTTTTGGAAAATGTGCTAGTTAAAGTAAAGAAATTTTATATCCCTGTTGACTTTGTTGTGTTAGAAATGGAGGAAGATACTGAAATTCTAATTATTTTAGGCCGTCTTTTTCTAGCTACAGCTGGTGCGGTAATTGATGTTAGAAGAGGGAGTTTGAAATTTCATGTTGGTGAAGTGTCTGTAGAGTTTACCTTCTCTAAGGACTATAAGTGTCCTGCTTTTACTGATCATGTGTTTAGTATTAATGTGCTTGATGAATTAACAAAAGCTTATTCTTTGCCAGGTATTTCCAAAGACCCTCTTGAGCTTTGTTTAAGTACTGCAGGTACTATTGATGATGAGAGGGAAGAAGTTGCTGAAGTTGCTTGTACTATGGAACTTCCCCGTGTAGAGAAGGTTTGTTTTGAAGAATTGGTTAAAGGTAAGTCTCTACCGCCGCCTTCTTCAGTTGAAGCTCCTGTTCTTGAGTTGAAACCACTTCTTGCACATCTCAGGTATGCATTTTTAGGTGAGAATAATACATTGCCTGTGATTGTGAGTTCTTTGTTGACTGATGCACAACTTGAGAAATTGTTGTGTGTTTTAAGATTGAGAAAGAAAGCTATTGGTTGGACAATTTATGATATAAAGGGAATTAGCCCATCTGTTTGCATGCATAGGATCTTAATGGAAGATGATCATAAACCTGTGATTGAACATCAAAGAAGGTTGAATCCTCACATGAAAGAAGTAGTTAAAAATGAGATTCTGAAATGGTTAGATGCTGGTATTATTTTTGCTATTTCTGATAGTGTGTGGATTAGTCCTGTTCAAATTGTACCTAAGAAGGGTGGGATGACTGTGGTTGCAAATGAAATAATGAATTGATTCCTACTAGGACTGTAACTGGATGGAGAGTTTGCATTGATTATAGGAAGTTGAATAGTGCTACTAGGAAAGATCATTTTCCTTTAACTTTTCTTGAGCAAATTCTTGAAAGACTTGTTGGGCATAAATTCTATTGTTTTCTTGATGGATATTCTGGTTACAATCAAATTCCTATTGCTCCTGAAGATCAAGAAAAGACTACTTTTACATGT